TCTTTTCTTTTGTGACAAGGGGCATTGTCATGCATGAAAATCATCTCGTTTTTGTTGTTCCACACGCGAATGCTTGCTAGCAACTCGCTCTCCAAAACTGAGAGGTAGGTGTCGCCGTTCATGACGTCGCCGACCTCGCAGAAAAGCGAAATTCCGAAACGAGAGATGGCGCCCCAAACATTGATATGGCCACCGCCGAACTTGACCGTGCCCTGCACGCATCGATCGGTCAACGTTTCGCCAACCAGACGCCATACACGACCACCGTTGTTGTTCCTGTAGAGATAGAGAGCAGTCTCGTCGGAGAAGACGACCCTCAGCCAGTCATCGACGGTCCAATGCTGATGAGCGAGTGCAAAGGCCAAGCGTCGCTCTTTGTGTGTCTCTTTCAAGAGGGCTTTTTTGACCTTCGCTCCGTTGACAAGTCCTGCACCATGCAGCACCCTTCTTATCGTGCATGGAGAGACACGAACTTTGGACAATGTGCGCATAGTGGCGGCCACTTCGGGTGCGGTGTCGGACTCATCGAGGAGGATCTGTGCTACAATGTTGTTGCGGTGAAATGACTTGAGCTTGCTGGGGCGACCGGGGCGGGGGCTGTCGCTCGTCGTCGCCCTTCCCGAGAAACGTTGGGTGATGCTGATCACTGTAGAACGTGGGAGGTGAAGCTGGGTGGCGATCTTGTTGTAGGAGAGGCCAGCATTTCGCAACGCGAGCACTTGACCGCGGACGACCTCCCTGGGCATCTTGTCCAGCACGGGCAAAAACGAGTGCTTGGCGTACGACGTAGACTCTGTTCAGCGACCCAAATGGTATTTTCACGCGCGAGCCCCGGTCTCTACCACGAGCAGCCGGTAACTGCCGGATATGGAGAAGAAGCGCATTCCGTTTTGTGAGATGTGTCGCATGAGGCTTGACAACCACAGCAACAACAACAAAAATGCAATTAGATCCAGGTCTAATCTCCGAAAGTGTCTGCGCGGCGATGCGAGTGTCGCCCGACAGCGCTGCTGATATCACGTCAAATATTTTGGACCATGTCGACATTGTACAAAGTGATCTTGGGCACAGGTACCGAGTAAACGCGGCAAATGAGGGGGGGGGGGTGAAGGTGGACCATCAAGCGCTGTACTTTCCGTTTTGTGTCTGCGAATCAAACGCGTCGTTGCCACATGCGTCTGCAAGTACACTCGAGTTCCATGGTTCCATAAAATGAAGCAGAAAAGGTTTGAGGGTGCGCCAATCCCATATCCGCACTTTGAGTCGCAATCCAAATTCCCAACAACAATTCAATGAGATATTTCAACGCAAGAAAGAGAGTCGCTCCCCTCACGTCACTCCCAGAAACGATTCAGCTGGTCACAGAGATTGCATATCGCATTGAAGAGTCGACACCCTTGTGTGCTTGTGAAAGAGGTTTGCGACGACCGAACTTTCGGCTGTTTCGCTAACAAATGCGCGGGCTCACAGCCCACATGGTTGTTTGGCCCACAAAACGCACTGCGTAGACCCATGAGGTGGTGCGCCAGTGTGTTTTTGTGCTTGACTGCACAAGAGATGGGGCCATCCATGAGCTCCTGAACTGCACGGACATTTTTTTTTTTTTTTGGTTGTTGTTTCTGGTTTTGGATCACGAGTGGCGCGACGGGACCAAAGAACAACAAAACAAAGCATTTGCAACAGCAAGCCGCACTAGGAGAGGTCTGATGTACAAATCAAAGCAACGAGCAGTTTGCAGCAAGATGGGAAGTTGAGAGAAGCATCAGCAAGATTGGCAGACGGATCGAGTCCGACTTCAACACCAAAACAAGCAGACAATCCAAAAGCACAACAGTCCACGTTTTTTTTTTTTTTTTTTTTTTCTTTCCTTCTTCTTCTTCCAATTCCTTTTGATCGATTTCTTTGATCGACGAAATGGCAAAGAAGCGTCGCGGCGGCAGCTCCAAGCAGCAGCAAGGACAGCAGCAGCAACCCAAGGACGTCGACCCGTTGCTGGGCGACGCGGGCCACGCGAGCGACAGCGACGACGGCGGCGGCGAGGATGTTGTTGCGCATCATGCGGGCTCGCAGCAGCAGCAGCAGCAGCAGGCCTTCGACGACGGCAGCTGGCTGGCGACTGCGCACGCGTCGCAATCGCACCAGGCGCAGCAGCACCAGACCGTGGCTCCGGCCGCGACAGGCGTGCTGGTCGACTTTGGCAGCGACGCGGCGTCGGGTTTGGGTTCGGTTTCGGTGTCGGTTTCGACTGAGCAGCAGCCTCTCTCTACCGCTGCTCCTCAAGTGCCGTCGTCGTCGAGCATGGCAATGCACTCGCAAGTCACGCCGACCAAGCCCGCATCGACAGTGCAGCCTGCAAAGGCGCTGCCGAGACACCTGCTGGGCGCTGCGGACGAGGACATGGCGCGCCAGGTCAAGCAGGCCGCAATGCTCTACAATGTGGGCCAGTCCTTTGACGAGGTGGCTCAGCAGAACGTGGCCAAGAAGGCTGCGCTGCAGGTCAACACCAGTGCTTCCGGACAGCTCCCACGCATCGGCACCGAGCGTGCTACGCTGCTGGGCAAGGAGGCGCCTGTCGACCGCCTCAACGTTGCCTTCCTGATCTTCTTCCTGCTGGGCGTCGGATGCCTCTTCCCGTGGAACGCCTTCATCACTGCCGAGTCGTACTTTGGCGACCGCTTCAACGGAACCGCGTACGAATCGTCGTACTCAAACTACTTTACCTTCACGTTCCAGGGGACCAACATTCTGTGCTTGGCTCTGAGCCTCCGTCTCCAGCACCTCTTCCCCGTCAAGCTGCGCATTGTCGGTCCGTTCGTTGTCCAGTTCATTTCCTTCCTGCTGACCACCATCATGGTCAAAATGGACTCGGTTTCCGTCGAAGGCTTTTTCGGCTTTACCCTCGTGACGGTTATTCTGTGCGGTGGCACAACGGCCTTCCTGCAAGGAGGATTGTTTGGTCTTGCAGGCATGCTCCCCGCGCGATACACTGGCGCACTCATGTCTGGCCAGGCGCTGGGTGGCATTATCGTGTCCCTCGCAAGCATCTTCTCCACCGTCGGCTCGAGCAACCAGCAAGTCAGCGCGATTGCGTACTTTACCGTCTCGGTGGTTGTCATTCTCGGCTGCCTGATTGGCTTTTTCGTTCTCTTGCGTCTCCCCGTGTACAAGTTCTACATGGAAGTGGCCGACCACCACAAGGCTGTCCAAAGCCAGTCGCGCATCAACCTCCTTCGCGACAAGCAGCAGCGGTACGGCTCGGGCGAAGGCTCCTCGCCCCTCCTGTCACCCTCGCGGTTGAGCGATAACATGCTTTCCTCTCCGCTGGACTCGAGCGTTATCGTCAATGGCCCGATGGGTGGAAGCAGCCCCGCACCGCCGTCCCCGACGCCCTCAACCTACAGCACGACCAGCCCCACCAAGATGCGCCTCAGCATGTTTCGGCGGCGTAACGGCTCCAACCACGACTCTGAGCGCGGATCCCAGATCACCGTCGCTCGAAGCTTTGACTTTGGCGACGTCTGGAAGCGCATCTGGCCGCTTGCCCTCGCTGTGGGCTACAACTTTTTCGTTACGCTCTCCGTGTTCCCAAGTATCACGAGCTCCATCAACTCGTACACGGCCGCCTCCGACCCAGACAATTACTTTTTCAACAATCTGTTTACGGCAGTCTCTTGTTTCTTGTTCTTCAACCTCGGCGACTACTTTGGCCGCATCCTTGCTAGCTGGTTTGCCTTCCCTTCCGCCAAGTACGTCTGGATTCCCATTCTCTTGCGCACCATCTTCATCCCCTTCTTTATGCTCTGCAACATTAGCGGGACCCGACTCGACGTTGTCTTTACGAGCGACGCGTGGCCTTTCATCCTGATGGCACTCTTTGCCACCACCAACGGCTATTTCGGCTCGCTTTGTATGATGTATGCTCCCAACAAGGTCGAAGTCCACGAGAAGGAGATTGCCGGTACCATGATGGTCTTCTGTCTGTCGCTCGGCCTGTCGCTCGGCTCACTCATCTCCTTTGGCTTCAAGGCGATTGTGACTGGCGTAAATCCATTCTAGTGAACGACTGCCAAGCCACGCTTCATTCGAAGCCACGCTAGGACGGTCGTGAATATGTCTGTTTACTTTTGCCAAATTTTTTTGTCTTGCTTTTTCGAAATTTCTGCGTCGTGATTGTTTTTGCTTTGACCTTGATACTGTACGACAAAAACCACAAATTCCACGATACAAAAAAACAAGTGCACCAGCGTGTCAGGTGTGCAAGGGGGTTATTGTGACGATTTCAATGAATTTAGAATATTAAGTCCAGATTCAACTCAACATCCACCAAATAATCAAACATGCCTGAGCACATGAAGAAGCAAGGAATACAACAAACAAGTCTCCACAACAGAAAACAAAACACACACACAGCTGTCTCCCAGCGGTTCCGAGCGGGAATGAAACAAAAAAATCGGGGTGACGTCGCAGCAGACAAGTACACGAGATCCATGGGCAGCCAAGGCGCGCGTTACTGAGCAGGTTGGGTGGGCAATGGACCAAGCAGCCGTTCAGCAGTGGCGATTCCATTCCCCAAATCAGCGCACAACTTGACGAGGTCGAACGCAATCGGGCCGGAGACGACCGAGTCCTTCTTGTACTCGGGATGCTGCTGCACAAACTCGCGCATCCATTTGGCGGTGGTAATCAGCTCGCCTAGAAACAAAAAACAAGAGATGTGCAATTTTAGTATAATCATCAAAAACGACGCAGCACCGGCATGGCCTTCTTTCTCACCTGAAGCACGCTTGGAAATCAGTTCAAAGTAGCTTGCGAGCAAAGAGCGAGACTGGAAATCAATCTCCATGCTGTCCAAGTACTGGTTCAGCAGCGGAAGGAGACCAGGGAAGGCGCCCTCCTGCTCAAAACCACACCAAAAGAACAAACAAGCAAACAATCAGATCGAGTCAATCCACCAGCCTGCGAAACAAACAGCAAACACGTACCTGTCCATTGATGATTGTATTCACGTCCATAAGCTCATACGAATCGTCATCCACGGCTAAGATGTGGAAAGCAGGAAGACGGTGAGAATGCGGAGGCTAAAACAAAAAGAGCTCGCGGCAATGCGCAGCTGGAAACAAACAGCAACAAAAAACTCACCGCGAGTAAGATTCTTTCGGAAGAAGAACTTGCCAGACGACACGGCATCACGCTTCTGCGCTGTTTGCATGTTTTCGTCAACCTGAAACAAACAAAAAATGGTAGGGGATACGCGGCATGAGCAACCATCCTTCATCACACGGACTGCAACAACGTGTCATTCAAACACCGCAGCAGCATACCTTTGAGATGGGAATGTAGAACAGCAGATCAAAGGAGAGAATGGCGCGGGTCAAGAGGACAATGAAAAGCGTGAAGGCGGCATTTTCAAAGTCCGTCAGCTGGACCTCCATGACTCGGAACTCGACACGCCAGCCGATTGAGCTGTTGGGCGGCGGGGGCTTGAAGCGCATGGTCTGCCAGTTGGTCGACTGGATGTTTTCAAAGTGGTCCGATTCGTTCTCGTCGTCTTGGTTGAGACGCTCGCGATACACGACAAGCGGATCACGAATGAACAGGTGGGCAACGTGCTGCGCTAGGAGATGATCAACACCTATGGCAACAGAAAGAATGGGGGGGGGGCAACGAGGAGCGCAAAAAGGGATGAGACAATGTTTTGCAGGTGCAGAGGCAGCTTGCTCTTCTTGTCAGACGTACCGCCGTTTCGCAAAGTTGCATAGTGACCGTGGTCCATCACAAGAGGAATATCGTTATGCGAGGCTCGAAGAGCAGGGTCTTGTGAAATGTACGAGTCGATGGAGTCGTATCGAGACTTTGGAATGACAAATCGACTTGACTTGAGCGGTGCCTTGCCCTGCTCCTCTTGCGTGCGATCATCGACAGACTGCGAGATGGTATTCCATCGGCAGTCAACGTCCGCAAGATAGCCGCGGAAGATTGGCGTAGCCGCGGTGAGAGCCAGCTAACCAGGTGGGAAGGCGAAAAAAAGAAAAAAAAGAAAAGAAAAGAAACCAAGATAAAAAGTTAGAGGAACAGGACTAGCAAAAAAAGTCGCATCCCGCAACAAAAGAAAAAAATTCACCGCCCATACCATGACTGGCGCAATCACAGCAAGCTGGTCGTAAAGATGGCGCGCTTCGTCAATGCTGCACGCCTGGAAGGTGACCTGTGGTTGATTGAGCGAAAAAGTGAGAAGCGAAAACGAGCAAACTTTTGCAGCAGCAGCAAGCAATTGCCCAAGGCTACTAGTACCTGTAGGCAGCAGCAACCCATGCCAAAGCCCATGGCATCCATATAAATGTGCTCGGGCAGAGCCGCCGCATCAGCTTCCTCATCGTCATACTTGGGCGCGAAGGGTTTGGGGGTGTTGACATCACGGAACACTGGCATGTTGATTGCCACTCGCTTGCCACGACGCTCGCGAATGTTTTGGGTCAAGGTTCTGTGCGCACAAAATCGGGCGGACAATCGAGTGAGTTGGTGAAAACATCAACAGGCAACAGCGAGAAAAAAAAAGCGACAACGAAAAACACATACGGGAATCGTCGATGAGCATTGATGGCTTCATCGGGGAAGAACAGCGAGCGAGCAGCGGGACCGCGAGGAGCGGCAGGAGGCTCGGTGAAATTGGGCGTGCCGAGCAGCGGGAAGTTGGTCACTGTCAGCGCAACCTCGTTCGGCCTGAGGAGGGCCTGCACTGTCTCTCGTCGCAGCCGCATGTTGGACTCGACCGTCAAAAAGTCACTGATGGAGCCGGCGTACGGCTGTCCGGGAGTGCCTATCGAGGTGAAGAAAGAGCAGAGTATCAAGATTCATGTGCATGAGACATCTTTTCATTCAACAATTCCAGGGTGTATGCATGTACAAATGGGACATTGCAATGACGAGGACGAGCGAGGGGGAACAAACCTTCAATCATAAATCGGCCATATTCCGGGCGCCACAGCATCTTGAGCAGTTTGCTGTAGAGATCGAGAACAAGGCAAATAGTACAAGTGCAAGTTGAGTCGCAGCACACGCATTCACATCAAGCGAGAAAGAACGGAAGAAAGAAGGAAAGAAAGACAAAAGATTTTCTCAGACGTAGAACACATACGCGAAACCGCATGCCTCCCGCTCTCTCTCGCTCTCTCCCTCTCGCTCTCAGTCTCTTTCTCTCACATCCATCATCACCAGCACATTGAATAAGCCGACGTATCACTTTTCACGCACTTTCCACACACAGCTAAAAAAACAATGGGATTTTTGCTTTTTTTTTTTTTTCCGCAAACCAAACTCCAAAATCATCCGCTGCCAATCATTCATCCATGCATCCCATACATCCATCCATCCCCATACATCCCTCTTCAGTTCATTTCAATGTTTGACATCCAACTTTTCCCTACTTCCTCTTCCTCCCTCTGTCCCATCATCATCATCAGGCATCCATCATACGACTATCATTGCTTTTCCCCCACTTTTTTTTTTCTCCTCATGTTACACACACACGGCGAATAAAAAAGAAAGAAAAAAAAAAATCAAAAAATTCGCGGTCTTTTTTTTTTTTTTTTTTTTTTTTTTTTTCTCTTCTGTTTGTTTGACTGTTCATTGATTTTCGTTGTTTTTTCCCTTCGATTTTTTGGTGAGCAATTTCGTCAAAGCCATCCATACACAAACTGATGGGTGTTCGTCGATGCTGTGCTGTTGTCCCTGTTTGGTTTGGTTTGGTTTTGGAGACACGCTTTTTCAATATGTCGAACAAAGGGCGCTTCCCTTCTTCTGCACTTACGCGTCGACGTGGTGCTCCTCCTGCCCAAGCTGCTCCAAGATGTACTGCGCACGCAGACACACACGCGCAGTGCGGTCGGCCTGCGGAGGGAGCTGCTCGTGCTGCTCGGCCTGCGCGGGGTGAGCATTGCCGCTTGCAGTGCTGCTGCTGTTGCCGTTGCTGCCGCTGCCGCTGCTGCTGCCGCCGACAGAGGCGCTGGGAATGAGCGTCGCAATAATGTACTCGACCTCGTCGCCAAACTTGAGGCAGTCGCCGCGGCGGTCCTTCAGCCGGCGGTAGATGGACAGGAACTGCAGAATGCCATGGTGCCGCACAGTGTCAGGCACCCCCGACGCCTGGACGTCTGCCCAGCTGAGTGGCGTCCCTTCTGATAGCAAGCCCATAGGTGTTGGAGTGGTAGTGGTAGTGGTTGTGGTTGATGATGCTCCTTTGAACAGGAAACAGCAGAGAGAGAAAAAAAACAACAACGAAGACTGAACTTGCTCCCAAATGCGGAAGTCGCGCTCAGAAAGTGCCCAGAAATGCGCATAGCTACGTGCAATATCTTCCGAACGAGTTCAGCAAGTTGCCTCGGTTGGATGGATATAAGAAGCAAGAAAACAAACAAACGAGGAGAGTTGGACGCTATCAATGTTGTTCATTTCAATACACGCGCAAATCAGAAGGTTTTTGCAACTTTGCGGAACTCTTTGGCCTTGGTTTTGGGGCACTGCATCTCGCACCAGCTGACAGGCAACATGCTTGCGCCTAAGAACACGTCGAAACAAGCGACAATGAGTGCCAAACCAAAGCAAACACTTGTTATTCAAAAGCTCGAGATCCAGAATCGCAAACGACAAACCTGCTGCACTCTCGGCAAAGACAACACCAAGATCATTCTTGGACGTTGCCAGAAAATAGGAGCGCGAGTCGCCCAATGAGATCTGAGAACAACAACAACAGCAACAACAACAACAACAACAACAACAAAACAAACGCGCGAACAGCCAAAAGCATGCCGCAATCATCACGTTCAGCGCTCAATTCGCTGACAACCATACACAAACATCGACACGGAGACACACCCGAGTAGAGTGCAACCAACAAACACACAGCATGCACGTACAACTTCAGCGCGAACAATATCGCCGGGACGGAACGACTTGTACATTTCAACCTTGTCTTTCTCTGTTTCCCGCACGTCTTGAATTCTGCGTTGATGGTGACACGCACACGACAAGGAACGAGATTGATGTAAGCAAAAGCATTGGTCACAGCACAACGGCTGAATTGGGGAACGCGAGCCGTTGTAAAACTGCTTCTGGCACTCACCGAATCATTCCATGGAAGGGTTCTCGCAGCGGACTTGATCCGACGCATAGAATATTAACTTTGGCAAACCTTGACGTGATGCTCGTGACCTAAACAACGATCGCGATTGAGTGACGTTGCGCCCAAAGTGACAAAGTGAATCCAAAACTAATCCAAAACTATCTCTCTCTCTCTAACTTACCGTTGCAGTCACCACATTGCCAATCGCTGGAATAGGATTTGCGTCGTGCAGATCTCGCACCACATGAATGCTTGGCAACACCTATCGGAACACAAAGTCACAGTTCGAAGTTACTGCAGTTAGCTGGATGGGTGTAAAAGTCATTCCTGTCTTCCATTTCGATTCCGCCAGCCAACAAACCCCATTCAAAAGTCCCAAAGTATGCGTCTACTGGACAACAGTGCATGCCAGAGTCTGCACGCCATCGGGCTAGGCGAGACCGACGATCACCGGCTGCTGGTCCATCTCGTCCATGTGTGTCGCTCAGTCATCGGTCCCCTTCCCGACTGACCATGTCCTCGGTTACCTGTCGTGCTGACGCTGCTCCTGCTGCGTCGTTGTCGTCGTCAATCTCCATTGCATGGGACGCGGCAGCAGTGCTCGCGCTGGCAGCAGCATGCGCAGTGGTCGTCGGCTGCTGGACAATACGAAACCCAGCGAGCGCTGCGACGATCGTGCTGCCGCGACCGCCGATTGCGTTGAGGTCGTCAGGGCGCACATAGGTGCCAGCGCCGGGCAGAAAGTCCTGGGTCGTGCCGAGGCGGGTTCCCGGCGTGACAATCTCAACTTGCGCCATTGTGCAGCCAGCGACAACAACAAGACTTTTGGACTGAGATGATCGGTTTGGGTTGGTAGCAAAGTGCACTCGTTCCTCATCAAAAGGTCACTCAGAAGGGCCTCCGAACAATACAGTGGCAACAGTCATTTTTGCTCACAAATCATTAGCGAAGCTGGATTCACAAATAGTCAATCAACAACGAAACAACATAAACCCTCTCGCAAGCGTCAACAGGGATTGCGTGGTTGCGCGACAAGGCTAACTAGCGCAAGCAGAGCTGCGTACACACAAGCATGCACTCGCTATTCGAACTTTTCTCGTTCACTCAGCTGGAAAGCAAGGCAAAGAGCGAAAAGAGGCCCAGACCACTGCCGCCCCCGCTGTGGCGCGAGAAAAAGTCAAAGTCAATGCTAACTGCGCATGCCAAGCTCACTGCGCGCTCATCAAAGTACAGCGGGCGATCTCGCAACTCATTCGCGGGCGTCTCGGCTTCCAGCATGTCCATCTTGAGAATGTACTTGTGAGCATCCGTGAACATTTCCGTCATGAGACCTAGAGAAGAGGACATGGTCGTGAAACAGCGAGCAAAATCATCCATGAAGGCAAATTGAGAACCGACACACAACAACGAAAATGCAACAAATAACAATCACGTCTCCAACCTTTTCCGCCCCCCCCTCGCCCTCCCTGCCTTCCACAGACCCCTCCTCCTCTTCAACATCAAGTAAGTGCAATACCTGAGAAGTCCTTGTCAATCCGCGCAAGCAGCTTGCCATTGGGATCGCGCACATCAAACACCCAGGACCACAGACCCATGTCAACATCGCCCCACTGGTAGGAAGGCAACGTTGGGCTCCAGCGATTGCCAAAGTTGCCCATATCGAGTGACAATCCTTCGGCCTTCACTTGGCTATCTGGGGCTACGACCAAGGCATGCTCACGGTCAATCAGGTAGAGCTCGTACTTGCGACGCCACAAGTGCCACTTTTGCCGAGCAAAGCCAATCGGTCGACCCTCGTGGTCCTCGACGTACACGGTCGAGTTGATCAGTGTGAAGGGGCGATGCAGGCGCAGCACCGGGTTGCCAGCCGTGTCCAGCACCAACGCCGTGAAGGGACGATGCAAGCGCAGAATCTGTCGCATAATGGCTGTGCCGAAGGTCTTTTTCTCCACGAGGTATCCAGCTTGGTTGCCCAGTGGATCTCGCAGCTCGTATCGATTTGCCTGTTCGAAGCCTGGGAGAACCAGCACGAATGAACAAAGAGATTGATAGTTAGACCGTTTTTCAAGGTTGTTTTTCGCTCACTTTCATCCATCGCAGTTGAGCAGTACCAATCAAGAGGTTGGCAAGCTCGATTTGCCGACTGATGATGAGGCCTGCATGGCTCAGCAGCGGCGCAGACGGGGAGTCCGAGTTCAGGACCTCGTTGCCCGTTCCCAGCAGAGCAGGATCCAGCGCTTGCTCGCTCTCCACAATCCCAGCGTCCGTGTGCTCAACAGCCTCGGCGTTCTGCTGCTGCTGCTGCTGTTGCTGCTTGCGGGGTCGCAGGACTCGGCTCTGCCTCAGCAAATGTTGTTGTGCGCCGCCCATTCGCGTGCGATCGTTTGGCACTGAAGAGAGACGCCCCAAAGCACAGTGTGTGAGCCAACACAGAGTCATATCAATTGAAAATCAGGCAAAACAGTCGACGACTTGGCTTTTTTGTTACATCGGCGAGTCGAGACGGAGCGGGTGGGTGCCTGCGAGATCAGACTCGGCTTGCTGCTCCAACTGCTGCTGCTGGTCAATGCATATCGACCCGTCGTCGTCGCTGAGCATGTCATGACAGATCGAGCTGCAGCTGCAGACGACATCCGAGACACGACATGGCGCAGCATCATTTCTTGAGGTGTGTGTGTTTCTGAGAAGAAGAAGAAAGACTGAGCAGTCCTCAAAGTTGCTTAGAAAAGCAAAAAAACAAACAAAATGGTGCATCCGAGCTTGTCTGAGCACTTGCACAACGACGAATGCAACAATGTGATTCAACAGGTAATGCATACATCAGGCTCGGAGTGATGAGTGAAATGGGACCAAGGGGGAGAGAGAGAGACAGAGAGAGAGAGAGAGACGCGTGGAAAATGGAACACCACTCACACTAACCCGCCTCCCGCTCTGGTGAGACAGCTCCACCAGTGCCACTCAACACACTCGGTTGCCAAGTTCTGGGGCGCCTGCAACGATCTCAAGAATGCGCTGGACGACTGCCTGGGCCGCGAGGTGCGGACTGTTTTGTCGATCAATCGCGCTCCGCCGCTGTGCCGTTGCTCACACGATTGCTTGATCATGATACAGTTTGAAGTGCGGCGGCTTCGGAATCTGGAAGAAGCGAGAGAGCGGAATCGGCGCGTGGACGAGGCGCGGGCGCTGCTATTGCCAATGTCAAAGTCAGACCGCGAGGATCTCACGCGCCGCCAGACAGAGCGAAGGCAGAATTGGGAGCGAACACACGCTGAAGGCGCACCTCAATGAACCCCCGTAGGACATGCGCGATTCAACGGCTGAGCTGTTGCAGTAACACATTTTTGTAAAAGTTGTAGAATTTTTTGTACTGTTCGGCAATCAATGCCATCATTGGATCCATTGGAACAAAGGGGCTGCAAAGGATGCCGGGATGGCACTTTGGAAGGAAGATCAAGTTTTACAAAGAATCGTAAATGGTGGGGGACCGAACATGGTGAAACATATCAGAAGCAAATCACAGCGACCAATTCGACACACCAAACACAAAAAACACACAAACAGACATATCGACGCACAAAAAAGTCAAAATACACCAAGCAAGCGCTGGTGCGACCGGCACGCATTGCTTGGAATTGGGGGAAGGAAGGAAGGAAGGAAGGAATGGAAATAACAGCGCTACTTTTTGTTGTTGTTGTTTTAGCAGCATCCACCCTTGGCTTCTTGCTTGGGTTCTGGGCCGCCAGGGCGGATAATGCCATTCTCTTCGGGCGCAGGTTGGTTGGATTGGGTGTTTTCGAGGATCTTTGTGACGAGGAATCGGCAGGCCTTGTCAATGTTCAAGTTCTCCTTGGCCGACGTCTCAAACCACCCTGCAAAGCCCTTGTCTTCGCAGAATTTGTCCATTTGTGCGCTGTTTTTGACCAGGCCTTCCTTGGCAAGATCGCACTACAGAGGGGAAGAATTCGAAACGCAAAATGTGAGAAATCAACGGGTTGACGCCAAAGCCTGCACTCGAGAATCTGTCTCGACTCAACAGCCCCAAAACCAAGCGAAAAGACGCATACCTTGTTGGCAAGAAGCACAACAGGAATGTCCTCGCCTGTCGACAGCTTGACCTTGGCGTCAATATCAAACTTCCACTTTTGCACAGCCTCAAATGTCGAAACACGGGTGACGTCAAAGACAATGATAGCAGCGACAGCCTCCTTGTAGTATACCTGAAGGGGTTGCACAAGTGAGAGTGGGGTGAAAGAACAAAACAAAAAAACCATCAACACAAATCCAAGCCAGCGTTTTGGGCTTCAGATTTCCCACCACGTACTCGTGTCATGTTGCCAAAGCGCTCTTGACCTGCGATATCCCACAACTGAAGACGGACGACAGTGTCGGGCTCCCAGTTGATGACCTTGAGAGCGAAATCAACACCAATCTAACGCAATTCACAATTCACAGTTGAGCATGACAGTTGCGGGGGCCCAGAATCAAAACCAAAATGCCTGAAATGCAGCGTGCAACATACGGTGGCCTTGTAGTGCATGGAGAAGATGTTGTGCACGTAGCGCTTGATGATGCTGGTTTTGCCAGTGCCAATATCGCCGACGACCAAGACCTTGAACAGGTACTCTTTCATCTCGCCAGCCTGCAGTCACGCCAAGCACAGAGACACACACACACACACACACACACACACAAACACACACAAAAAGGGTGAGAGTCAGAGCAAAGGACATCACGTCAACAGTGTGAGTGAGGATTTGAGTGAGTGAGATTTGGATTTGTGATCAGCCATCATGCAGCACTCGCCGCTGGTTTCGCAGCACACACGAGGTGACACAAAGGGGGTGATCGCACCACTGCCACCACCACCACCACCACCAAACGAGACTGGCAGTGACAGTAGCAAAGAACGAGAGAAACGAGAGAAAATGGCAACGAAATTAAAAAAAAAAAAAAACGCGTCAAGTGATCCACACTCAAAAATGACGCGAGCGAGCGCAAGAAGAGAGAGAAAGCGGAAGGTTGTCTGATCAAAGCTGCCACCGTGTCCATACGACAAATCAATGCAATGACATCGTGTGCTGAGGAGCAAGAACAAAAACAAACGCAGCCGACGGGACGAACAGCGGAAAACATGACCAAAAAAAAAAAAAAAAAAAAAAAAAAGAGGAAAATTGAACTGTTGAGGTTCACCACCTCGTCTCCATTCGCAGCGGGGTCATGGCGTAGAAGGAGGAGAGCGGACAATGGTGGGGACTGCGATCCAACGTCAAAGTCGAGCGATGGTCGAGAGAAACGTCTCATCCATCCCAAACGCAGAAAAAAGAAAAAAAAAAAAGAAAATAAAAAGAAATAAAAGAAATCAAAAATCAGTGAAAGCTGTTGCACATGACTCGCGGGAGGACGAAGGCAGATTTGAGAGCTGACAAACACAAGCGTGTAGCGCACGACGCTCTCGTCTCTTGTTCCGAATGTCTCCAACGGGGGACGACACAGAAAGAGGGAGAGAGCGGAAGAAGAAGCGCGGAATGAGAAAAAAGAAGAAAAAAAAAAAAGAGGAAAGTTTCTCATTGTGAGCCCAGCCAAAGCGCAGCACAGCACAGCACAGCACAGCACAGCACAGCGCGTGTCGTTCTTGGAGCGAGAGATGCGATGATTGACAAGAGTTCGCGGGGTGTTGGGGCGGGGGGAGGGTAGAAGGGGATACAGGGCAAGAGACCAAGCGCAATGATGACAAACGGCAACAGCAGCTGATCACAGACACACTGAGCTGAAGCGCTGTTTTACCATTGTGAAAAATCTGAAAAAGGTATTTTACTGGACTGAGAGTTTCGAGACTCGACGTGTGTGTTTTGTGACCAAGAGTAAGTCTTTATGAGGTCAAAATAAAACAACGGGCGATCGATGTGTGCGTCCGATGGGCTCCAAGCGCCCTTGCTCGGTATTGCGCTCTCTCAGCCGAACAAAGTAATTTGCAATTTGACTTTAAGAGATGATCAATGCATGGCATTTTACAGAAGGCGAGAGCAGGCGACAGGAAATGATTCAACCGAATTAGGAGTTTGGTTGCGCTCTTTGCTCGAAAGATTGTTCGCATCCCGAAAGAGGTTAAAGTCGATGCGGGTACAGAGTTTAAGAGAAGAGTGGCAAAGTCGCTTGACAACAGTGGTGCTCATATCAATGTTGGCAAGCCAGATAGACATTGGCATCAAACAGTGGGTGATAACAGGACTTGGCAGATTGGAGGAGAGATTTTCAAACGCCAAAGTCGCTCGTGAGCTCGAGAGTGGCGAATCGAATACGCAGTGGGTGGATGAGCTCCCTGAAACCATTGCAGAGATGAACAAAAAGGCAAATATGAGGAAACCAAATCCATTGTTAATCTTGCCTCCCTTCAGCAGATGCACTCCTGGCCGAGTCTTGTATGTTGCTCGAGGAAGGAGACAAGGTGCGTGTGTGGCCTTGGATGCACCTGTGGACAGCAAAGGAAAGAAGTCCAATGAAACTTTCCGAGCCCACGACATGAGATGGGAAAACAAGGTGAGAACAATTGAAAAGGAGATTCTTTGAGCCAGACCAATGTATGCTATTCGAGGCATCCCCAAAACGGCGTACATAAAGAGTCAGTTGCAAGTCGTAGATGAAGAGTAATACACAATTGTTCTTTTCTTCCAGAAAGAAGTTCATCGCCATTGGTGTTTTTGTGTGTCGGGGTGGCCGTTTGGTATCAAAGCAAAGACATGCACTCACACACAACCATGCACAGCAAGTCGGCCGCTCAACGAGCATCGAGAATGCCGTTAAGCTTTACAATTGGCTTTATTCTCAGAGCGACGTCGTCAAGAGACAATACAGATGCTGAGAACGCATTGCAACACACGAAAGCGAGATTGGCAGAGGGTGAACGCTTGAAGATGGCTCAAGAAGCCAGAAACAAGGGACGGCCCAACGGTCTCGTGCAGTTCAGCAGGGTAGACACAGAGCGCTGAACGTGGCGCGAGTGAAGGGTGTAGGTGTCGTTGGGATGGTAAGCGAGAATGTTGATGTTGGTGGCGAGGAGTTTCTTGGTGAGGTCTTTCCCCAGAGCGCAGTGCACGATGTCAATGTGCAGAGCGCCGTGAGTGAGATCGCAAAGTGTCTTGTGCACATCAGAAGTTGCGTTGTACAGTGCCAAATCGTCAATCAGGCGCTGGAGGGAGTCTGCCGTATCCACGCGAACTCTTCAAAGATCTCGTCCACAGTCTTGAACTGAAGCTCAAACACCAGGCTGTTGAGCAGAACAAAACGCCCGCCAGCAATCTCAGCAACCGCGCGTTTTGCCGCATCCTCGTTGACGCCACGATGCAGCAGAAAATCGACAGCTTGTTCGTCGGTGATATCACTCACTTCGACAATGCGAGCACGAGTCATTGCTGACGATGCCTTGAGCTCAGGCAGATTCGAACCATCGCAGGTGACGAGAACAACATTGAGCAGCTGCTCGTCAGCAGCCGCCTTGGCAAAATTTTGAATCACATGCAACAGTGCGGGACCCTGCTGGGCGATCTGGTCCACGGCGTCGATGACGAGCGTGGCAACGTGACCATGCTTGGCCTTGAACTGTGCGGCGACGTCCCGAAGACCGAGCTCGAGTATCGCCCAGCTCTTGAAAGGTTCTTCTGCCGATGCTATTTGATGCATCTCAACACCACGGTCTTTGAAGTAGCCTGCTGTGAAGGTGAACCGGTTGAACGCGAACGCGAGAGACTGCCAGTAGACCTGGCATCGAGACTAACACCTCGCTTTGGACGATGTGGTAGACAATGCCAGTGCTGTTGGCTCGGATGGCGTCGAGGACGGCGGTGGTCTTGCCGCAGCCTACTTCGCCAATGACGACCGTGTAGTCCTTCAACAGCGCGGGGCGCAGCACCTTTTGAAGCATCGCAACAGCATCTGGACGACTGACGTGGTATTTCTCGAAACGTGGGATCACGGAGCCGGCCTCGAAGCGTGCGAGCATGCGAGCTTGAACGATTTCGGGCGAGTGGGTCTTGGCGATCGTGTTCTTGTTGTCCAGCACGTGCTGAGCAACAAATGCCGCCACAACCAAAATAATAAATGTGGTGGAGACCGCGTTGGCGACCGCGCCACCGATGAAACCGAACACACGCCGAAAAGCTGGCTGCTGCTGAGCCGGGCCCGCCGCTGGAGCCGCCACCGACATTTCGGGATCAAACAAGAAAAACAAAAAGAAGAAGAAACTAAAAACTGCGCTGTCATCATCGTTCTCAGCTTTGGCAATCCATTGTAAACCCATAATGAGTTGAATAAACCATCGTTCGATTTGTATCATTGTTCTTCCAAGACGTTCCTGATGATGCTGCATTGTGCCGCTTTTCAAAGCGGTTTGAGTGTTTCAACGAGACAGGTGGCTTTTTCTTGAGGTCGATTAGCTTGATGTTTGTGTCCCTCTTTTCACTGTCAGCGAGGTCAAACAGAGATTAGATCAAGTTCAGTAGCTCCAGTTCAGCGGAGACAAAATTTTTGTGCCAATTTCGTGGCCTCAATTCGTCAACGCAAAGTCAAGTTGTAAAGTGCTGCGACCGCCCCGATTTCTTTGCACTTTATCTATTGAAATTATGTTGAACAAGAATATGAAGAGAGCCAGAGTCAAGGGTGGTCCCAACGTTTTGTGCGGTTGCAGAACACGACCATTTATTGCCAATGCGAAATAGCTCTACTTCGAAGGACTTGATAGTGTCCTCACGATCGACAAGCTGAAACTTGTGTGCAGCCCGTGCCCGAGTCTGCATACATTTTAGCACTCTGACAGTCAGCGTCTGCGGAAGAATCAACAAAAGACTTTCACACTCCACCCAGCTTACAATTGTCGTCTCCAGAGCAGGACTCAAGTCTGGGTACTTTTTCCGAAGTACTTTTCAAGCTCGTCCGCCTCAGTAATCAGCGCTGTGGGACCTACATCACCCTATCCCCGATCAACAAGAACAGTCAACACGCACACACACACACACACACACACACACACACACACACACACACACACACACACACACACACACACACACACACACACACACACACACACACACACACACACACACACACACACACACACATACCGGTGAGGCTGATTCCAGCGATTTTCTGCCGCTGTTCTGCGATTTGCTTGTATAGGCGGTCGAGCGTCAGCTGATAGGAAAGGTCCCATTTCAACCGTTTGAGCAGGTAGGTGCCAGTCACTCCATCCTCAAGATATTCCAACGAATAGTAGCCTAAATCCAACTGCAGGAGTGCAGCTGCGGCATCGGCGGTTTTCTGCTCGTCAGTTGGAGTAACAGTGCCGGCTTGTTGACCATCCAAAAGTTGCATGAGCATGGCGCGTTGGTCAGGCTTGTCGGCGAGTTCGGAAATTGGCGCCAAATCGACTGAGACGCCAAGACATGCGGCCAACGCGCGCAGCTGTTCACTGTCCAAATGCAACAAGGCAAAGTCAGTCAAGTCAAGACACAGACAACTCCAGTGTGACGAATAGGGCAATCACCTTACCTGAACGGTGCTGGAGCTGGATTCGCCGCCTTTCCAAACAATCAAACAATCAAACAGTGAAACAACTGGTCAGTACCTCGATGGAAAATGTTGGTGAATGTATCGACGATGAATTGTAGCATTGTTGTGTCTTGCGGGTAGCAGAGTGCACGATAGAATGAGAGACCCACGAGGAGGCTTTCGCAGCACTTACAGCCATGGGTGAGAAAGCAACGAAAATAGACTGAAACAAACAGATCATTTTGGCTGTTCGCGCTTTGTAATACTGTAAGTGTATTGATGTTCAGGTGTTTTAGTTCGTTCAAAGGACGCCCTTGGTTGCTGGCGTGTAAGCCCCCTCGATTTTGCAGCCTCCTTCTTTCCTTCTTCCAAAAGGCAGCAAAGCAGGCAGGCAAGGGGTGAGTCAGTTCTCAGCGCATCGCTATTCACAATGTCTTCCTGTTGGCTGTTGGTAGCTGCGCTTCCATCTGTCTCACGTCTCATGCTCCCTGATGATTCAATCTCAGTCTTTTAATTTTTGAATCTTTGTCACATTCTCGTCTGCCTTCTCTCAAAAGACTCGATTCTTTTTTTTTTTTTTTTTTTTTTTTTTTTTCTGTTGTATTTTTTGACCGCAGTTATTTTCAATTTGAGTTTTCTTTGGTGCCTGTTTTGCCGCTTGACAAGTTGAGACGATGAGCGAGCCGCGGCACATTCGACGCCAGGCTTCAGCACCACTGCACCCGTCGACACGGCGGCGCGGCAGCAGCGCTGGGGGCAGCGGGGGCAGCGCAGAGCCACCAGGCAGCGCAGACTCTGTCGCCAGCGCACCAACGCCAAACTCGTCCCAGCACCACCAGTGGTACTTTGGCTCGTCGCCCAACGCCGTCCACAGCCCGCCGCTGAGCACGGCAGACATGCCGCCGCTCGTCTCGGCCGGCGCGCAGCAGCACCATCTCGACGCCAGGCAGCAGCAGCAGCAACAGCAGCAACAGCAACAGCAACAGCAGCTCGCGCGTGCAGGCAGCCCAAATCAGCCTCACTCTGCAGGTTCACAGTCGCACGCCATGACCACCGCAGCCATGAGCGCCGCATCACAAGCCACCGGTTCGCACACCACTGCAACAGCGGCAGCGGCAGCAGCACCCAACACTGGCGGCGCTGGCGGATTGGCATCGCCGTCGTCGTTGTCGTTACCTGGCGCGCAATCGGCTCATGCAACACCTTCATCCACATCGAATTCGTCGTCTTCGCATCTGCACTCTGGCGCGTCCGTGCCAGGCCGACGCGAATCCCTCGGGGCTGCGTGGGCACTGCACGGACATAGCATGCCCGACCTGACCCAGCAGCACCGGTCTGCTCCTCACCCCTTCCTGCAGCAGCATCACCAACAACAGCAACCGCCACAACAACAACAGCAACAACAACAACAACAACAACAGCATCTTCTATTACAACAGCCTCCATCTCAACATCCGCAACATCACCATCAGCAAGTGCCGTTGACGCCGCAGAATTCGCTCCAGTTGAGCACTTTGGTAAAAAACAAAAACCTCAAAGCCTTTTGTCTCTCACCTTCACCTTCACCTTCACCTTCACCTCACAGCTCGCAATCGCCACTTTCCATCATTCACTGTTCATTCCGCGTTAATACCTCTTGCGTTGAGGCCTTTCTCGTCCTGATCCAATGCTATCAATGCTATCAAATGGATTGCTATCGTTTATTCCCATTGTTGGATTGCAGCGGAGACTTTTTCCCTTCTTTTTTTTTTTTTTTTTTCTTATTTCCTTTTTCTAATTGCATTTTCCTTTTCTTTTTTCCCCCCATTTTTTGTTTTGCCGTCCAACAACAACAACAACAACAACAACAACAACAACAACGCACCAAGGCGACCAAAAGTGCATCAATCAGAGAAGAGAGTGATTGAGTGAGAGTGAGAGTGAGATGGAGAGGATCGAGTGAGAATGCACTGACATGATGAGGATTCGATGGAAGGAGAGCTTGATCTCGCTTTTCACCGCACATGGAATGCAAAATCGCATGGCAAGCCAAGCACATGATCCGAAAGTGCGAATCCCAGCGATGAATCATCATCATCATCACCATCATCATCACCATCATCATCACCATCATGATGATTTGCCAAGTGATGGAAGCTTGATCTGTGGCAATGTGATCATCCCCAGCGATTTGTTGTTGTTGTTTCATGTTGGTGGTTCGTTTCCCACGCAAAAACCACAGGCACGAGCCCCCCACGCAACCCGTTCCTGATCTGGATTTTTGTTTGCATCTCTTTCTGGTGTGTTCTTTCTGTGGCTTTAAAATCAACGGCGACGACAACCAACCAACAAACAAACAAGCAACCGTTCAAAACAATCCCCACCACCACACCTCCCTTCAATCCAATTCTTAACAACACGAACAAACACTCACAACTTCTCTCTCTCTCCCTCTCTCGTTCTTTTGTCTGTCGGCAGCAACGGCCCAAGTATGCGTCTGTTTCAATGACAAACCTCGCGCAGGCCGCGACTTCGCAACCATCGCCGGCGTCAAACTTTGGCAGCCCAGCGGCAGCCATCGGCACGCATGCGCACTTGCAAGCCTTCATGTCGCCCATCTCGCAACGATCACCACTGTCGCGCATCCGAGGGCGCAAGGCCTCGCAAACATTGGCGCTCGGCGGGGCTGCGTCTTCGAGCGATATTGAAAAGTACATTCAGGGCTGCGAGCAAGAACTCGCGAGTACCGCTGCACGACAGCTGCCGCCACATTCACCTTCAGGCGGACCGCCACGTCGCCGAAGCGACGCCGACATCTCAACGCGCCTACGATTCCAGCCTGGTACCTTTGACGATGGCGGCCACCACCCGCCATTCAATTCGCGGCGTCCTTCCGAGACGGAGCTCCCAGCCGGTCCAGGGGCAGCGACAGGCGCAGGCAGCAGCGCCAGCAAGCGTCGTGCTAGCGAAACAGACTCGATGCGCTCGCATGCTGGCGGCTATCGGCGAGCCAGCGTGGACAGCGCTGCGTCGCATCAACGTTTGCTTCTCCAGTCAGGCCACAGCATGAACTCTCTTGCAACCATCAGCAGCGATAGCCACGGCGGCAGCATGGCCACCATTCATAGCGGTAGTAGCAGTACCGGCAGCACCTCCAATCTCAACGATGTTGCCACTTCCCTCTCCTCAAACCTTGTCTCGACGTTGAACGCGGCCGCGTCAATATCAGCAGACACTGCTGCTGCTGCTGCCACGCAAACAAACATTGACGCGTCAGCGGCGGCAGCAACTCCATCATCGCCGGCTGCAACCACCACGACTGCAGCCGCCGCCATGATGGCTGCACACGCCGTCATTCACTCACCGCGCGGCCATTCAACGTTACCCTTCGATTCGAGCAAAGCGGCCTCCAGAACGATGAGCGCACCGACAGACCGACCCCGCGCCTCCTCCTCTCCGTCCTCGGACTACATTCTCCAGCATGGCATCATCCATGGAGTGCCCATGTTTGCTTCTTCTTCGGACACGGACACCGAGGTTGAGGACGCCGACGCCGAGGCCCACGACTCTGTCTTCCCCCTGCGGCGGCCGTCCGCAGCCAGCTTCTCGTCCGTGTCGTCGAATAGCTCGCACCTGACCGAATCCGACATTTCCACATCCAACCGTTCCAGCTTTACGGGCAAGTCTGCCGCCGGCCTGAGCGATCCCGGCACAAAGTTGACTGGTAGCGTGGCCACCACCGCTTCGGCAGCAGCAACAGCAGCAGCAGCATCGGCATCATTGCAGCAGCAGCAGCATGCATCACAGTCCATCCCTACCGCGCAAAGGCAGGCCCGGGTCGTGGTCACGACTCTGCCCCTCACCCGAGTCCACCGTCATCTGCTCCATCCAACGTGCCTGGCTCGCCAGGGCGGCATGGAACCAAGCCGCGCTCGGCCAGTGCATCCGAGCAGCCCGCACCCAGCCTTCCCAGCGCGCGGTCCACCGCGAACAAGCGACACTCGGATTTGGCAGAGCACCCTCGACTTCCGATCGTCTCCATTCGGGCACCGTCCGAAGCCTTGTTGGAGAGTGTCAATGTGCCCCCTTCGTTGCACAATTACAGTGACCACGCTCTTGCTGTCCGTCCGGCCGAGTCGAGTCCTGGCCAGCGATACCGCCGCAACAGCTCCGACTCTGGCTCTGCACCTCGACGGGCTGTGACGGCAACGTCCTCGTCTTCCTCAACCAATGCTTCGTCGCTTGTATCTGGAGTCAACTCACGGCACCCTTCGTCAGGAATGGTGCAGTTTGTGCGTCCCGCACAGATCGAGCAGGCGACTCTCCACGCCAAACTCGTGGCTGGTGACGAGCTGCACTCGTTTTCGTTTGCGTCCATCTCTTCCTTCCGCGCGCGTACCTTCTCCAGTAGCGGCCAGCAGCAAGTGCTTTTGCCTGTTGCTCCGCCATCGGCCCCTCCTCAGCTTGGCTCTGGTCCGAGGTACAATGTGGCTCTCGACACTTCGTCGTCCTCCGACTCGACCGCTCCTTCTGTGGCCGTCAACACGTCTCGCTCATCAGGCACATCGATTCCGTCGTTTGAAATGTTCGCCTCCACCTTCTCCGAGCGCGAGCAGCAGTCGCTCATGGGCGCGTCCAGCCCGTTTGTGCTCGGTCGCAGCTCCCGCGCTGGCTCCCGACCTTCTTCTCGACCTGCGAGCTTTAGCCTGGTGGAAACAGGCGGGGCCTCGACCGCCGATGGCGCTGCCCAGGTTCGCCAGCTGCATCGCGTTTCGTCCGCCCTTTTGAACTCGCCGCTCGCTGGCGTGAGTAACACCGGCAGCTCCGGGGCTGGCGCATCTGCAACCTCCCTGCCAGCCATCACTCACAGTCAAGGCGGTAAGGTCATCATCATGATGGACAGCCAGACCGTGATTGTGATGGCAAATGATCGCGCCTGCAAGCTCTTTGGCTACGGCCGCCGGCAGTTTATTGGCCAACCTCTTGTCTCGATGCTTGCCTCAACCGAAAGCGCGCGTTTCAACAAGCTGGTCGCCAAGGCAGAATCCCATAGATTGGATATCATTTCGAGTGGCAAGGTACTGGACGCGGTAGATGCGCAAGGCAAAGTGTTCCCAGTGTCCTTGTGGATGAAGCGCGTCGAAGCAACGGGCCAAAAGGCACGGTTTGTGGCCGTGCTCGAGCCGGTTGAGCGCATCACGGCGACTGCCGTCCTCGATTACCGTGGGCGGTTTATCTCGGCCGACCAGCAGTTCCTCTCGATTTTTGGCAGTCCCTTGGAGGAGCTGGCCGCCATGCATGCTGACAGCCTCATCCCGCAGCTCGCCTTCCCTCTCCCTTCCATGCTGCCCCCGGATGTGATCTTCCCTCTCGGATCGCCGTCCGCTCACTCGTTGAGCGGGTCGCAGGTTGGCTTGTCTTCGCGCTCGAGCTCAGTCTCCACCATCCCTATTCTCTCCGCCGCATCCAGCCACACGCAATTGAACGAAGTGCATCTGACTCCTCCCCGTCACTCGCGCCTCCAAGAAGGATCTGCTTTGCTCGCACAGGACGACGCCATTGAGTCTGCCAGCGTGCCGCTCACACCGCTCACCCCGTTGCCTGCCGCGACTGCCGACCCACTGTCCACCACCGCGTCCAATTCTCCCGCGCCGTCGTCCCCTGCACCGCTCAAGACAAAGTTTGACGCCATGGAAGATCTTTCGAGTATCAGCCCCGTCAGCAGCCCAAAGCCCAAGGGAGGCTTGCTCCGTTCCTTCTTTGCGCCTTTGACAGGAGGTTCAAAATCCGCCTCTCAGCCCTCCTTGATGGCGGTGCACGCTCAGGCATCAGCTGAGGCGCTGCTCAAAAGCACTCAGGCTGCAGCCACTCCACCAGCTGCGGACTCGGCAGCGAGCAGCGGAGCGTCTTCAACGGCATCCCTGCCACCTACGGGGGCGGCGGCGGCAGGCAGCGATCGCCAGGCTACTACTGCTGCGCCTCGCCAAGTGTCTCGCCAGTCCAGCTCGTCCCAGCTTTCGCGCCGCTTGCATCAGGAACCTTCTGCGAGCAACGATTCCGAGGCAACCAGCACTTCGCTCTCCTCTTCTGTCGAATCCAATTCTGGAGTTACTCCGGCAATGCGCAAGTATCTCGAGTCTCGCGCCTCGATGGAATCGCTCGACATTCCAGCCTCGTTTGTCAAGTCGGTCGAATTTTCGTCCAGCGGCTCGTCGGGGATGCCCGAGTCGTCGTTTACCTCTGCGGCACTGACCCACTTGCTTGCAGAGGGCGCGACCACGAAAGGCCCGGACGGCAAGCCATCGGACACCACATCCGACGCCACTTCTGGCGCACGCACGACGGGCGCCTTGCAGCAGCAACCACAGCAGCCAACTCTCAGGAAGATGATGAAGCATAGTCCCGGCGCGTCGTCGGGTGAAAAGTTGCTGCACTCGAGTGCGCCAACCCTACCAACTCCCGTTCCGGAAGTGCATTTGCCCGACCTGCCTCCCACGCTCGACTATGAAGCCCGCACCTTCCACAGCGCCGAGCTCGGCAAGCGCCAGCACATTGCTGCATACACCCGAGATGGCACTGTCTTCCCTCTGATGGCCACGATCGGTCTCGACCCCGGCGCCTTCCAGCTCCAGGACGCCTTGCTGGACGACCCGAGCGGCGTCGGACCGACTGGCACGCTGACGGCATCCAGCTTGCAGAAAATGTGGGAGCCCCACCCATTCTTTACCCTCACCGTGAATGTTTTCACCAACCTCAGCGGTATGGTGTGTTTCGATGCCTTTGGAACCATCCAGTCGTGCAATCACATGTTTGTGCGACTCATGTTTGGCTACTCGCGCGCCGAGCTCGTTGGCAAGCCCCTGAGCGTGCTCATGCCTGATTTGGTGTACTCGCTTACGCCATTGAACGATCTTTCTGGTCGCTCCCAGACTGCACCGACACCATCCAGCGCGGCGCAGCACGCAGCAGGCCCGGACTCGGACGATTCGCACTCTGCTTCCTCCCAAACAAGCTCCATTCGGCGATCCGGTCGCGGCCCATCGCAGTCTGCACGAACTTCCGAGATTGATATGGAGAGCATTCTGGTGTCCACTACGATGACACCAGGGCGGCGATTTGGCGCCCGACCGACGAGCCAATTGACCGACGAACTGGATATGGCCCCGTCCGACATTTTGGACGACAGCGACGATGGCTCGGCTGTTGCCCATCCGTTGACTCTGCCAGAAGGCACCTTCCGCGTCACGGCAAGCCACAAGGACGGACAGTCCATGCCCTTGCTCATGCAAATCAAACGCGTCATTCTCGACGACGATTCCACATTGTATTGTTCCTGGATTATGAATGAGCTTCCATGGGTTGCCGCCTCGTCTTCCGCGTTTGCCGGCGCTCATACGGGCGCTTCGGACGCTGCCCCATCAGAAATGCTCCAACGGGCCGCCTCTTCCACGCTCTTGCGGCCCGACTCTCCAGCGCTGTCTGGGCGGCCGGCCCCGACTGAGGCAATGCTGTTGCACAGTGCCAGCGCAAGCGATCTCATCCGCTCGATCGCAGCCGCCGCAGCAACAGTTCGGACCCCGCCGAATGGCTCGGGCTCGTCGTCCTTGTCGGCGTCGCTGTCTTCGCTGCCCACCACAGCGACTGCAGCCGCATCGTCCGTTGCCCCAACCTGGCGATCGCTTGGACCGAGCCAATTTGGCAGTCTTGCAAGCGTGAGCAGCGGCTCTGGCGGCGCGTCCATGTCGGCCTCGAACAGTTCCCTCCAAAGCCAACACCCAAGTCCCGCCAGCAGCTCTCGCATTATCTACGGCGGATCCGTCAACAACCTCGAAACAGTCGGCGCTTACCAACAGTATCCAACGGCGTTGGTGCCTTCTGAGAGTGAATCGCCGCTGGCTGGAACCACGACGCCAGCGGCCATGGCGTCCATACGCTCTGCAGAGTCGGCGTCACCAAGCTTGTTCAAGTATGCGTCTCCACCACCGGCACCCACCTCTGGTGGCCTGATGCGCCCCTCGGCATCCTTGAACGCCATTCCGTCGTCGGTGAAGGCGTCCGTTTCTCCCGCGCTCTTTGCGACCGACAGTGCTGATAGCCTGCTGTCCAGCACCAATGTTCTCTTGTCCAATGCCCGCAACAAGCGAGAAAGCGTGCTGAGCGCTGGTTCGCGCAACAGCTCCTCCTCGTCGTCGTCCTCGATTCAAAGCGCAACCAGCCACCCAAGCATTCCCAGCAGCGCTTCGACGAGCGTCAAGGGCTCGCTTTCGTCCGTGACTTCCACAAGCGCGACATTGCTCTCACAGCAAAATCAGCAGCAGCAGCAGCAGATGTCGGGTCTAGACCTGTCGCCAGAGGCCACCAGCCATCGCGACGGGAGCGCCTCCCCTCAATCCGCTGGGCTATCGCCAATGGCAGTTGCGCGCACCGCCAGCTATCCGAGCTCGCCCTCTCCTGCCAGCCGACGTTTGCAACCGAGTGAGCGTCAAGGGGTCATTGAACAACAGCTCAGCCACACCCTTTCCCGCCAGTCCTCGGGCGAGTTGGTCATCCCCACATCAACGGCGGACGCCGAGCTGCTCGCATTGCAGCATGCATCACAGTCCATCCCTACCGCTTCGGAGAGCCGCCTGCATGCGCTCGCGGCTGTGACGGCAGCCGCAACGACATCCATGCCCGAACAGGAGGCGACTGCCGAGCAACCCGGCTTGCCACGCGTGTTTGAGCATTACTACTCCGAGTCCGACCTGCTCGGTAAAGGCGCTTTTGGGTTTGTGAAGAAGGCCGAGCGCAAAGACAATGGGCAAAAGGCAGCCGTCAAGTATGTCTTCAAGGAGAAAATTTTGCCAGACTGCTGGATGCAGCATCAGCAACACGGTAGCATTCCATTGGAAGTGGATATTCTGCTGCAAGTGTCGCACGGCAACATTATTGCATTGCTCGACTTTTTCGTTTGCGACGAGTTCTTTTTGATTGTCATGGAGCGCCATGGGCCCGGCATTGACTTGTTCCAGTTCATTGAGGACAACGCTGTCATTTCTGAAATGCTTGCGAGCCATCTCTTCCGTCAGGTGGCGTCGGCCATTGAGTACTTGCACGAACGCAACATTCTCCACCGCGACGTCAAGGACGAGAATCTCATCATTAACGAGCGCTACCGTGTCAAGCTCATTGACTTTGGCTCGGCGGTCAAGCGGACTCCCGACCAGCTGTTTGAAACGTTTTGCGGCACGCTGGAGTACTGCAGCCCTGAAGTTCTCCTGGGCAATCCGTACCCTGGTCCCGAGCTGGAGATTTGGTCCATGGGCGTCACCCTGTACACGCTTGTGTTTGCCGAAAACCCCTTCATGGACGTCGAGGAGACGCTCAATGCCCGGCTCAATCCTTCGTTCATGGTATCGACGGGTGAGTTTGCTTTTGGTTTTTGTTTTGAACTGTTGTTGTGCATGTTTTCAAGGTTTTGCTGCAAATTACTTTTTCTGACAAACTTCTCACTCGAATTGATTTGTGTGTTGCTTTGGTACTTGCTTCACCCCAGATTGCATGTCTTTGATTCGAAGCATGCTTCACGTCGATCCCGAGCATCGAGCAACCATTAAAGATGTTGTCGCGCACCCGTGGCTTCACCAGCGCGTGGATCCAGGCATTCTACTCTCCTTCCCTTACTAATAAGCAGTCCAGTGTTTGTGGGCGGAGCGCAGTCGGTTCTGGTGCTCCCCAGCGTTCAGTTTTGTTCCCCATATCTCACCCTCTCACTCCTCTTTTGTTTTTCTTCTCGATCTCGTTTGAATCGTATTTCGTTTGTTTTCCATTGTCTGTTTTTCATCTTGTAATGTACAATGTACAACTCGTGATCATTCCTGCAACGATTCGCTTTTCGACGAGTCTATCGCGGCGTCAACTGCCATCCAGGGATGTGCAAGCACATCTGCAGGCGTTGCTCGCTCTTCCGCATTGGTCATTAATAATCTTGAAATCAAGTTCTGGAGGTCGTGAGACACGGATGTTGGGAAAGAGTACCTGCAGGAGCCAGAAAAAAAAAAAAAAAAAAAAACAACAACCAAAACAAAAGCTCACCAAGACATGTGAGACTGCCATTCTCACAACCTCCACGAATGATGGCGCTCGGCAAATCGCTCACCGTGCAGAAAGCACATCGTCCAAAAAGGCGTGCATGTTGTCAGAGTGGGCACGAGAGTCGAATGGGAGCCGCCCCACAGCTAAAAAGTACAGAATGATACCACAGGCCCACATGTCGATCAGTTGACCCGAGTAGCATTTGCCGTGTATTTGCTCGGGGGAAATGTACTGTACGCTTCCCACCAGCGTGGTAGAAAACATGTCCCAGCCCTCTGCAAAGACGCCCGCATGCCCGAAATCAGCCACTTTCAGGACGCCGTCTTGTGTGAGCAGTAAATTCTCAACGCGCAAATCGCGATGACAGACGCCCACCGAGTGTGAGTACTGAATGGCCAGGATCAGGCGGCGGAAGAGTGGCCGAATTTCGTCTTCGGGAAGCCCACGCCCACGGTGCGCCACTACGTCGTACAGGGATTGGTCGCAGTGCTCAAGGACGAGAAAGATGTCCGTCTCAGATTCAAGCACTTGCAACAGAGCGATGATGTTTGGATGCGTGAGAAGCTCCATGGCTTTGATTTGAACATCCACCTTGGACATTTGGGCCACGTTCCCCTTCTCTATCACTTTGATGGCACGCTCTGTTCCGGTCGGCTGGTGAATGGCGCGCTTGACAACACCTTCTGCGCCATATCCAACCGTCTCCATCAGTTTGTAGTCGCCCAATATCTTGGCTTCGTCGTGCGGGTCTGCGACAGAGACGGAGCGGTACTCTGCCGTCAAGTGATCAGCAAAAAGCAAGAAGGCAGCCTGCGTGAGCTCCAGAGGTAGACTGACTGTGAGTGCATCCAGGCTGGCCGTTGCTGGTCCCGGTATTGCTGTGGCGAGTCGTCCTTCATCGCGGCCGAAGGCGAACAAGACTAGCTGCGAAGGGCCAAGTTGCTGTACAAGTGATCGAGTTTGACGTGCCGACGGCATTCCCAACGGAATCTGCTGGCAAGCGAGTGGCAAGCGAGCGGCAAGCGGCAAGCGGCAAGCAATCAGCCGTCAGAAGCAAACAACAACAACAACAACAACAACAACAACAACATCAAACCAAAAAAAGCGACACATCGCTACTGGGACTTGTTGTTTACCATGGCATGGATCAAGCCCAAGTCGCCTATTGAAATGCCATCATTGTTCAAGGCGAGAATCAAGTGCTGCAACGCATTCGTACTTATTGTCGGAGATTGTTCGTAGTGCACCTAGATTCGCAGACAAAGTTTGTGAGACAAAGCAAGTCTGAGGGTGCTGGCACCAGCCGGGCCCATAGTGGGACTTGCCAATCGAACAAGCCAAGAGACAAAAGCCTCTCGTCCGTCATCTGTGCGCAGGAATTGTCGCAGGTACCGTGCAGGCTCTGACAGAATGAGGTGTCGGATTTGAGCGTCGAGCGCGTTAGAGGGCCCTCCTACGCTACTTCTGGGCTGGTCTGTGGCACAACCAAGCCAAGCGGAACATGAAACATTTCGTAGGAGCAGAAAACAAACCACCCAACCACCAAAGGATCATGCTTGTTCGGCAAAGATCTCGTACCCTCGGATTCGTTATCTGTTGAATAGCGTGTGCACATTGGGACTAGCACGGCTTGGTTGGAACTGGCGCTGTGTTCGCCTACGATTGATGGCAACACCAACACCATCAGGAGCAACTGAGTCATCGGAACATTGCAGCGCACTTTAGTGCTCCAAATCCAAAGGCCTCCATACCATGCACGCGAGCTGCAGCCTCACGATCAAAGACAAGTCGCGTCGGGTGCCTTTGGTGGTGTCGGATAGTGTGCTCTTCCAGCAATGCGAATTCTTGCGGACGGCGACTGAAACCGTCGAATTGGAGCGCAGCAGCTCGAAAGCGTCGCGGAAGGTATTTGGTCTGGGTGCTTCCAGAAGCCAAACTTGATGGATGGGATTGATGCAATGCAACGTACTTTGTCGCCGCTCGAACATGTCCCAGAAGGTTGCAAAACTCGCTCATGCCAAGCCGTCCAGCTCGCTTTGTGTCAAACTGATCCAGTCAATGGATGCATGGATGGACCACACATGCAAGGCCACACAAGTTCAACATGCAATCCACAGCAACAAGAACAGAAGCAAGTTTTGTGAGGACATGTTAACTTTTGACGTTCTGAGCAAATGCGAAAACAAGGGGGGTAGGAAAAAGGTGACTGCCGGCTCGTTTTCTCCTGCACACACAGCAGGCGCGTACTTTTTCTCTCCTTGATGCTCTGTGATATAACCTGGGATGTATCTGTTTCTTACCAAGAAGAGCAGTGCGGGGCTGACAAAGAAGTGCTCGGGCAGGTCCGCTTGTGCCGCAGTGCTGCAGTCTGCCTCGGTCGGCCACGGCGTGCGACTCGTCCCGCGAGCCAGGTCGTCCAGCGTCAGATAGCCCTTGTTGCCTGTAAGATTTCACAACAAACATGTCCAGCACCGCGGAGGGAGTGGGGTCGGCTTGAAACCACTGCTTCACTTCCACCAGACGCGTCACCAAACCTCGATCCAGCTGGCGGAAGGCGGTCTTGTCGGCCGAGAGACACCCGCCCATCGCAGCGACAGCAAATCAAGAGGCGTTTTTTTGGAGAACAAAAGCAGAGACGAAAACGAAGCAAAGCGAAGCGAAGCGCAGACAAGGAACGGATTGATTCTTTGGAAAAAGACTTCAAAGAAAAGAAGAGAGACTGAGAAAATCTGAGAGCTGCTGCTGGCTGAGGAATAGCTGAGGAATAGAGAAGCATGAGTGAGTCGATTTTTACTTTGGGTCTCAAGAGAGTTGACCTTTCAAGGACGTGACTTTGGTGATTGCCGAAAGGTCTAGATTTTACTGAACCGTGTGTATACACAAATGTATACATTTGCCTGCAGCTCGCCATTGCATCACGCACGTTATTTAAGAGCTCGATAATCACGCTGGGAGAGTTTGTGTCGGTCTGTTGTTTTGTTTCCCAATTCTCAGCCGCACTTTGGACCCATCCAAATCAAGCCGAATCAAATCACTCCCTCGCATTCGCCACTTCCTCGTTCATCCTCCACCATGGCCTCGATCCATCAAACTTCCATCCATCCATCCATCCATCCATTGAGACATAAATGTGTGAAGATTTCATTGCAAGTTCATTCTTTTTTTTTTTTTTTTCCCTTGTTTTTTTTTTTTTTTTTCGCAGCCGTTTTGTTGCGGTTTCGTCGCGACCGCTTTTTTGTATCTTGTTATTTTCTCACCTGCAACAAACAGCGAGCAGGAAATTCATCGAATCAGCGACGAACGATTTGCGCAGTGAAAACAATAAAAAATCAAGACATCCACTGCAGCAGAGCGTCGTGAGAGAGGAGGGTGAGAAAGCGAGAGAGAGAAAGCCGAGACAAATGTCGTGCAGCGTTTGCCATCGCGAGCTGCTTGGCTGGCAGATTGTGCGTGTCCAGCTCCCGCCATCGTCATCGTCATCAACATCAGCATCATCAGCAGCAGCATCGGCATCAACCACATCAGCGCCGCCAGCAACGTCGGCAACGGCAACATTGGCAAACTCGCCTGCTGCCTCAACCGCCTCAACAGCCTCGTCTGCTGCTCCCACTGCTGTCGCTTCAGCCACACACAACAGCAGCAGCAGCCACCATCAACAACATCTCCATCCACAGTCGTCCGCCGCTGGCGAGTCTGCCGCCGCCGCCGCCGCCGCCGTTGCAGAGCCCGAGATTGTCGTCCAGTGCCGGACGTGCATTGCAGCCTACAACCAAGTCCCCGGCCGACCACCGCTCGTCGTGCTTCCTGGCTCGGGGACGCCCAATCGCGCCAACCCACCGCCGCCGCTCTCAAGCATGCCCGGTGCCGGTGCCAGCGCTGGCGGCGCGACCAGCCCAAAGTCCCCGACCTACGCCACTGTCTCTCGCGGCCGCTCCATGTAAGCGCGCTTCCGCTTCTGCTGCTCATTTCGTTTGCCCCTCCTTGTTTGTTGGATGCCATGTTTTGTTTGATGACGACGCGACTTTCATTTCGCATCACAATCGTGAGACTCACTTATCGTTCTTATGATTATGATGATGATTGATTGTCTTTTTTTTTTTTTTTTTTTTTTTTTTTTTTTTTTGGTTTTTTCACACAAAACAAACTACACATCGGATATCGGAAATCGCCTGGAACAACGTCGCTTTGGAACCTCGTCTCCAACAATGGTCGCAACTTGCATTGTCGGGATACAATTCGACCTCGTCGCATGATGTCGCTGGATCGGAAAACAAAACAAAACAAACAAACAAAACAAACAAATTCATCCCCAACAAATCAATCAACATTGTCTGATTTGACAACCGATTTGTCACTTATCGCATTGTTTGTTTGTTTGTTTGTTTGTTAATATTGTTGATGTTGTTGTTTTGTTGGTATTGTTGTTTTTGTTGGTTTTGCTCCATGAATTTGGACATTTGGTACTCTACAGTCGTGACAAGTCAGGCGATGGCACGTCGTCGTCGTCCACATCATTCAAGAGCAATCTGCAGCGAATCGTCGGAGGATCGCTTCGAGGTCCTGCGGGAAGATCGTTTGCCGCTGCTGCTGCTGCTTCTGCTTCTTCTGCGGAAGACGGCCAAGAACCACTCTCGCCAACTTCCCCAAAGAGCCCAATTTCACCACTGTCGCCATCAAAGCGTGCCCCACTCTCGGCCAACTTTTTCGATCGGCCAAGTGATGCGTCCGCAAGTCAACCCTACGCATCACCAAACGCCCGCGCAGGAGGCTCGCCTTCAACCGTCCGCAAAGTTGCGTCCGCTTCTCCCTCTGACGACGCTGCAAAGCGCATTCCCATGGACCGAACGGCTCCTTCCTGGGCGCGCATGTTTGGCTCGGAGCGCGCGTCCATGATCACCGACTCTCGCAGCTCGCGGTCGTCCTCGGATACGTCCTCGATGGGCGGATCCAACTCTTCGCTCAACCGGCCGGACAGTGGCTACGTCATTTATGCGGACGTCGAGATTGGGCGCCCCACGCGTGCATCCAGCTCGAGCGCCATCTACTCGACCATCGAGGACTTGCAGGTCAACAGCAGCCCCACATCGACCACCGGTGCCAATCCTCGAAAATCTGCGACCTCCAGCGCCATCGGTTCGGACCGGTCCAGCACAACGTCGACGACCTCATCTTCATCGTCCACATCCTCGTCGTCTTCAGCACCAGTCTCACCGGCTTCATCCAAAAGCCCCAAGCGCACCTCCAAAGTCATCTCGGATGCAGCAGTCAAGTTTGGCGGCTTGGTCGGAAGCCCCAATCCAAAGCCTCCCAAACCTGCAAAGCCACCAAAGGCGACCGCTTCACCGGCCTTTTTCACCCCGTCAGCCTCTACTGGTCGCCCTGTGAGTCTGACACGGGTGAATGTTCCAGCAGAATCATCCCCGACTGCAGCAGCAGGAGACGCGGCGCCAGCACGAGCACCTGCACCTGCACCCACCCCAACCGCAACCCCAACGCCGGAAACTGTCAAGCCTGTGGTCGCCGGGACGAGCGACACCGCTCCCCCCAATAATCTCGGCCAACCAGTGCGAGTCAAGTCGCCCCCGCCAAAGCGTCCAGTTCCAGGCTCGGCGGCTGCTAAGGGACCGGCACCCGCGCTTCCTGCTGCTGCTGGCACAAACTCTGCGAATACCGACGAGCATTCCTCAACGGCGACGATTGCATCCGCAACTACTGCCGGCTCGACGCAGCCTCCAGCGAGCGATTCATCCATTTCTTTGTCTGAATCGTTGCCGCGAAGTGGCAACCAAACCGCGACTCGTCTCGACTTTGACGAGCCCACGACTGCTTCGCTTGCAGCATTCGCCTTCCGTGCTGCTGCCATACACAGCTTTGCCGCTTCGCGCACCGACGAGCTCAGCATGTCCGAGAACGATACCATTCAAGTCGACCAGTGCCCCGACCCGGACTGGTGGATTGGCCGCAATCTGACTACCAAGGCTGGCCCTGGGTGGTTCCCAGCCAATCACGTTCAAAAGATGGATGCTGTTGCGGCACGCAAGAGCAAAATTGCCATTCCTGACCGCTTCTCTCGCATGAGCGCCGTTCTGGTGGATGTAAGCATTTGTGATGTTTCGAGTCTTTGGTTGTCGTGTGTTTTTTGGTGTCCTGGAACTCACTTGATTTTCCCGCTCCCCCCTTTCCTTCCTTGGCTCGAAGCTCTACCTACCGCAACTTGAGGTCGACTTTGACGAGATTGTCGACCTGTTCAAGCACACCAACGAGAACGATGACGACATGCCGGACAGCTTGTACGAGAACTGGGACATTACCGGACGCGTCCGCGAGCACAGCGATTCCGACCAACCCCGCGAGTTTTCAGACCTCGAAACAAAGCTTCAGGACATTTATGTATCGACGAGGGATTTGAATCTTCCCGAGAAGGCTGCCAAGGATCCGGTCAAAGAGGCTGCTGTGGACGCACTGCTGATGGATTTGCTAGGTTTGTCACTTCTATCTCTGTCGGATCAGTGTTCGGATCAAGGGTGCTGACAATGAGTTGTCTTGTCCATTTTTCCCCCTTCCTTGCTGTAGGTTACACCGTCGAAGCCAAAGCCGTCTACTCGTTCACGGCAACACGCAACGACGAGTTGAGCTTCCAAGCCGGTGACATGCTTCGTCTTTTGAATCAAGAGGACGATGATTGGTGGCAGGTAAAGATGGCAGCAGCGACAACCAGCCGACCCATTCTTCTTGACGATATATTCCGATTGAATGCTAAACTCATGAACATTAATCCTTCTAAAACCACAAAAACAAACCAACAAAAAACAGGGTCAATTGCGAGACAAAATTGGATGGTTCCCGTCAAACCACTGCGTTATCGAGTCGAGCAAAGGCCGCCCGGCCTCGCCTGCTGCGCTCGATGAACCAAAATCTCCAACGCTGACAGCCAGTTCCCCAGCAAAAGTACTGCCTCGACGCGGACCTCCCGCCCCTGCTGCCAAGGCCGTTGCGCCCGACTTTCTCGATCCCCTATTTGCTCGCGAAATGAAAAACGAGCGTATTGCGCGAGTCCGAGTGTGTGATTTCGAAAAGCGCAGCGAGCCCAAGTTCTATGTACGTCTCATTTTTCCATTTTTTTTGTTTGTTATGATTTTGATCATCGCGTCCTGACACGCTGCTCTCTCTCTCTCTCTCCAACCCATTCACAGATGTACATGCTTGCAGTCACAACATCTCGAGGTGTCTACTTTATCTACCGACGATACTCTGAGTTCTTCCAGTTTTATGAGCAAATGGTGGAAGCGTTCCCCGAGGCTGCCTTCCCTCCATTCCCCGGCAAGATTCTCTTTGGTCGAAGCCATGTTCGCAGCGTCACTGTCACGCGCATGAAGGATCTTGATGCGTTCATGCAGGTACGCCACACTTTGCTTCGTTCACGTTTGGTTTTTTTTTTTTTGGTGTGTGTGACACTCATTTGTGCATTGTTCACAGGGTTTATTGAGCATGCCAGAACTCGCCATGACCGTTCGTGACCGGCAGGACACATCCCGGCGAAATGACCGGTTCCTCACGTCTCAACGCGCGGGCGAATAATTTTTTTTCTCGGCACGATTCACCGATTCTCGTCGATTCTCGTCGATTCCCAATGCTTGCCACAGATGCTGCTTCGATTCTCGTTTTCCACCAGCTCACATTGTGCACACATTTAATTCTTTTTCCCAGGAAGTTGATTGTCGCCCTCTATGTTATAGAGCCAATTCTGCAGACTCGTTTTGTTCTTGTTGGAAAAATACACATTGTTAAGAAATATTTCCTTCTAATTATCTTACAATACACAAGGTTGCACGATGGCAACCTGGCGAAAAGAGAACAAAAAAAAATACAAACACAGTACTGAACAATAATCCTTCAACGGATTGCACCCTGCAGCAACAAGATCGTGCCCATCTAGCCACGAGCAGCAATTCGCTGGGGAGCAAGCTGCGAAGTGGATGCCAGGGTCACACCACCAGTCACCGGAAGCAAAGTTCGGCCCATCAGGTCCAGATCAATCTCCCGAGCAGCCATGCGGCCTTCGTTGATGGCCCAGACAATGAGGGACTGGCCGCGACGGCAATCTCCAGCAGCATAAATCTTGTTGGCATGGGTGCGGTAGGACACGTCGATGCCAAGACCGGGTTGCGGCAGCGCCGTGGCAAAGTTCCCTCGCGAGTTGAGCTGCACGCCCGCGGCGACGGCAAACTCCGACTCGGGTCCCTGGTACCCCATCGCGAGCAACACGAGATCAGCAGGGAAGGTGTGCTCCGACCCGGCAATCGACTCGTGGGTGTGGGCTGGCACATCCCAAGCCAGGCGGTTGGTGTGAACGCCCGTGACGCGCTTGCTCGAAGGGTCGACGGCAAATGCCGTGCTGAGCACAACGTACTCACGGGGATCTTTCTGGAAGACGGCAGCCGCCTCGCCGTGAGCATAATCCACCTTGAACACCTTGGGGTACTGCGGCCAAGGGTTGGCGGCTGCGCGCCCATCCTTGGACGGCTGGAGGTTGATCTCAAATTGGACGACACTGCGCGCGCCTTGGCGAATTGCTGTGGCAATGCAATCCGCGCCAGTGTCACCGCCACCAATCACCACAACGTTCTTTCCGTGGGCATCGTATTCGGCAGGCACCTTGTGGCCCGAGCTCTCAAAGTCTCCGAGAAGTGCGCGCGTCGACGGCTCCAAGTAGTCCATGGCAAAGTGCACACCTCGGCCATTGCGGCCAGGGACGGGCAAATCGCGAGGGACGGTGGAGCCCGTGCACAGCAAGACTGCATCAAATTCCTTGGCCAAATCGTCCACGGCTTGGGAGGTTCCGACAGCAGTATTGGGCACAAACACAACGCCGCTGGCACGAAGGAGCTCGATGCGACGCTGGACTGCGCGCTTGTCGAGTTTCATGTTCGGGATGCCGTACATGAGCAAGCCGCCAAACCGATCGGAACGCTCGTACACTGTGACGGAATGGCCAGCCCGGTTGAGCTGATCGGCGGCAGCCAGCCCTGCGGGCCCACTGCCCACGACAGCAACACGTTTGCCGGTGCGGTGCATCGGAATGATCGGCTGCACCCAGCCTTGCTCGAAAGCATGGTCAATGATGGCGTTCTCGACATTCTTGATAGTCACCGGCTTGTCAATGATGCCCACAACGCAGGCACCCTCGCAGGGCGCAGGGCAAGCACGGCCCGTGAACTCTGGAAAGTTGTTGGTGGTCGACAGTTGCAGGTAAGCCTCGCGCCAGTTGCCCTGAAAAACGAGCTCGTTGAACTGGGGAATCAGGTTGCCAATCGGGCAGCCGTGTGACTTGGACTGGCAGAACGGCACGCCACAGTCCATGCATCGCGAAGTCTGCTTTGCCAGGTGTTCATCCGACGAAGCGGTGGCCACCACGACGGGAGTCGCCGCGGCCTTCGTCTGGGCACGCTCGGATGCCGTGGTTTTGCCTTCGACATGGGTCGGATGGAGCACTTCCTCCCAGTCGTGAACGCGGTCGGCTTCATTGCGATATCCAACTTCCTCGCGTTCAACCGTCACAAAGCCACGCAGCTTGTCAAGCGGCTTGGCAGAGGTGAACGAGGAGCTGGTTGGTTTGATGGTCGAGTTGGCCCCGCTGCGACGAGCGGCCGCCATCGAGAAGAAGCGACGAGGGGCGGCATCAAAAGCGGGCGCCTGTTTGCTCGCAGCCGGTTGCTGAAGCTGTTGCTGCTGTTGCTGCTGCTTCTGCTGCTTCTGCTGTTCGAGCACTCGCTTGTAATCGTGGGGGAAGACTTTGACAAACTTGGGGCGGATGGACTCCCAATCGCTCAGAATGGCTTTCGCCACTGCCGAATCGGTGCGCGTAACATGCTCACGGATCAGTTCCAAAAGCTCAGTCTCGTCGCTCGAGCCGGCAGCGACACGCTCCAAAAGAACCATTTCGCGGTTGCAACGGTGGGAAGAAAACTCATTGTCGCGGTCGAGCACGTAGGCAATGCCACCCGACATGCCAGCGGCAAAGTTGATGCCAGTCTGGCCAAGAATGACCACTCGACCGCCAGTCATGTACTCGCAGCCGTGATCGCCAACGCCCTCGCAAACGGCGAGCGCGCCAGAGTTTCGAACGGCAAATCGCTCTGCCGCAACGCCAGCAAAGAAGGCGCGTCCAGAGGTGGCGCCGTAGAGGCAAACATTGCCCACAATCACATTCTCGTCGCTCTTAAACTCGGCAGGCATGTCCAACGGGGGTCGCACAACAACAATGCCTCCAGAGAGACCCTTGCCCACGTAATCGTTCGAATCTCCAAAAAGCTTGACGGTAATGCCCGGCGCGAGGAAGGCAGCCAGGCTTTGACCGGCCGAGCCGTGGAGTTGCAGCACCAGCGCGTCGTTCGATGGCAGGCCGGCAGCTCCAAACTTTGCAGTTGCGTGGTAGCTAAGCAGCGTGCCAAACGTGCGATCAATGTTCTTGATGGTCGTTTCGACCGTGAGAGCCGTGCCGACCGAAGGCGCAGCAGGGCCCGTCAAGAGCTGCTTCAGCGCCTCGTTTTCGCTCAGCAGCCGGTTTTCGAGTTTTGTCGCCTCGAGCGCATCATGCTGCTGTGGCGTCGTGAAGCGGGTGGGCACGTTTGGACGCAGAGTGAATGCCGGTGTGAGCAAGCCCTTCAGGTCGATCGACTGCAACTTGGCAGCAAACTGCTCTGGCTGCAGTGGATCCGCGGCACGCTGTGCCAACCAATCCGACCGACCGACCAGCTCGTCAAACTTGCGGACACCCAGCTTGGACATGATGCCGCGAATGTCCTCTGCGAGCATGAAGAAAAAGTTGACGACGTGCTCCGGCTTGCCAGCAAACTTGGCGCGCAGGACGGGGTCCTGCGTGGCAATACCAACAGGGCACGTGTTGAGATGGCACTTGCGCATCATGGTGCAACCCAACGCGATCAAGGGCACGGTGGCAAAGCCAAACTCTTCCGCACCCAGCAATGCTGCCACGACAACGTCGCGGGCGGTGCGAAGTTGGCCATCCGTCTGCAAGACAACGCGGCCGCGAAGGCCGTTGAGAACGAGCGTCTGGTGCGTCTCTGCCAGGCCGAGCTCCCAAGGCAGGCCGGCGCTTTTCACGCCCGTCCAAGTGCTGGCACCAGTGCCGCCATCGTGACCCGACACGAGAATGTGGTCGGCCTTGCCCTTGGCCACACCCGAGGCGACGATGCCCACTCCCGTTTCCGAAACAAGTTTGACGCTGATGCGAGCCTTGGGATTGGCGCACTTCATGTCGGAAATGAGCTGCGACAAGTCCTCAATCGAGTAAATGTCATGGTGCGGCGGCGGGCTAATCAGACCGACTCCAGGGGTTGAGTGACGCGTGGCCGCAATGTTGCCCGTGACCTTGTGGCCAGGAAGCTCGCCGCCTTCGCCCGGTTTGGCGCCTTGGGCCATCTTGATTTGGATTTCGTCCGAGTTGTACAGGTAGTCGATGGTTACGCCAAATCGCCCAGAGGCAATCTGTTTGATGGCAGAGCGCATCGAGTCTGCCTGCGGTGTGCTGGACGAAGCAGACGACGCAGCAGCGGAAGGATCAGAGGCGTAGCGCTTGCGGTCTTCGCCGCCTTCGCCAGTGTTGCTCTTGCCACCAATGCGGTTCATGGCAATGGCCAGAGTGGTGTGTGCTTCCTCGGAAATGGAGCCATAGCTCATGGCGCCAGTGCAAAACCGTGTCAAAATGGAAGCCGCCGACTCAACCTCCTCAAGCGGAACGGCTGCCGACCCGGACGACTCTGACGACGCTGGTGTGTCGACTCCGACAATATCAATCACTCCACGCAGTGTGCAGCCGCGAACTGCCGCGTTTGCATACTCAGTGTACCGGGCAAACGCGTCGGTGTTGTTCCGGCGGGCAGCGTCCTGCAGGAAGGCAATGCTCTCGGGATCGTTGATGTGCGCTTCTCCGTTGGCTCGCCAGTGATAGTCACCGCGATTGGCCAAGGATGCAGAGAGCAGGCTACCTGCCGTGACGGGGACAACAGGATGGCGATCCTTCACGCTGTGAGGTGTTTGATGCAGAGGCTGCTGGCCCACGCTGGTCGCCAACTCGTCGGCGGCCGCTGGGGCGTCCTGAGTGAGCGTTGCGGCTCCGGCTGCCTTGGTGCTCGCAAGTAAGTGCAAGTGGTGCTGGTTGGCACGCGCACGGGCCGCTGTTGTGCTGAAAAGCCGAACTGCGGCCGCGCTCGTTGTCGGTGCCTTGAACGACAGCCCTTGCAGCGAATGCGAAGACAGCGACGACGACAGATAGGGCAGTTCTGTTGGCAGGCCTTGGACGACCGACTGTTGCTCACGATGCTGTTGCAGCAGTACTTGGGCAAGCCTGTGTCGCTCTTCCGTGTCATAGGCAATCTCGGCAAAACCAATGCCGCCGACGGCCGAGGTCGTTCCCGTAAAGCACAAGTCAATCACGGACTGTCCGAGACCAATCGCCTCAAAGATTTGGGCACCCTTGAAGCTTTGAAGCGTGGAGATGCCCATCTTGGCCATGACCTTGAGCATGCCGGCATTGACGGACTTGATGTAGTTGTAGTCCGATTGTGATACGTGGGTGCTGTTGGCGCGCCCATGGACATCGGGACGGATGGTGTGCTTGTGCGACAGGCTGCGAATGACATCCAGAGCCAGGTACGGACAGACGGCATCGGCGCCAAAGCCGACCATGAGGCAATGGTGATGGACTTCGCGCGCCTCGGCAGTCTCCACGATCAGAGCAACCTTCAATCGTTGTCTCGAGCGCAGCAGGTGCTGGTGAACAGCACCCACGGCAAGCAGCGCGCTGATGGGAGCCGCTTGTTCAAAGCGCGACGAATGAGCCGATGCGGGGTTTGCAGACAAGGCCGCCTCCGTTTTGGCGACAAAGCCTCGGTCGCTCAGCACAATGAAGGAGTAGCCTTCCTCCACTGCAGCGCTGACGTCCTCGCACAAGCGATGAATGGCACGCTCGAGCTGGTGCTTTGATTGAGTGTCGCCGCGACGACGACGACGACGACGACGACGACAAGGCGTACTCGAGAGGGAAAACCCGAGTGGCAAAGCCGGTTGAAGGATCCAGCTGTTCGACATGCTTGATGGCATCGAGCTGTGCGTCGGTGAGAATGGGCGAGTCGAGCACCAGACGGTGGCATTGCTGCGCGCTCGTTTCGAGAATGTTGCCAGAAGGGCCGACAGCGCAGCGCAGAGACATGACAACCGCCTCGCGAATGGGATCGATGGGAGGGTTGGTCACCTGGGCGAAAAGCTGCTTAAAGTACTCGGAGGGCAGCTTGGGGAAGCGCGAGAGGACGGCGAGCGGGGCATCGTTGCCCATCGAGCCGAGCGCCTCCTTGCCGTGCTCACCCATCGGCGCCAAAAGCATCGACACGGTCTCTTGTGTGTAGCCAAAGAGCGGGAGCAGAATTGAGCGAACAGCCTGCGAGGGTCGCACCAGTTTCGACGAGCTGGCAGTTTCGCCCTTGAAGGCAGTGGAGCCAGGCAACGAGGCCCAGGCTCCCGAAAAGTTGTCATGCTCCGACTGCGAACGCAGCTGCTCGGCCTTCTCGACCAACGGGAGCAACCGCACCGCGCCCTTAATCCATTTGCCATAGGGTCGCGACGTGGCCACCTTCTCCTTGAGTTCGTGATCGTTGACAATCTTTCCTTCGAGGGTGTCGACCAGAAGCATTCGACCAGGTTCCAAGCGGCCCTTTTTCTGCGGAGCGCAATGATGGCAAAACAAAACAGTGCGATACACAGCGAGTCAGCGACCAGAAAAAACAACAACAAAGGGTTCCACGCACACACAGCTTTTTTTTGTTTTTTGTTTTTCCCCCGTTTTCGCAAAAAATCCAAATCACAAAACCTACAATAATGCTGTTGCTGGGGATGCCTTCCACAACGCCAATCTCACTGGCCATGACCAACAGATCGTCCTTGGTCACCAGGAAGCGGCTGGGGCGAAGCCCGTTGCGGTCCAGCGTCGCTCCAGCAAAGCGTCCGTCCGTGAAAGTGAACAAGGCAGGGCCATCCCAAGGCTCGCTGACATGCGACGCCCACTCGTAAAAGTGACGCCGCGCCGCAGTGCTTCCGGAAGTGGTGATGCCATTCGCGCTGGAGTGCATGTTTTCCCAAGCCTCGGGCACGAGCATCATCATGGTCTCCGGCAGCGAGCGGTCGGAGCAGTTGAGCAGAAACTCGAGCGAGTTGTCGAGTGCCTGCGAGTCCGAGCCGTTTGGCTCAATCACGGGGTAGAGCGAGTCCAACGCGGCGAAGTGGGGGCTCGACATGACGCCTTCCCTCGCGCGCATCCAGTTCTAGTGACGATACAGCAAAGAAAACAAACAAACAACCAATACAAAACATAACAAAACAAACAGCAAATCACGGTGAGAACCGGAAACAAAGATCGACCCACTCTGTGTGATCAAATGGCCTACCGAGTTGCCTTTGAGCGTGTTAATCTCGCCGTTGTGACCAATATAGCGCAGGGGCTGCGCTCGTTCCCAGCTGGGGAAGGTGTTGGTGCTAAAGCGACTATGGACAATGACGACATGCGAGGAGAAGAGGGGGTCGCTCAGGTCCTCAGGAAAGTAGGGGAAGAGCTGCTCGGGTGTGAGCTGGCCCTTGTACACGATGGTGCGCGTGTTGAGGCTGCAAAAGTACAGCGGTGCCGAGGCAGCGAGTCCTTTGCGGGCTTCGCGCATAAAGCGAAAAGCGCGCCTTCGGAGCGTGGCTTCAGCAACTGGAATGTTGGGAGCCTCGTTCGGCACCACAAACAGCTGCGAGATGCCCGGCTCGGCGGACTTGGCCACACTGCCCAGACTGCTATTGTCGGTGGCAATGTCGCGCCATGCCAGAACAGCCAGCCCGCTGGAGGCAGCTCGCTCCTCAAGCGCGCGCTTGGTGGCTTGGCGCACGTCGGGATTGGCGCTTAGAAAGACCATGCCAGTTGCGTACTGGCCGAGCGGCGGCAGCGTCACACCTTGCACCTCGAGCGCGCGGGCGTACAGCTTGTGCGGGATGGAGGCGAGAATGCCAGCGCCGTCTCCGCTGTTCTCCTCTGCACCGACGGCACCTCGGTGGGTCATGTTGACCAGCACCTCGCGTCCGTGCTTGACAATGTCGTGCGAAGGGTTGCCCTTAATGTTGACAATCATGCCCACGCCACAGCTGTCCTTCTCGAGCTCTGGCTGATACAGGCCTTGAGCAGCGGGGAAGCGCGTGAATGCATTGTTGCCTGGACTCGGCTGTTGTTGTTGCTGCGCCAGAGTGGAGGCGCGACTTGGCGGTTGGTACGTTTTGTAACCTCGTCGTTTTAGTAGCATTGACGACGGCAGACCTCGTGCGGTCGAGCACGTCGAAAAGACAGCTCTGAGATGGCAAGATAGACATGCAATAGGAAGGTGAGTGCAGGGAGTTTGACCATGAATGGGTTTTTTTGGTATTTTGGTGGCTGCAGGAATCTTGCATGTGCTTTTTTCCCCTTTTCCGCCTCCCCCCTGTTTTTGCCCTTATGTCATGCTGATAGGAGGCAAGCTGATTCCGAGCTATTAATATTGTCGATACTGTGCTTTTTTTTTTTTTTTTTTTTTGGGCAACTGTTACCGCCAAACATTGACTCTGTTTTTGTTTTTTCCCGCCAAACGTCGGCTGTTTAATTTTTGATTGTTGATTTCCACTCTCGGCGTCGTGTTACTTCAGACAGCTCAACGAACAACTTCAGAGACTGACTGACTGACTGACTGACTGACTCTGATGTCGAGCATTTTGCCATTCGAAAACAAAACGAGTTCGAGTGTTGGAATCGAAAAGAAAGAACGCTCGCGTTTTCAAAACACAACATCACATGCAAAAAAAGCACCCGAAAATCGATAAAAACAAAAATACAAAAATTCGAAAAAAAGAAAAAGAGAAGCGCAAAAAGCAGATGTCTCGCTCGCTGACTCATTCTGGCAGAGCGGAAATCGCATGTGCTCAATTGGAAAAACACTGGGATGACAATGACGAACACTTTCACCGGAAAGGAGCAGGCTGGATTTGCCTGGGGTTTCAGCCACTCGACGTCGCGTTTCCACAGTCGCTCAACGCCCCGCCCCATCAACATCGCCATCATCATGACACACACCCACACCCCACACACTCCATCGAGCTCGAGCAACACTGAATCACAACACAACAGTGATCAACAACAGAACAGAGTGGCTGCTGGTGTCGGTGGGATGATGAGTCGCCACCCAGATTGCCCTTTGAAAAAAATGCTCCACAGTTGTGGTTTCAGACAACGTGAGAGCGGGGGAGCACGTCGCTCGTTCCCTCCTACCAATCCACCTACCTCCCCGCTTCCCCCGGCTTCTTCCTCCCTGCTTCTCTTCTCACATCTCACTCAGTGTTTAATTCCAACCAAACCAATCGCTCAAAAGGCCCCACGAAGAGCGGTCAAACGAACGATTTCGAATTTTGGATGAAATCAACCGAACAAACCAAAAAAAAAAAAAAAAAAAAAAAAAAAAAAAAAAATTACAGGCAACTGTCAGAAATTTTGTTGTCGGAGGTAGAATCCCAAAAATCAACCAGCAGTCATCAGTTCCACAAAACCGCGACTCAGTCCGAACAACAAGCATTGAACACAGCCATGGCGAACTCAACGGGAGACGCCGAGGGAGTGAGAGCGATGGAAGGACAGCGAGAACGAGAGATGGAAGATGGAAAAGCGGCAAAATCTGCGAAATTGGAATCAAGCGTCGGCGTTTCAACATCGATTTGTTTCGCTTTGTGTGCCAGCCATTTGCGTTTTTTTTTTTTTTTTTTTCGTGGTACGGCGCAGTTCAAACTGCGACTATGGTAAAGCTCTCTCGCTCTCTCTCTCTGTCTTCTTTGCTCTTCCTGATGACTTTTGGTTGATGTTGTCATTTTGCTTTTCGGGAGAATGAATGCGTGATTGGGAGCCGAGGGGAGTTGGTGGTGAGTTGTTGACACAAATCGAGCGCACAGACGCACCGCAACATGATCGAGGCCAATGAAAAAATAGAAGGAAAAATAAAAGACTGAAAATGAAAGAGAATGGAAGATTGACTGAAGCAAAAAAGTCAACACATGCGATCAAAGGGTAAAAAAATGCTACATTGGCAATAAACACAAGAACAAGACTCGAGAAATAATACGCAAGTCACAGCACTAACAAAAGCAGCAATCCAATAATCACTAACGAAACAAACAAAACAAAACATCAGGGCTTAGACAACACTCTTGCGTCGACGAGCAAGCAAGGCGAAAATCTTGGTCTTGGCAGACTCGTCAGATCCGTTCGCGTCTCCATCCGCAGCGAGCTTCTTCTTGTCCTTTTTGCTGCGCTTGCGACTCAGATGGGCTTGTGTCGCTGCCTCGGCGGCGCGGGCATTCGCTGAAGCAGGATCGTCGTCCAACGCACGCGACGAGTCTGCTGCAGCTGCTGCTGCTGCTGCTGCCGCTTGCAAGTTGAAAATGTTCGACTCTTGGCGCCACGAGAAGACGGGCGCTGGCCGAGGCGCGCGCGCTTCGTTCGGGGTGGACGGCTCAGACTCGGCAACACGAGCAGGAGCAGACGTCTCGGACGGATCGTTGGCGACGACTGGGCCGGAAACGAGGCGACCCTTGGTGGTGTTGTTGCGCCGCAAGGTCTTGGCTCGGAACATGGAGTTGCGCGAGAGCTGGGTCTGCTCGCCAGAAGCATCCTCGTTCGGCGATCGCGAGCCGTCGGTGAGGGCACGTGGTTGAACGTCCTCGCGACTGGCCGAAGTGCTCGCCGAGGCACTCGAGTCGCTTTCAGAGCTGTTATCGCCTTCGGCCTGCCGGCGGAGAGCAGTCAGTGTGTCCATGCTGCGCGCCGGCCGGATGAAGGTGGACGACTTTGGCAACGAAAGGTAGCTCGTCTTGGCAGCGGCGGCGGCAGGCGCTGGCTGCTTGCTGGATTCGGGGGATCCGGAGCGCACGCTGGAAATCCGCGCGAGCTCGCTCTCGACCTCCAGTTTGAACGATCCGATTTGCACAGGACTCGCGATGGCACCGCTCGCTTCGCCATGTCGCACGCCAGAGACATACGTGGCGGTAGGCATCTTGACTCCCATGTCCACATGCAGTGCCTGCGAAACGACGGTCGTGCTTTGGGTGTGCTGCGGACCAGCGAGCCGCTCTACAGAGCCGTATTTCGCCACATGCACCGTGGGGGAAAGTGGCCGCAACGAGTCTGTCTCAGCGACTGGCGACCGAGCCTGCAAAAAGACCAGTGGTCGATTGAGATCATCGTCAGCCTGTTGTTGCGCCTGCTCTTGTTGTTGCTGTTGCTGCTGCTGGAGTTCTTGCAAATGCTGCTGCTGCTGGAGTTCTTGCAAATGCTGCTGCTGCTGGAGTTGGTGCAAAAGTTCTTGGCTTGTGGATAAGAGAGCGGCGCGCGCGTGAGCCTTCTCCTCTTGCCGAATTTTCGTGAGTTGCTCGACGGATTCGAGGGCGTGGTTTTCGGTCATCTTGAGCGCATCCTTCGAGCCAGAGATGGAGAGCGCACCCGTGCCGGCAATGCTGTAGCGATTACTCTTCATGTTGGTGTGATCCACAGAGCGACTTCGGTTGAGACCCGTCGGGCTTTGCTTGAAGGCACGCGTCGCACCCATCGCGTCACCGCCTTCCGCCTCTTCCGAGTCGGCTGTTGCACGCTCTTCCGCGTCGGCCCGAGCGGCGGCCTTTTCGGAAGGCGTCTGATTTTGCAATTCGGACGAAGAGCCAGACTTGTGCATCATGCGCGGGACAGAGATGGGCTGCGACGGCGAAGTGCGGAGCGTCGGGGCCGTGGTGGTATTGGAGGCGAGCAGGGTGGTTGAGGATGTTGGCGACGGTGGTTTGGGAGGTGCAGCAATGGGAGACGACTGGTTGGCAGAGACAAAGCGGGCTAGTTGGGGTGTGGGTGAGGACGCGGCCGCATGGCTGGCGCTGGCAGAATGGCGCATGCCCATGCCGATGCCGGTGGCTGCAATCGACGCTCGTGGCGGGGGCAGAGACATGGGGGTCGGGGACGATGCGACAGCGCTGCCGCTGACACGCGGCGGCTGGTATGGCTGCGAGGAAAGCGCCGGCATGACAATTCCGTGGCGCGCCATCTCGTTCGCGAGCGTGCCGTGAATGCTGAGGTTGTCGAACGGGTTGCGGGAAATCATCACACATCGCTGCATGATTCCTTCAAAAGTGAGGCGCTTGCGCGCGCACGCTCCGTCATGCAGAGTAAAGGTGCTGAGCTGCGCCACAAGGTCGGTGTACTGGCGCCCTTCCTCTTCCAAAAACCCTCGAATGGCTGTGCTCAGGTAGCTTTCAAAGTCTCGCTTCTTTTCCGTCACCTTGTCAATGGCCGAGCGGAGCGCCGCTCCGTTCTTTTGCTTGCCCTTCTGCAGCTCTTGCGTCATGCGCTTGGAGGCCTTGACGGCCTTGTCAATTTCGCCCTCGAGCTGCTCGGACTGCTTTTCGAATGTGCGCTCCATGCGCGTCACGTTCTTTTGGTATGTTTCGATCGAGACGGCAACGGGCTGGATAAAGTCGCTCAGGATGGAGGAAGCGAGTCGCAAGCGGAGTTGCTCGGCCCCTCGCATCGCGTCGGCATACTCGGACAGGCCAGCGGCGAGCTCGCGCAGGTTGCCGCTTTGCGAGGTCTGCGCCCGACGGCTCACCATCTGAACGGCCTCAGCGAACGCCGCGCCAGATTTGCTGAGCCCGTCCAGGGCCGACTGGTACGCAACGGCTGCCTGCAGCAGGTGCTCCTGGTCGGTCTGTGCAGCGCGAATGTTGACGAGCACGTCGCCAATCACGCGCAGGTATGGCGTTGCGTTTGCGGCCACCATGGCTGAATGACTGAGGGATGCGGTTTTTGTGGTGGTAGATCTGTTGATAGCAGCGTCGTGCTTTTGTGCTGCCGTTGTTCGTTTCAAGGAGCCAAGATGTCAAGTTGGTGTCTTGTACTCGGTTGCTACCCACTGAGGACGACGCTGCTGCTGGTGGTGGTGGTGCGACGACGGTGGTGGACGAGACAGCGGTACTTGTTCAAACTATGACACACAGTTGTTTCCCTTTCAATGGGTTGGTTGTTGTCGTGCCCTCGCACTCGGGTTGGTCTCTCGCTTGTGTGCGAACAGAGAATCCAATGGAAATAGAAGAGTGCAGCGCAACAGAACAGGAAGAAGTAGAAGAAGAAGCCCGAAACAAGGTCTGGAAGCGGTTTTCGGTCGGTTGGCGTGGCGACGGCGGCAAAATGATGACTAATCGGCTCTCCCTGCTTAGATCCAAACGCGGCTAGCTTGCTCTTGCTTGGTCAAATAATCTGACTTGAAGAGATGAGAGAGTTGAGATGAGAGACGAGACCTGTGCTGTTTTGTGCAACATGACAGAAAAAGCGCGAGGGGGAGGAGCGGGAGAGAGCGAGGGAAGCAAGCAGTGTGAGCAATACCGTTACAAAGAAGCTCCAAGAGCCGTTTCACAGTTGCAAATCAGCTGGTGTTCTCCGTTGTTCACAGTGTATCTTTCATTCCATACTACTCGACTGCAGGACGGCCAAAGGCGACGCCCCAGTGCTTTCTCTCTCTCACTCTCGGGGGCTTTCAAAAAAAAAAAAAAAAAAAAAAGCCCATACATCGAATACTGAGCCTAAAAAAAAAAAAAAAAACCATTGTGGATCTGGCGACGAGCAACCAACAGACAGTCAAATGGTTGATCGCTGTTGAGGGTATGAGATGGGGGTTTATGATGCAAGCGGGATGGGTCATGTCTCTTCCCCCTTCCTTTGGAGTCGGCAGAATGCATGAGGAATGTCAAACCCACAGCATCCATGTGCCGTCGTCCCTCGTGATCTGCCCCCTTCCACACTCTCGCTTCACTCTCTCGAGCTCGTTCGCTGCACCAGCAAAGCGCGCTCTGAGAGGAGAGGAGAGGAGAGGAGGTGGAGGGTGACGACAGGACTCAGAACAGTTCGTGATGCTAAAAAAAAAAACAAAGCAGGTTGAAATTGAAAAAATAGTGGATATCAAAAGCAATGCGAGTTTCGCTGACGCTTTGCAGCTGCGAGTCCAAGGCAATCTCTCAAATGTGGGCAACTCACTGTCGCTTTTCGCAGTGTCCGTCTGTCCGTCCTTTCTCTCTTCTGGGCCGCCACCACTGCTTGCTGCTGCGTCCAAAGTCGCGCTTTTGCATTGCTCAACATTTGAAAATGCGAACGTCGGTTTTTTTTTTTGAGGTTGATGGCAACAAGCGTTTTCTCGTCCCAATTCTCGCGAGATCGAAGGCGCACTGAAAATGATCAAAAACAAGCTACTCAACGAGACCTGCGATGTGGAAGCGCAGGATGGCGCTGGGGTTTCGTTGACACGGCGCTTTCGGCCAAAGTGCGACGCGCGGAGGTTGCTCTTGGCAATGGACAATCGATGCCGCACAACCGCGCGTACTCCCATTCTCCACCACCCCCACCACCCAAAAGTTGGCATGTCGACCTGCGCTTGTAGTACTCATCCATGCTTCCGTAGCACAAAACAGCAACAGTGACAAACTCACCAAAAGTCGGATCAAATAGAAGTCAAAGGGAAAAAAAAAAAAAAAAAAGAACTGCCGCTCTTTTTTTCCTTTTTCGTATCTCCTCCAAAAGAAAAAAAAGAAAAAAAATCAGAAACGACCACAGCAACGAACAACATGAATGTAATGCAAGGAAACAACATACAACAAACGCAAGGAAACAAAGCAGGTCGGCAGCAGCATGGCTTTTACGAGAGGGCGTGCGGTAAGCCACAACGAAAGAACACAAAAGCCAAAAATGGTGCACTCACACACCCCACCGTCAGAGTCAGGAGCGCGGATGACGGCACAATTTGCAGAGACGAGCCCTTGTCGCGAAGGAGATGTGCGACACAACACACTCGAACATTCCGTCATTGGGCGGCAAGGAAGTTGATGGTCGTTTTTTCCCGACAGTTTCTGCGACTCGATCTGATTTTCTTTGGGGTTGTTGTTGTTGTTGCTGGCCTGTCACCACGCTGGCTTTCAGCTCTCGAAATCTCCATCCATGTTCGAAATCATCATGCACAAAACAATGGGGCGAAAATCAACCATTTACTGTTCAATCGACTTCTCAAGCGTGAAAAACATGCAAAATACAATCTAACAAACGTATCAACAAAACCGAAAAAAGCAAACTACCACACGAGCACAATTTGGTCACACGCATTAGCGGCAATTGTGTTTGGCCCATCGAGTGCGTGGGAAAACGAAAACGCAAAGCCAGGCGCATCACAGAAAACAAAACGACCCCAAATCTTTAGCGTGGCTGATTTGGGAGAGCTCCAGTAAATGCACCGCCACTCGGACTGTTGAAAACATGCGCATCGTATTCGGCCGAGGCGTTGCTGGCGGCTGCGGTTTGGGCCAGCTGTTGGAGCAGCTCGTCAAGCACCTCCGGGTCGGAATCGAGAGTGACATCATCTTTCCTTCGATTGGTCGGTGGCAGGGGTTCGAATCGCATCAACGGAACTTGGTCTCGGGACACGGCGTACTCGTATGCTGGAGGTGCATCGTCATGATCCCATCGCCCTGCGACGTAGCCATAGTTTTGCGATGGCGGCTGCCACTCTGATCCAGCCGCGCCACTGGCACCCAGTCGTTGTTCTCGATGATAGCCGTAATGATGTTGCTGTTGCTGTTCTTGTTCTGGTAGTGACGGCTGTGCGAGGAGAGGGTCGTTGTCGAATTCCGGGATGGCGGTCGTCTCCTCCGAGTTTTGCAAGCGCCGCATTGCCAGATGGGCGCGGGCGCGCCGATGCGCTTCCGGCGCGACATACGGCATGCATGACAGGACTACGAGGGCCACCTATCCAGCGCCCATCAAAAACATACATTACACACAAGCAGCGGTCAGAAAACGACTTTCTCGCACCTAACCGAACTACCACACTTCGAAAAGTAACTTTCTGTTGCACCCCTCGTCTCACCTGAGAAAGAACGACCATGATCGACCCGGCGTACAGACAATAGACCCATCCTTTCGTGCAGTACCACTGGTTTTGAGCATTCTCCCAATCGGCCTCGCCCGAGGTGCACGCGACACACACGCGTCCAATCAACGTCGTGTCATCGGCAATGAGGCACACAATAAACTGGTAGATTGGACCAGAGCACGCAACGACGCCAGTCACGACCGTCTAAGCAAAAACAACAGAACACAACAGAACAAAAGCAAACCAAAGTGGCTCAGAAACCCACATCATAAGGCACATCAACGGGGGCCCCTCAATGGCCATCAAACCAATAATTTGGCGCTGCTTCAAGGTTCACGACAAAACCCCAAACTCACCGCCGCGAGCATGACTCGGGAGCAGAGCCCGAGAAGGGTCGACAAAAGGATGACGGCGCTCATTGCCCAGAACATTCGGTCCCAGAAGTCGCGCAGGTTGTTCAGCGGGTCGTCCGGGTGCGTCACGATGTGGTCGACGATGCCATAGAGGATTGGGATGGTGAGCCCTATCCCGACCTAGCGGAGGCGGGGGGACGGAAAGAGACCAAAGAGTTGAGAGCAACAAAGAGCCCCACCTCAAACACCTCATGGGTCCTCTGCCTCCTTTGAGATGGAGGGGCGTCGACTCTAATGGTCACAACACGACGACTATCAGTTCAAGCTTACCAGGGCGACTGTGACGGCGAGCAACTGCGACAGCTGCATTGCGGTCTTGTTTTCTGGGGGGGGGGGAAAAAAAAGAAAAAAAGAAAAAAAGAAAAAAAGAAATGAACTGTCATCCTGAGCATCTGTGAAAACGATGACTTGAATGAGAGTGACTCGACGAGAGATGTCGTCAAGATGCAATGAGCGCAAATTCAAAAGTGTATTGGAGGAAAAGGAACGAAACAATCAAACAGAAAAGCAATGAAAAAACAAAACAAAAGGCAGGCCACTGGACCAGCAACAATACAATCATGTTTAAAAATAAGACAGTCATCGAGAGAGTACATGACAGAGCGAGCGAGAGATAACGCCGGTTATGAGCAGCATTGGCCAAGTTGCTTCATCGGGTCGTTGGCATTGTTCGCTTGTCGTTGTTCTCGAGTCGGAATGTCATTGCCTGATAACCGCACAAACTCTTCGATTGGTGACTTGACCAGTTCTGCCGGCGCTCGTTTGGAAATTTGGATGACGGAGCCGACCAAAAAGTTCATTGCTTGATCTGCAAATTGGAAAAACAAAAAGCAAACAAAGTCGAGTCAAAATACAAGTAAAGTCAAACAAGCAAACATGTGATAGCGACAACTTACCAATATTCGCATTGTTCTTTGCCGAAGTAGCAAACCTGGAGCAGTGAAACAAGCGAGAGCAAGAACAAAATGAGGACAAGAAAGCTCATCAGTCGGATTACGCGTCCAAATGGCACCTTACCAGCCAATCAGTCCATGCTCTTTGCAGAAATCATCCAGTTTTTGCTTGTACACGGATTTGTCTGACATGTCAGCCTGTTGTTGATGGTTGCGGGTTGGGATCAGCATCAGTTTCCAGACTCTAGGACGGACATTTCGCCTTCCATCCAGAATATACGCACCTTGTTGGCAAGAAGCATCACAGGAACTGGCTTTCCATCGGGCAACATCACTTTGTTGTTGACATCATTGAGCCACTGTTGCAAAGTGAACGTAAGTGAGTGGAAATCATCTCTCGTCCAGAATTCTCGGTGCTTGTTTCGAGAAGAGCGAGGGACCCGATGCTATCGCATTCGAAAAATCGATCAAACCATTTGAGGACTTTGGACATACTTTTATCACAGAGTCGAATGTGGCCGGTCTGCAATCCCAAATTGTAAAACAGAACAAAGTGAGTACAGTTCAATCGTTGGCAACAAAACAATCAGAGTGTCGAGCTGGTAAACCATACCGTGTCATATCAAAAACAATGACGGCAGCGATCGCGTATCTAAAGGAGCAGAGTGGAACGAATAGACAACAAACAAACAAACAACAAACAAAAGTGAATAAAGCCGTCTCAAACAGCCAGCTTCCTTCCCTCTGCCATTCACACAAACATCAATGCTACACGTGGCGCACTTGTAATAGACGTGAGTCATGTGTCCGAAACGTTCGTGGCCAGCAATGTCCCTGCAAGCACGGAAAAAAACGAACCCAAAGTCAGTCAGGAAGAACAACAAATGCCCCCCCCCCTTCTTTCATCGGTGTCCATCCTATCACTGGCACATGATTCTGACACCAGATGCCAAGGCAAAAGGAACAAGAATCGCGCCTCTCAAACCATTTGCAGAAAGTGGAAAGAGACAAAACAAAAACAACAAAAAAAAAACCAAAAAAACAACAACCCTCACCAAAGCTGGAGCGTGATCTTTGCACCAGACTCCCATTCCAAGACCTTGGTTGCAAAGTCGGCGCCAATGGTGAGCTTGTAGTTTGGTGTGAAAAACCCTTCCGAGTAGCGGCGGATGAGCGATGTCTGGCAACAGGTTGAGATTAAAATGAGAACAGACCCTCAGTGTTCATTTCCCCCCCCCCACAGAGCAACGATGCATTCATTGCAAATCTCTCTGCATGGATTGTGCCAATGCCATCATGATACGATGGCGAGTCGAAGCAGCGACACGCGGCAATGATGATGACGATTCTGAGCTTGTTTACCTTGCCTGTCAAAGCCACACAATCACCAAAGCAAAACCCCCCAAAAAGCAACATGTGTGAGCAATCGTTTCACAACCAGAAGCATTGCAATCCAACCCCCGGCCCCCTTCCAACGTCGACCTTTGCGATGAGGTGGAGCGACTGACGGTCATCCAAACCCAATACCAAAAACGCGCCTCAGTGCCTTGACCCATCCCTCTCTCTCTCCAGCCAAACCTTCCCTCTCTCTCTCTCTCTTAACTTTCTCCCTCTTAGCTTTGATCATCCTCATCGTGATCAATCTTCACCATCGTGATTTTGATATCACAGCCAATCTCATCCTCAAAAGAATAAAAGAATAAAAGAATAAAAGAATAAAAATAAAATAAAAGAAAAAAAAAAACCAGCTGACTTTGATTTTTTGTCAGATGGTCAGCTTGAGTGACTGTGGCAGCCCCCTCAACACCACCACCACTTCCCCAAACTGCAAAGCCATTGCGATCCGCGAACACTTGAAAGCATCATCACGAGATGGCAGGTATCGGTCCCCCCCCCCCCGTTGAAGCGTTGAAGCGGAAGGGAGAAGAAGGAGCAAAAAAGAAGACGTTTTGCCCTGTCCCTCCCCCGCCGACGACCCCTCTGACTGGATGCAGCCGCTCTGTCCCTCGCCGCGGATGCACTGACGATGGCCATGTGTCAAGGGGGAGAGTGAGCGAGTCGCAAAAGGGAGTGAGGCGTGGAGGCGTTACCAACGGCATAGTCGCCAATCACAATGATCTTGAACAGCTGGTCTGCAGTCGGTCCCGCAGCGCCTTCCATTGCAGTCAACTCGGAAAAACGAAAAAGAAAAGAGTGAGTGAAGTGAGTGGTTGGATGAAACTAGATTGCTTTGCTACTTCTGGGGGGGTTGGCGGGTTTGCGGGTTTGACAAGCACCGATGAGCAGGGAGATCCGGTTGAGAGTCAATCCGCATCATCGAAGGTAGAATCGCAGGTTGAATGGATTCGAGGACTAAGAGCTGAAATCCTACAGCAATCCATTCAGCTCACTCTTCTCACTCCTAAAAATGGCGTCTGGAGCAAAGCGGGAAGGCGATCCGCTCACTGGCAGCGCATCCGACGCATCTACCAAGCGAATCCGCATGCAAGGCGACGACAGCAGCAACAACGAACCGACAAACGGCAGCAGCAGCAGCAGCAGTAGCAGCAGCATCATCAGTAGCTTGGGTCGGGCGGAGGCGACACCATCCGTGTACGAACTCGCGGGTCATCGCGCGCTGCAACCCAACCGTCACTCGCATCGGCAGCACCAGCAGCAGCAACAAGCAGATCAGCAGCAACAGCAGCAGCGTGTTCCGGATGGCTGGACGCCCGCGTCGTGGAAGAGCATGCCCGTCAAGCAGCAGCCGACTTACTCCGATCCCAGCCAGGTGGACACGGCGCTCGGTCGCCTGCGCTCGCTGCCCCCGCTGGTCCACTGGGGCGAGGTACACACTCACACATGCATGCAGCATTTTCGAACACGTTCCACCGTTGTCGAAGATCTCGACGGGTTGGATCATGGGCGATGATTGTGGTCACTGGGGAGCAGATTGCGGGGCGGGGCGATGAGGTCATCGACCACTCTCCAGCAACCATGCTGCTACTACTACCTCCATACTGACAGTCAGACAGTTATATTCAAGCAAATTCCAAATCATTCAAACTTGAGATGGAGCATATAAATCGTGAGCTGTGTTGCGGATGCCAATGCATCTCACTTTTTGTCGCGACTTTGCTTTGAGGGAACAGATTGACCGACTTCGCAAGTCACTCGCTGATGCAGCGGAAGGAAACTGCTTTGTCATGCAGGGCGGAGATTGTGCAGAGCTCTTCCAGTACTGCAACCAAACGCAGATCGAAAACAAGCTCAAGATTCTGCTGCAAATGTCGCTCGTCCTGACGTGGGGTGCCAGAACGCCGATCGTGCGCATTGCTCGTATCGCTGGCCAGGTGAGGAGCAGGAAGATGCTTGATGCAGATATGGTTGGAAGGATCCAGTATTGTTTTATTTTTTTATTTTTTTTTTTTGATTCATGTGTAACGCTGCGTTCCTCTTGTCAATGACCAGTACGGCAAGCCTCGATCGAGTCCGACGGAAGTGGTGGATGGCAAAACAGTCCCTTCGTTCCGGTAACCAGCTGCAGAACAATACGCAGTGACGTTTGCTCCTTTCAAGTTGTTTTCAATTGACCGAACGAAAATGCCTAACTACACTTGCAACACAGAGGCGACAATGTGAATGGCTTCGAGTTGAGCGAGCGTGAGGCAAACCCGGATCGACTTGTGCAGTAAGCGCACCTCACCATTGTCATAGATGGGTGTTTCCTCCTTGCATCTAACTTGTCTCTCGCCTTTAACTCCATCCAGGGCGTACTTCCACAGTGCCGCCACTCTGAACTATGTTCGCGCCCTCGTCAGCGGTACGACATTTCTGCCACTTTCCCTGCAAACCAAACAAACAAACAAACGAAAAAAAAATCCTCACATTGTCATCTTCATCATCCTTGATTCTTTTTTTTTTTTTAAACAAACAGGTGGCTTTGCTGATTTGCGTCACCCCGACAACTGGACTCTGGAGCATGTTCGACTCGAATCGACGCGTCGCATGTACGAGGACATGGTCGGCCGCATGCTTGATGCGCTGCACTTTACCAAGACCATCGGCGCTGCAGAATCGCACGGGCTCGAAACCGTTGATCTGTTCGTGTCGCACGAGGGTCTGCTGCTCGACTACGAGTCCGCCCTGACCATTCCTGTCAACAACCAGTTTTACAATGTGGGCACGCATTTCCTGTGGATTGGTGACCGCACGCGCCAACTCGACCACGGCCATGTCGAGTACTTCCGAGGCATCTCCAACCCGATTGGTGTCAAAGTCGGCCCGTCGACCCAACCCAACGAGCTTGTTGAGCTGATCCGCACCCTCAACCCATGCGAGATTCCCGGCAAGGTGTCCTTGATTACCCGCTATGGCTGCGACAAGGTATGAGTTCGGTGTTTTTTTTTTTTTTAATTATTTGTTTGGCTTGAGTGTGAAAAAAACTCACCCATCCATTTGCTTTTTGCCTGTTCTGCCCTTCTTTTAGATCCAATCGTCGCTACCAGCTCACATTGCAGCCGTGCAAGCCGCTGGCATCAAAGTTGCCTGGATTTGCGACCCGATGCACGGCAATACCGAGTCCACTGCTTCTGGCCTGAAAACGCGCAATTTCGACAAGATTCTGAAGGTAAGTTCGAGGTTTTTGCTGGAAAACCTTTCCTCTGACCCTTTTCGCCACATTTCTGACCCTTTTCGCTACTCCGAAAATCCAAAAAAACAAAATCAACAGGAACTCAGCTTGGCGTTCGAAATTCACCAGCAACACGGACGCCAACTCAACGGCGTGCATTTCGAGCTCACTGGAGACACAGTCACCGAATGCACTGGCGGTTCCGTGAATCTGGTCGAAGAGGACTTGTCGCGCAATTATCAGAGCTTCTGTGATCCGCGTCTCAACTATGAGCAGAGCCTAGATATGGCATTCTTGATTGCCGACTTTTTCCAGCGTCGCCGCGGACCGATCAGTCGAGTCAGCAGCAGCAACGATCTGGCTGCCCTTGCCCGAGAGGCGAGCTAAGTCGCGGGCCAGTCGGTCGTCTCTTGTTGGAATTTTTGGTATTCTTTTGGTGTGCTGATGATGAATGTATGCACTTTTGTTGGTAAAAATACAGCCATATACTTTGAGTACATGGATCGATGTGTTTGTCAACAATGTTTGCAGTGTAATGCAACTGCATTTTAGCGATCGGCTTGGATCTGCGCTGGAAGCACGCGAGAGATGACAAAAGGTGAATGGGTGCCCGCGATCGCCAACAGCAGCGGCATGTCTGAGATGGACAAGCTGAGCAAAAAAAAAAAAAAAAAAAATCAAAAAAATACAGAAATGAAAGGGTCAGCGGCGTGTCCAATGTCAGCTCATCGCAGGTGCAAAGTCGAACAAAGCTGTGTACCTGAGGGCAAAGGCAAGATCTTGCATGTAAATCCATGTGTCAACCTTGTCAGCGACGTAATCTGCAAGCAATCGGCTTTTGCCGTACATCTCTTGGAGTCGGTCTTCCAGGTGCATCATGCACTGCGGAAGCAATACGGAAAAAAGTCTCAAGTCAAACAAACAAACAAACAAACAAAAAAAAACCAAACAAACACCACTTGGGAAAATCGAGCGATACAAGAGCAAAAGGCCTTTACCGTTTCTGCGGGAAGACCGAGATCCCAAAGCTCCTTGAGAGAAGACAGCAAACTCACGATAGTGTCTGCTGCAGTGACGACCGAGCGGTCGACCACGTCGCTGACAGCGACACCCATGTTCAACACTGCACTGGACGGACCCAGGACGCTCTGCTCGCTCAGAGAATGGAGGTGGCACTTCCAATCGTTGGTGTCGGCAATCAGACAAACTGCCTCGGCGACAGGCTCATCAATCACCGAGCACTCGATGGCAAGCCGCATGTCAGCAGCGAGTTGCTTCTGAAAGTTGTTTCGCGGAACTCCGACGAGAACAAAATCAGAAACGTACGACTCGCACAGGCCAGCAAACAAGGAGCGCCCCAGGTTCCAGCGGAAGAGCGAAGCAGATAAAACAGTCGGGTCGGCCACGGCAGTTGGAACGGTCGTGGCGTGCGTGTGTTGCGGAAACGGAATTTCCTCGTACATTTCAAACAAGCCCACTCCGTCGTTCTCCACCTCGCTCTCCTTCTTTGGCACGAGTTGCGCGGCCGTGGTGCTGGGACCAGACGCCGGACCGGACGGGAGCACCGTCACGGTGGCAACAAGGTCTTCGGCGTCCATGGTCGCAAACGAGGTCCGTGGTGACGTTGTGCTGGAATCGCCTGAAACGGCGCGGTCCCGGAAGGGCGATGGCGCTGAAGGCGATGATGGTACATGGGTCGGGGTGTGGAGGGAGCTTCGGTCTGGCGTTGTTGGCGTGGTGCGAGCCGGGGTCGCAGAGCCGATCGAGGACTGCACGGTTTTTGGCGAGCTCGACACTTGCATTTGTGCAAGCGAGAGGCGGTTTCGTGCGGCTGACGCAGCGGCAGCGGCAGCGCCGCCCGTGGATGCAGAGGACGGCTTGCGAGGGGTGCTGCCGGCGTTCATATCCACATCACTACACCGAATAAAGTAGCTGAGAATGAACAGCAGACGAGCCACAAGAGCCGTGTTGACACCCACGACGACTGTGCGACAGACTTTGACCGGCGTGCCAATGCCGCCGTACAAGTCCATCAGCTGGGCCCACAGCGGATTGTAGGACAAGCAGCGCGACAGCATTTCGAGTAGTGTGGAGGTGCGCCGATCCAGGCCGCCGTAGCCGTGGCCCTGCGGGTCGTTGGCGGCAAGGGCGGATGCCGTGGCCGCGTAGACATGTCCGGGGGCACCAATGCTCACGTTGCAGTCACTGCCGTTGTCACTGTCGCCGCTCGCACCAAACGGATTACTGGCCGCAACGGCCGTGTTGGGCAAGATGGGTGGCGGAGCAACGGTGGGGATCCAGCCGAGGTGATTGGTCAGCACACCCGTGAGCAGCGACGAAATAAAGTACCCCGATTTCTTGGTGTCAAACTCTGAGACGCACTGCATGAACTCCGACATGAACTGCCGGCAAAGACGGTGCCGTGTGGAGGGGAAGGTCACCATGTTGAGCCAGACGGGTTCTTGAATGCGCGGCGTCGCCAGCATGGATGTAAGAGTGTTTCTAAAGTTGTTTGTGGCCTTGATGAGTGACTGTTGCGGCTGCAGCGCGTGTGCTGGCAGCGACTCGCGCATCGCGAGCAGAGGCACAACCGTCGGAGCCACATTGGTTGGCGGAGTGGACGACCCTTGCACGGAATTGGATCGCCATGTAGCGGAGGCGTTGGAGCCCGAGCGTGGACGCACAGGAGAGGCCGGCGGGCTTCCAGACGGCGTTCCGGGTGTGGATGTTCCGCCTGGCGACGTGGGAATGAGAATCTTGGAGAGTGGCCGCGAGAGGCTCTGTTGCGGAGGTGCGGTCAAGGCCGAAAGCAGCACTTTGGCGACCGTCCGATGTAACCGCGTGACGTGCGTCTCAATGACTGCGAAATGCGCGAAAAACGCCTCCTGAATGTGGTTGGCGAGCTCTGGGCTTTCCTCAGGGAGGGTGATGATGATACAGACTGCAAAGCGAGGACGTCTACTCCGTGCTCGCGGCGCACCGCCGCCGGTTGGTGGATTGGGAAGTGGACTAGAGTAGCCTGCCGCAGACGAGTTGGAGCTAGAGGACGAGGAGGGTTGCAACATTGACGCATTGGCCGACGGTTTGCTTGGGGAGACAAAGCCAGACGCAGGCGCACCGCTGCCTCCTCCTCCTCCGCCTCCTCCTCCTCCAATCCAAGGAGATTGTTCGTGCGATGTTGCATGGTTTGGGCTCGGGTGACTCAATAGCACCGTTGGCTCGGTCGAAGAATGCAACAAGCCTGATGGCCGAAAGTGACCGTACTCAATGCTGGTGCTTTTGCTGCGATCTTTCCGGTGGTTCATGGATGAAGAAAGCATCGATCGATGAGAAGTATGAGTGGTGTGAGAATTGTGGGAATTGTGAGTCGAGTGGGAGCCGTGGTGTTGTGTATGCGATGGGGTTGATGCTGCTGCGGCGGGCTTTTCCACTTCGACCCATGCACTCATGCGTGAATCGATCGAAGTGATGCTATCTCGCCGCCCAGTTCCGCCAGGGTGGGTTGCATTGTCCCCAGAGCCAGTTGGATCTCGGTCGGCGTCCTCCTCGTTCTCGTCGTCTCGCGTCGGTCACGACAATCCGTGAGGGTGCGCGAAGGACGTGTACTTTGGTATTTGCGGCCTAATAAGGCAACAGAAGAGAGAAAACAGAACGTAAAAACAAAACAAAAGAATCAGCAAAGGTTGTGCATCAGAGCAAGAGACCACTCATGCTCGCATCAGCATTTCCCTCGCACAAGATTGAACAACATACCTTGTAGGCAAGTGGTAGTGCACCAAACAGCATCTCGGCGAGCAAAGCACCGTCTTTGGTGCGGTAGTGGACTTTTGGCGGCGGAATGACGTGCTGCTGTGCTGGCGGTAGCTGCTGCATATGCTGCAAGTGCGCCTGGTGTACTTGAATTTGCGCAGCGTGAGCTTGCTGAGCAGCGATATTGGATGAATCGTACAGTGCAACCTGCCAAAAGTTCCAAATCACACCAAAAAACACAAAAAGTGAATCCCCATGCAATGCGAGAAAACATCCGCTTTTCCTCGAGGGCACCCATGTTGACCACGAAGCCCTCGACTCTTTCCAATCCACCAGAGGCGTGGGTGGTGGAACTGTGAGTGAATCGAGGCGAAAGTCGACATAGATTCTGCCTTCCGTTCGACCGCCCCCCTGGACTCGTCCTCAAACCGCCGATGAATTCTTTCCGACAAGCACGCGAACAGCACTGTCGAGCGAGATCGAGCGAGCACTTGTGTGTCGTGTGTCGCCGCGGCATTGATGACACATTGGCTCCTCGACGTGATCTTGTGATGGTCCAATTGCTTGGGCTTTCCATTGCAGTTGTCGATCTGCTGGTGGGGTGGATTGGGGGAGGGGGCTTTACCTTGCTGTCCATCATGTTATCTTGGAAGACGGTGACTCGGATGGCGTCTGGCGGGAGTCGCAGCGGCACCCATTCGCGGGGACTATGGATCAGCAGCAGCAGCAGCAGCAGTGAGCAGAAGAAGCATGAGTGAGAACGAAGCCTTGCTGCTACCACCGCACCGCTCACTCTCTCGAATGGATTCGAATGGATGTTGGAGCAATGAGGCATTTGTATGTACCTGATAAGCGCGCGGGCGGCGTCTTCCGTCTCGCGATTGGACTTGCGCGGCGAGAAGAGTCGCTGGAACATTCACAGAGAGACACAGAGAGGACTGAGTTTGAAGTCTTGCCGATCAAGTGAGAAAGTCATGCAAGCAAGACACAACTTTTCAGACTTTTTGCTCAAACGGTGAATTTCGTTCAATCTGATCTCAGCAAAGCAAACAAAAAGCTCAGTCTCTTCTTTTCTTTGATCTGCCCCATCCAAAAGCAAATCCGAGCACGCTCCTATCCCATCCCATGGCTGGCATTGACGATCTAATGACCGATGCGCAAGATGCGTTCTTTGCGGATGACTCTGTGGCGGCAACGCGACTGTGTGCACGCGTGCTCGGCCTCAAGCGCAACGAGGGCGACGCGTACCATCTCGCGCACCTTGCCCTGCACAGCCTGCGCCTCCACAACGCAGGTAATTTCCCCCCAGCTAGCCTTGAACCGAAGGCAGCACGATGGATGGATTGGACGAGGGTTTGGCCAGGGCTGAAGTTCAACCGCTCAAAAGTGAACCACAAACTCACACAATTTCGAGTTTCTGAGCTTCTCAGACTGTCAATCAAAGTGCTCATCACAATCGCAAAAACTTTGCTCACTTGTTTGCGGATGCTTTTGCCAGCAATGACGGTTGCTCAGGAATGGGGCGTGCATTGCAACGAAAGCGCCAAGCAGCTGTACGCCGAGCTGGTCTCTGCATATCTCGCTGGAAATTCTGCCGTTGTCGAGTATGCAGCTCGAGCTCTTGTTCGTCGAGAAGACGCCTCTGGTACGCTCGAGCATAACGAAGCAAATACTGCTGATTTCGTTCCACCTCTCTCTCACTGACTGTCCTGCTCCTTGTTGACAGTCATCAGCAAATCGGTGGCGATTGCACTGGCCGCAGACTTGCATCACGCAGTGGGAAGCGCTGAAACCATCCGTGGATTCAAGACAGAGGATCTTCCGAGCGACGTGTTGCATTTTATGGACCTGCTGGCTGCCTGGACCGAGTTGAGTGTCGGCAAGGCCGAAGCCGGACTGGCAGAGCTCCAATCGCTTGCGACGAGCCATCCGACCTCGGGCGTTGCGACTGCTCTCCTGGCTGTCGTGTTGTACGAGCTCGACCAACGAGCAGCAGCCCAAGAGCTGATTGCACACAACACAACAGACACCATGTCAACCCGCGTTGCCCGCCTCATTGTCAACGCGACCACGGCCCCTTCTGGCGACGTATCCGCAGCGCACGACGATCTGGGCATGCTGAATGGAGTGCCTGATCTCTTGACGCGCCGGCTCGATCAAAGCGTGCGTGGCGATGCTCCCGACACGCACAACCTTGCAGCGCTCTTTCCTCGCGTACCACTTGCTCCGGTCTCTCGCGGACCAGCCGAAGACACTCTTCGATAGTGTGTGTTTTTATTTTTGTTTGGAAAGCTGTGCAAATCTCAGTTTCATTGCACTTTCTTGTCAGTCAGCAATATGCTCGGTATGATTGTTTATGCTCCTTGATTGTTGAGGAATCGTCTCAGTCGCGATTTTTCCTCAGACTCGAACCATTTTTTGTTGTTGTTTTCATGTTGCGCACACGCGCTTATGGCGGTGCCAGCTCCAGTAGTAGTAGCAGCAGCAGTGATAGTAGCAGCAGTGATAGTAGCTCGGATGACGGGAGTGGCAGCGATGACGAAGCTGCTCAGATCGCCGACAATCCCGCGCAACCCGCCGCTCCAGCTGCGCAGGCGCTCATCTCGTCTTTGGCAGTCGATGCATCATTGACACGCGAGGTGCTTGTGACCGATCCTGTGGTCATTCTGCCGCTGGCCGAGCTTGCGTTAGCTGTCGTCGCAGAGCATGTGGAGCGATACCGCTCGTAAGTCGACCGCTTCACACACGCAGGCGGGCAGGCCACCAGATGTCAGACCACCAAGTGTCTGCTGCATTCATTGCCATGCGCAGAGTCTGAATGCTCAGAGTTGGATTTGCCGCTTTGGCCTGCAGCAGCGAAATCTCACCCTTTGTTCATGCTCTGCTAGGCTGGCATTGCTCGGACCCGATGTCGCGAACGCGCTCGTTAAAATACTGGTATCGCAAGGTCGATTCAATTTCCCCATGATTCGGTACGATTATTGCTTCGTTGGAAGGTTGTGATATGTTTTCTCGGTGCTGATCGGTTTGGTTTGGGTTTGGTTTGGTTTGGCCTTTGCAAGATTGTTCCTCGCGCAAAAACTGTTTCTGACAAGCTTGGATTTGGCACCATGCGCAGCCGAAATGAACGGATACATGCTCAAGACCGTCGCGCGATTTGACACGCTGACTGTATTACGACTGGAAGGGTAAGGCGCAGGTTGTTTCAACTTTGCTGAAAGGAGATTTTCTCATTCTGAGCTTCTGTTCTGCAGATGTCGATTGTCTCAGGCTGATGCTCGACCCTTGAAAAGTCTTGCTTCAACGTTGCAGCGTCTAGAGCTGGCAAGTCGATTGTTTCGGTGGAGCTTTGACGTTTTTGTTTGTTTGCAAAAAGCCCCTCCTACAATGACCGAACTCTCGTGCCTGGTTGTTGTTTCATTGTCACCGTCACAAGCAGGTCAACATCAAGCATGGAAATGCGCTGTTGCAAGTCGTGGGTAGTCTGGTGAACTTGCGGGCGTTGCGATTAGAGCAGCTGGCGGAATTGACTGCCGCAGGTCTCGCTCTGCTTCCACCTCTGCAACGGGTGACCAACTTTGCGCTAGTTCAATGCCCGTCAGTGGAGTACCTGCCTGTACCGTTGCTGCAAGCGTGGAAGCCACAACTGTCGCACTTGGAATTGAGCGAATGCGACACCTTGACCGCGGACGCCCTCCGGTTTGTGACGCTGCCACGCTCGTTGTTGTCGATGGGATTGACGTCTCAAAACGCAACTCACCGCGCTTGCACTTTGCAACCATTGATTGGTGCACAACCTAGAACGACGCTTATGGCCTGGCCGAACATTTCTGTGCTACGATTGCAAAAGATTGCTTCCCGGCTCCTACCCGCGTGCCAGTTGCTGAGCACATTGCCGCGGCTCCGTAACCTGGACATGTCAGGTTCCGATGTCGCTCATCTGACGCAGCCCTTCTCGGCTCTGGTGCACCTGACAGGCCTGGTTCTCCCAAACGCCGACGTGCATGACGCATGGGTCCAAAGTGTTCTTCCAGGCCTGAAAAGCCTACAGCACCTGTCGCTCTCCAACACAAAGATCACGTAGGTACTTTTGAAACCAATGTGTCGTGGCCGCACGTCATTACTCACTGTCACTCCTCTCCTCCGTTCGTGAATGCTTTTTACCTTTGACGTTTGATCAAAACCGCAGTTCGACGAGTCTGCCCATCATTGCAAAACTCAATCGGCTCAATCATCTGTCCATTTCGACTACTTCGGTTGAAGGGGACGCAGAAGAAGTGCTCGAGTGCTTTGTTGCGCACCCAAACCTCGAGTATTTGAATGTCGATCTGTGTAGCATTGTTTGGAGCAGCTCTGAGGCCATCGACCAATGGAGGCAACGCGTGCCCCACCTTGCTACGTTCTTGACAACTCGCAACGACATTGCCCCGGCCCCTGCACCGAATCCAGCGCCTGCAAGGCCTATGCGAGAAACACCACGCAATGTACGACGATCGCGTCGGCGATGATACACTTGAAGCACATTTGACGAGATTTAAATTAAACGAAATTCACACTTGAAACCGAAAAGAAAGAAAGAAAACAAACAAATAAACAAAGACAAACAAACACACAATGCAAAACACAATCCAAAATCCCGATGTTACGAAGCCCATCGACTCCAGTAGCTGTTGACAGAGGCCGACCACGTTGATTCCGAGGTGACGGCAGTGGCTACTTGCGAAGAAAGTGACGGCGCAGCTAGAGTGCTCTTCAGGCTGCGTTCCTCGTCGGGACTGAGCTGGAGGAGCTTGGAGAGAACGGGAATGAGATGCTCACGCGCGTTGCCTTTGGTCTCGAGGAACTTGAGGACAATGTTTTTCAAAAACTCGAGATTGAGCTCTTGACGCACGCGCTCCTCGTTACGCTCCAGTCGCCGGATTTCTTCTTTGAGCACGTGCTGCTGTTGGATGCCGAGCGATGCGGCGCGCTCGTGCTCTTCGAGCAGGTCCAAAAGATACCGAATGTGTGCTTGCGCCTCTTGGAACTTGGCGGTCGAGTCACCTGGGCCTGCCACAGCGGAGGCGATGGGTCCCGCCGCGCCAGAGACGGAGGTGGAAAGTTTAGAAATGGCCGACCACGCTGTCGTGAACGGCAATTTGGCAACGCTGGCGAGTGCATCGGATGCTGCAGCTGCCATCGTGTTGGGAGTGACTGTGCCGCTCAATGCTCGCGAGTCGCTGCTGGCATCCATCGCGCTCGCCTCGCTCCCGGCAGTGACGCTGGTTGGCGTAGGAGGGACGGAGGTGTCTCCGTTCTTGAGGAGATGATGCGCAGATTCCGGCGATTGTTGCTGCTGGGCCTCGGCCAGACTGGCTGTCGGAAGATTGGAAATGAGGCGCGCGAGGTCATCCTTGGCCGACGTTGGCGCAGGTGGCTGTGGATGGGGTGTCGAAGCGCCGTGCCCAGCTGGCGATTCCGCACGAGCATGAGGGGCTTCGCGGTTGCCAGCGCCTCGCAATGCAGCGACTTGTTCCTCAAGCGTTGCAACCTCATTGTCGCGCTCGAGCACACGTCGCGAGAAGAGCTGGGCTTGCTCCTCAAACCGCGTTTGATAGGCGTTTGCCAAGTCTTCACGTTCCTTGGCGCTGGCCGAGTTTGCCAGCTCCAACGCTTGGACGTGGTTTTGTTCGGCAGTTTGCATCCGCAGGATGAGCTCTGATTCCAGTTCGCGCAGCTGGTCTTGGTGGTGCTCGCGCTCCTGGGCGTGCTGCGATGCGGCAGCCTCGAGCTCCTGGACAGCCGCTTCTGACTTGGTCAGCTGTGCAGCTAGATCCAGCGATCGCTGGCGGTGTTGCTGCACCTCATCGTGCAGCGCAGTTATTTGGTCGAGCAGCTGTTGAGCTTGTTGTTGCGGTGGCTGCTGCTCTTGTCGTGACGACGACGGGCTTTGCGGTTCCGAGTGGCCTGTCGCAGCATCTGCGGAAGCTGGTTCCCCACCTGAACTTTCGTGCACACCTGAAGCAGCGGCGGCGGCCTTGTTTCGCTTGAGAACCGTGTGCACACGAATTTTATACTGCTTGTAGTCGTCCTGGAGTGCTCGTAACGTGGCCTCGGAGTTTTCTGCACGGCTGTTCGTGGCATCCAGCATTTCCTCGAGCTGCTGTTGTGTTCGTTGTGCGGCGGCACGCTCGTGCTCGACCTGCTGCGTGAGCGCTTCATAGTCGCGAAGCGCGTTGGCCAGCTGGAGCTGCAGAGCGTTCGCGTTTTGTTCTGCCTCTTGCCATTTCGTCTGCATTGTGCCTTGCTGCGTTGCAGCAGCTTCGAGACCAGCTTTTTGCTCGGCAATCTCCTTCTTGGCCTTGACAAGCAGCATTTTGAGTTTGCCGGCGCGCTCGTCCTTTTCCGTGGAGGCTGTCTGTGCATTGGTCAGCTCGACTGTCAGCTCGTCAACGCTCGTCTGCGCCTTTGCAGCAGTGTCATGCGCAGCTTGCAGTTGCTCGGCAAGTGCAGCGGCCTCCTTGGCCATGTCGTCAATCGTCTTCTGCTGGTCGGCCATCTCGAGCGCCATCACAGAGTACTTGACGGCGACATCGCTCGCGGCCGCCGTCTGTCGCTGTTGCGCGTCCGCCTTGAGCTGGAGCACCTGCTGTTCAAGCAGCTGAATTCGAGCGGCGCTGTCGGCAAGCTCTGCGCTCTTGTTGGCGACCTCCTCCCTCAATCGCTGAGCGTTTGTGCCAGCATTGGCAAGCTCCTCAGCCTCGGCGGCGAGTTGCTTTTCAGCATTCACGGCGTCCTGTCGAGCGCGCTCGGCGGTCTGCTGGATGGATGCAACGCTGGCCTGCAGCTGTTGAATGGTCTGCCTGTCTGCCTCCGCGCGTTCCTTGTGCGATGCCTCCATCTGAGCCAGCTTGGTCATCATCGCTGTCTGAGCCGCCATCGCGGTCTCTGCAGCAGCGCGCGCTTCGTTCAACGCTGCAGCATCGTCCTGCTTGTTGGCTTGCGCGTCGCTCAATCTCGCTTGCTCGCCCGCAGCAGCAGCAGCAGCAGTGTGATCCTGTTGTAGTTGTAGTTGTTGTTGTTGTTGTTGCTGCTGCCGCTCCTCCTTCAGCTGGGCGAGTTCGGCCTCGAGCGCGGCGCCGCGTTGGCGCAGCCCGTTCGCTTCGGCCTCGGCCGCTGTGCGCTGGTGCTCGTGCTGGTCTTCCATCCGAGTCTGCCGCTGAGCCAGTTCTGCGCTGTGCTGCTCACGGAGACTGGCGACGTCCGCCTGGTGCTGCTCCTGCGCTTGGCCGAGCTGCTTCTTGAGCGCTGCAGCTTCGGCGTTCGCTTCGTCGACCTTCGCCTTGGCCATTTGGAGCAGTTTGAGCTGCTTGCGCACCTGCTGCTGCAACTCCTCACGGCTGAGGTTGTCGACAGAGCTCTTTGCGACTGGCTGGGCAGAGGTGGCAGCGGCAGCAGCCGATGCCGCGGGTGGAGTTGGCTCCTCCATTTCAAAGTAGGAGAGCTCAGAACAAAACGCTTCTCAGAAAAACCTCGGGAAAAAAATAAAATAAAAGTGCGCCGTCTCAGAAAAGAAAAAATCACAGTAGAAACAAAAACCCTTAAAAGCAAACGGTAGCAAAAAAAAAAAAAAAATCAATTGTTGTTTTTGTGTTAAATTCATGCAAAACCAGAGAGGACGCTCTAGTCAAACGACTCGAGCTCGGTAATGGTGGCCTCGGCAGCAGGGGTGTCGCGAACAAGATTGCGGAGATCGGCCAACAGCGCGTCGAGGTCTGATCGCGAAGGAGCCTCGAGAACAACGACCGCGCTGCTTGTCGACTTAAGGTGCTGCGCGGGCATGTTGGGGCGAACCATGCACTCGCGAATGTCAAAGCTGCCATTGTACAGCTCGACCTTGTCCAGGGCACGGTTGATCAAGCCGGTATCAAACAGGTGGCCCTGAAGCAAAATCGTGGTGCTCACAGCGTCCGTGTTGTCCAGCGTGGCTGCCGGGCGCACTTTGCTTCTTGCCAGCTCGCGACGCATACGCTAACAAAGCACAAAATCATAAACAAACGAAAAGAAAAAGCAAGTCAGCACCAGATCGCAATCACCAACAAACCAAAGCAACTTTCCCAAAAAAAGGAAAAAAGAAAAAAAAAGAACCTACTTCAATGTACTTGTAGTTGGGAGTCAGCTCGTTGTGCGCGGCAATGCAGGCGCCGGAAAGGGAGGTCGGGAGCTCACGGGACTGCTGCTCAAAGGGCTTGGTGCCGTCGGAAAAGGCGAGATCGGCAGCAAAGTTGAGCAGCGCCGAGCTAAAGCTGCGGGTGGACTCGCGGGGCAACTCGCTCGCGAGCTGCTCAATGCCCATCATGAGCACACCCTCTCCGTCCACGCCATCGTGCGCGTGGTGACGGAAGGCATCGTAGACGTAGAACGGGCGGTCGATGGTGCTGGTGCGGCTGAGGAACTGGACAGAGCCGTCAATGTCGCAGCTAATGTCGGAAACGGCGAGCAGGCCATGCGTGCCGGCCAGGCTGCCAGGCGTGGTCTGGTGGCTCTCGCGGGCGTTGCGCTGGTCTCCGAGCAGCGCCTGAGCTTGTCTGTTGGTGAGCAGGCGCGGGTAGCGGCGATCCCAGTAGGTGGCGTTGATAATCACGTTGGCGAACGGCGCAATGCGTTCGTGGAATGTGGGCACATACAGCTCTGGGTGGGCGTGGTATTCGCGGCGGTCGAACGTGTTGGTGGTCCAGGATGTCGAGGCTTTGGCGGCGTCGCCGTGCTGCTGCTTGCGTTCGTCGGCGTCATGGCGACGTGCGACCATGTCCTCTTCCTCAACCACACAGCCGTAAACCTTGAACCGAGCGTTGCCCTTGTCCGGTTGGTGCCAGCGGTGAGCCAAAGTGGGCAAGTCCGATGGCTTGACAAACTCGTGCGGGAGCAGCTTGAAAATCTCCTGCGCGCCCAGCGACGCACGGCCGTTACCAGTAAACACAAACGTCAGCGGGGTGATTGGGGCGGGCAGTCCATTCTTTGCAATTTCCTTGGCGAGCGCATCGACGGCAGCTTTAGCGGTTCTGTTCAGTGCGACGGCGACAAAGAACAACAACAACAAGCCGCAAAAAGCCCAGGGTGTGAGTGCCCGCTGCTGAAAGGCTTCAACAAGTTTGAAGCACAGCAGCATATCGACGACGTACTTTAGAGTCGGGTACATGTAGGCAGAGCTAATGCCGAGGAAAGGGGTCGAGTAGCCCAAGCTCAAGAATCGCTCTCCGAGTCCGCGCAACGTGTTGATCATGCCAACATTGCCACAAAGGGTACCAAAGGACACGAGGCGACTGCCGTTTCGCAGGCCGTCGAGGGTGATGCTTTCGTAGTCAAAGAGGCTGTTGTGACGAGATGGTGATCCGTCGCACACCGGTGAGACAAGTGTTGGCAGCTGTACGAGCACTCGACTTGACATCTACTCAGCAGCATACCGAATGTTATTCTTCAGGACTGCATCCAGGAATGGCATGCCTGCACGCTGGGCTTTGATGGTGCGCGTGAAGCACGCGTACGTGCGATCGGGGAGCAGTGTTTCCGGCTTTGGACGTTGAACGCCCAGCAGGACGCTTGCCTCGCTGACATCTTCCGTCACGATCGCACCAGCAGCCCTATTAAAAAACAACAAGCACACAAACAAATAAGTTAAGAATATAACAGTGGTTCAGCACAAGTAAGTGACTGATCAGAAGTCATCCAATTTCAGTGCGTTTTGCATTAAAGAGTGTCAAAATTTTCCTCTTTTTTTTTTTTCTTTTTTTTTTTTTTTTTTTTTTTTTTTGGATGGCTTTTCTGCATTGGATTCTCAACGACTGATTCAAAGATCATTCAGTCTCGCTATTGATCAAGTCGAGCACAAACAGCAAGTAAAAAATCACTACAACAATACACGATTGCATCATCGTGTGATGACACTGTTCACTCCAACGGTGTCGAGTGGATGAGTCGAAGCGGACTTGAAGTGAGTCCTCCCTCCAGTGTACAGTGTGCACCTCCATCGCCAATCTCCAATCCACTCTCCACTCAATCACTCAAGCACTCAAGCACTCTCCCACTCTCGACTTCAATCGATAGAATCGCTCAGTTCAAAATGACAATTCTGGAACTGCTCGGGTGGGACGGACGGACGGACGGACCTGTACTCGTCGTCAGAGAAGACGCGCTGGTTGCACGGCTGCACAAGCACTTTGACTTGGCGCAGCTCGCGGAGGATGCGCGCGTCCGTCGGCGAAATGGGTGCTCGGCGTTCCCACTTGTTGGCTGCCTCGCGCAGAATGCCAATCACGCCATTGCCGCGGAGGCGCGAGATCGACATGCCTTTTTGGGCTGAAAAAAAAGAAAAAAAAAAAAAAAAAAAAAAAAAAAAGGACTAACATCATTGCATTGCAAGTTGTCGACCAAAGAAAAGACCTCAAGATCAAGGTTGCGTCTCGATCTGAGCAAGATAAAGAGATGAGGCAAGACAGAAGAGAGCTGATTTATTTCGAAAGCTGATTGTTTGTTCGTGTAAGACAACACACACCAAAATAAAATAAAATACTGTACAGAATCAGCATCACAGCAGAAACCAATCCGATCCGTTTCACCAAGACATCGCACCAACATTGACGAACAGCACAACAGAAAATGCGCAAAGCACAAAGGTCGACCGCAAAATGCACTGCTGCTACATTCAGGTTCCAGCCATTCGCTGACTGCGATCCTTCTTTGCAGCGCAGCTTGGAATGCCGCACGACCTCAGGGCTTTCACAGCTTCAAAGTCGCGCCACGCCAGACGGGAACATTGCCTTGGCCAATAATGACTGGGCCGTCATCATACAGTTCGATAGTACAGGGGTAGACGCCCTTTCCGGCAGTATCGGATGTCCAGGTGGCCAGGTTGTTCTTGTCACGCAAGACCAAATTGCAGTCGTCCTGCATAACGAGGCGGAACGGGCCCTGGCCGTGTCCATTGGTCCTTGTTGACCACAGGGCAGTGTTGCCAGGCCCATAGATGACAACGTTGCCATCTTCCTGGACCAGCATGACCAGCTTACCGGACTGGGAAACCAGACGCCAGCCGGATGGAATGGCACCTTTCTCGCCGTCGCCCCAGTCAGCCGCATACTTGTGCCCGCCGTACATTGTGCCGTGCACAGTAGTGGCTCTGTTTACGGTGTCAGCAGAACACTTCTCGCGAGCGGTTCTGTTGGAAGAAAAACGGAAACAAACAAACAAAAAAAACCAAACAAGATTAGCTGTCGCGTGTTTTTCCTTCACAAGTTCTCATAGGTTCGACGATGCACTGACTTGAAGGCCTCGTGTCCGAGCTGTGCCACGCCTTCATAGTACGTGATGGCACGGGCCATGCAAAGCGGGTAGGTTGCAGCGTCCCATGTTTTGGACAGCCAAGTGCCGGAAAGTTTGCACTTGCTCTTGAGTGCAGCGAGAAATTGGCCGTCGCATGTCTCTTTGGACACGCCACAGGTGGAATAGCAATCGTCGTGTTTGTTGCACAGATCGCGAACGTTGGCATCCGGGATGAACGCACCGAGTGCGCCGCTTGAGCCACAGCCATTGTGGGCGGCAACGCTGCCGATTGAAACAAAAAGTACCGCAGCCGCGATCAGGACAGCCCTGGCGCCTGTCGGAGACATGAAACAAACAGAAATGAGGAGTGATTTGATGATCGACTGAACCGGAACTGCTTAAATACTTGCTGACACGTCAGCGGTGAACGTGACTGCAAAACAGCATAACGCACACAGCGTATTTTCGCAAAGATGGCAAAGAGTTCACGGTGGACGGGCAGGGAAACCTGTGGTGCAGAGGCAATGAAGTGAGTTGGTGGTGATGACGGTGCGCTACGGAGGCCATGGAGAGATTGAGAGCGAGACAGCGAGGGACAGGCGAACGAAACACGCGAGACAGAGTATACATGTATGATCAACCCAAATTGTTTCCGGGTGACATCTTCCGTTATATTTTCGGGTGATGACCAGCCCAACCCGATGTTCGTGCATTGATTTCAGATTTCAGAGGGCTGGCAAGTTCCCAGCATGTCTGCAGACGATGCCTTGATTCTGCTTGTTTTCCATTGCTTTTGCAACTATCTTGGAGGGGTTTTTTTGCTCACTATTATTCTGATTGTTGCGCGGGTCATTCTTGTATTTTTCTTTTTGATTTAGTTTCTGAGCGCATCCACTATTGTTTGATCTTAACATTGTGAGCATTTCTCAGCTAACAAATCGCCAACCCAGCCATCAGTTTTTGACTCAACCCCTCCCTCACCCCCCCCCCTCCCCGCCATCTCGCTTGTTTCCAGTGCGTTGACAACAAACAAGCACGGGGGCAGAGCGCGAGGCAATGTGGAGTCGCTGGTTTGATATTGACGACGACAACGCCCTTCGCCTCCTCACTTCCTGCCTCTCTCTTGCGCGCTCTCTCCCTCTCTCTCTCTCTCTCTCTCTTCTTCTTCTTCACTGTTCCACTCGTGTCTTGTGCCGTTGCTCGTTCGTCGGTCGCCTCCCCCTTCCAGTGACAGCATCACCCAGTTCCTGTTCGCCGCTTCGTCTTCCCCTGTTCACTCTGCCCCCCCCCCCGTTCACTCTGCCCCGCCTTGGGTCCAACCAGATTCATCATTCATTCTCTCCCCGTTCTCTCGGCTCTTCCACTCTTTGAACGCCGATTCGTCCGCTTACCAACCCAGTTTCCAAATCGTCATCGCACTGAAGAAGAAGAAGCGAAACTTATTTTTTGAATCACCACTAACGAATTCGTAGCACTTTCAGAACCCCCTTTTTATTGACTCACTTTGTTAATTTTTGTAGACTTTTCTCCAACCAGAAGCAAACAAAAAACGCAAAGTTCGTCCAATTTGTGCCTCGGTTCGTGCTGCCAACGCCCCCCCCCCTCCACAACCCACCGCTGATTGGATCCAGGAAGGCACCCCTTAGCTAGAGAATGTTCAGTCAAGGGCATCGGCACACGGCGTCGACGGGCAGCGGCACGAGCGTCGCAAGCAGCTCAAACCCAAGCACTGCTGCGGCGAGCCATCCTCCTGCAGCAGGAGGCGGAGGCCCAACAGCCGCTGCAGTCGCGAGTGCTATGCTGCTTGGTGGTAGCGCAACGCCAGCAGCGTCTACACCAACGTCGACGGGCAGCGCGGCGTCGCATGTCAATGGCCGCTCAACGCCCACTCCCGCCACCGCCGTGCCAGTGCCAGTGCCAGGCTCAGCGCCGACAGCCGCCTCGCAACACGGCGCGCATAGCGCCCTCGTTGCTCAACCGTCTGCCCATACTGCAGGCGACGACGCAGACGGAAAGCGGGAGCAAAAACTCGCGCGAAAGCTGCGGCCGTTCGACAAGGAGGAAGACGCCGTCAAGCGACTGCGAGCGCTCAAGGACTATTGCGAGGCAGCGTCGGACGCAGAGCGCAACGCCTTCTTTGCCGGGAGACACTCGGCCGTGTTCATGCTGATCTGGGATGTCTTCACCCACATTGACGCCACAGCACGGCACAAGTTCACCAAGGATCGCCACATTCCGGACAACATGCGCGAAGACATTTGCACCATCATTTACATTCTCGAGCGCCTCATCCACGCCGTGCCAGACCTCATCCGACGCAAGTGGAACGCGTCGGCAATTGGTCACATTCTGGAGCGCCTGTTGCACCACGGCAACGCACACAAGCTGCGACGCGACGGCTTCAGGCTGCTCTTGCGCTGGCTCGAAACCCTGCAGGACGAGCACTACTTTCGCGCCCTGCAGCTCTTCCGCGATGTGATTGTCGCACAAGCGCCAGAGGGCACGCGAATCATCAACCAGCACATTACAACCACCTGGAGCATGAGTGCCCATGTCGGTGCTGTCGGCGCCGAGGGTGGTTTGGGACACGCGGGTGGCGGTGCCACTGCGCCATCGTCCGCGCTGGTTCTGCCCGGCGGTTCACACGCATCCGGCTCCACGCCGTTGCCGACCACCTTTACAGACTCTGCCAATCAGCTTCCAGGGATGCCGGCGCGAGCCAGCTCTGAAAAATCCAGCAACAGCCCGGGGCCCGCGTCCGCCACCGGGACGCCTCAGACGGCCCGTGCTTCGTTGACTGGTGGTACACTCTCGCCATCTTCCTCCAGCCTGCCCTCTCTGAGCACGCCTGTTGGCGTGCCAGTACCACGCTCGTCCGTCCAGTTTGCATCCCTCCTCGGCGCGAGCACGCCGGCAGTGCCCGTCTCGTCCGCGGCGCACGGTGGGCCTGGCCTGATCTGCCCTCTGCAGCCGCCGCCGCCGGGAGCGCCGACCATGGATTTTACCATCGACCTGCTGAACTTGTTGTTCGAGTACCTGACGAACGACTGCCTGGCCATGTCGCTCGACCCTCAGGGCGGCATGACCGTGACAGACGAGAGCATGGCTCGCTTTGACTATCTATTTTCGCTGCTCAAGCGCTTCCACTTGACGACCTTCTATCCGGACGTCTGCAAGCGGATTGGGCTGCTCTCGCCAGATGCGACGTCAGGCTTCACTTCTCAATGCCCACCCTACTTTCATTCCGTCATTGTTCAGTGGCTTGTCAAGTGGTTGTCTGGCACGTCGTCCAAGCACCGCCACATCCGAAGTGTCCTCTACCGGACTGTCCAACACACCGAGCTTGTCCACGAGATTCTGCGACAAAGCTTCCTCATGCCCGTGACGCACTGCGACACCATCCATGCCACAATTGGCGTCTACCGCGAGTGGATTCGGACGGAAAATCCGCCACGATTTATGCTCGAGCCGCTTCCAACCGCAGGAGCCGCCGAGTCGTCGAACAATAGTGCTTCTTCTGGAAGCAACAGTCCTCGTGCAACTTCGTCGGTGCCCCGTCCAACAGCGGCGACTCCGGTCGCCTCTGCCACCACAGCCACGACAAAGAACGCGGATGCCCAGCAGCAGCAGCAGCAGCAGCAGCAGCAGCAAGCCTTCCGCACTGCGTCGCAAATGCAGCTGCTGGCAGCTCCGCCAACGGAAATCTCCATCGTCCACGCCGGTTCTCGGCGGGTGGCGGAGGAAAATGCCGTTCGATGGGGGCCCCAGGAGGCGTTGCGAAGGATGGCCTCGAACGCGGGGCTCGTTTTCTCTGTCAAACCGTGGGCCCCTGCGCATACAGACGATCAGCTCTTTGTTTGCGTCGAAGTCCTCTCGCTGTATCATCTCATCATGCTGGAGCCGGTGATCAATCTCGAGCCCAACACTTGGGAGCACATTCTGGGGCAACTGCTCGGCATTGTGTACCAGGCTCTCGTGCGTCGCCGACCCGGGGATGAGCCATTGTACAGCAAACTTTCGCACATTCTCCTGGAAACCCTAATGCCGGCGTGGATCCGCGCCAACATGCATCGAACAGTGTCCACTCCCCTCTGGCACAATCTCGCCCAAGTGCTCAGCTCGGCGACGCACTGGCCCGAGACAATCGGGGAATGGACTCGCATGATTGTCCAGCAAACCAAGACGCTTGCCTTTGTCGTTTACGATATTGACCTGGACGATCGACCCATCGACAAGTTCCGCGAGATGGCCCCCAACCGCCTCTTTGCGTCCCGCCTTCAAGCCGGCAACGCTCAAGCCGGCGGAGCTCCACAAAACCCAACCACGGGCTCCACCAAAGGCGCCCGTGTCAAGCTGAGCAAGTCGTTTCTCGAAAGCACCAAGCCTTTGCGCAAGTCGAGCTCGTCGGAAAGTCTGGTGAAACTCGGCGAGGCATCGCCTGCGGCCGGGTCGTCGCCTGCCACGGTTCGCAAATCGCCCGACACGTCCCGGCGAGGCTCGAACAAGCGCGTCAGCATTTATGCCGCGCCAGTGACGGAGCCGCCTGCTCAACTTGCACCTCGGTCTACGTCGTTCAGCTCTATCAACAAGTTCCGAACAAAGTCCCCTTCCTCTGCTTCTGGTAGCAGTGGTAGTGCAGTCACGGCCGAGACAAGTGTGGCTCCTCCTTCCTCTTCAACTAGTACAACTACTACCAAAGCGCAGCCGCTCCCTGTAGTGTCTCTGTCGACCACGTCCTCGACATCATCCAACGCCTCGTCGGTATCGCCCGTCGCCTCGACGGGCCACTTGTCGCTGCCATCCACGTCAGCACAGACTTCGCCGACCAGCTTGCCGCCCTTCCATCCATTCCGTCGTCATCACACGCGCCTCTGCGGGCGTCTGTTTCTGCGAGTGCGCTTTCAGTCCTTGCCTCAAAATCGGACGACCTGCCGCAGTCCCTGTCCTTGACCCATATTCAACAACAACAACAACAGCAGCAGCAGCAGCAACAACAACAACAACAACAAGAGCCACAGCAGGACAGCAGCCCAGCCTCGACTTCCTCCACAGCTGCTGCGGCGCTGGATGAAGAAAAGGCCGCGGCCACTGCGGAGGAACTGGGCGCAGACGCTGGGGCGGCGGCCACCTCCACGCAAGTTTCGGCGTCCAGCTCGACCGCGTCGACTGCAGCCGCGGCACCTTCCTCCGCCAACAACCCAGCGCATGCCCCACCCAGACGCTCGCGCTCAATCACTGCCCAAGATGCGTCCGATTTTGACGCGCTGACGCTCGGCAACCAGTCGAAAACTTCTCGACTTTTGAGTGCAATGCGCGCAGCCTCTCACCAAACCTACATGGAGTTCCAGGACGTCGACCGACTCCCCTGGGTGCCTGAACGAGCCATGTTCCTCTGGAAGAATATGCTTGGCATTCTCGGCAACATCAACAACATTCCCAACCCTGCAATTCACTGCACGGCCATTCAAGGCACGCTTCTTGTGCTCGACTTGCTTGTGGCGACGCGCGACAACCAGGGTATCTCCATGGACAACCAGTCGACCCCGCCGGTGCCCCTGGAGCTCCCACCCTTGTTCATGTTCGTCGGCTGGCTCTGCCAGGCCGCTGCCATGCCGGATCACTTTCGCGCGGGCCGCTCGCTCGCCACTGGCGCGCTGTGTCGCCTGATGACTCGGCGGCTCGATCGCCCGGTGACGCTCGACTATCTTGCCCACTACTACCGTCTTTTGCACAGCGGCTTGCGGGGCAACGACCTCGATGTGCAGCATGCCATCATTAGCAACTCGACGCGCATCTTCACATTGGGCTTGCCCGGGTCGACCATGGTGCTCGTCGACTTTTTGACGGCAATTGAAAGCGTTCTGTTGACCAACCGCGCCGAGTCCTTTGCACTTCGAACCGACGCCCTGAAAATTCTGTTCTCGCTCACGTGTCTTCCCAACCTGTACAAGCCGGATGACAAGGTGCCCGACCTGCAACGCATGGTCAAGTCCCATCCAACCTACGCTGCTGCTGCTCCTGGCCACCTGGACACCCAGACCCAGCCAGAGGTCTCTCGACAGGACCAAGAGCGCGACAGTGAGATCAGCATGCAGCAGGTGAAGGATCGGGTCATGATGCTGCTCATCCGCGTCTCCCGCGAAGAGCCACACACGCCCACGCGCTGCCATGCCATTTGTGCGCTTGCCACGTTTGTGTTTGACGAGCTGGCCAACAAAACCAACAACCCGCGGCTGTCCGAGTGCTTCGACGTTCTCTTGGCGTTGCTCCGGTGCGACGAGCCGCAGGTTGCGCAAATGGCAGTCAAGATGCTCTCAATGCTGTCCATGCAGTTTGCATCACTCTCGCAGATGGGAGGTCAGCTTGTCGACAAGGTGTATGCCACCATTTCGGCCACCATTCGAAACTTGCTCGAGAACGAGCTGCCCACCTCGCCCATGGGCGCCACGGCTGCCACAGCCCATGCCGAGGAGCTAACGGTCGCACTCATGTTCTGCCTGTTGGATTGGCTGATGAGCAGCCCGTCCGACGTGCTCAACAACACACCCATCGCTCAAACCGTATTTGATGTGATTGACCTGGCCATCAATCCATTCCACTCTTGGACGGCCAACCCGCACTACCTGGTTCCATCCACCACGGGATCGACGTCGTCGACCGCATCCACTCGTGACCGCAATCCTGCCAATGCCACGCATGCTGCGACAGTCGGGTCCGCCCACGGGCAGCAAATTCTGCAACAGCAGCAAGGACAGTCGCAGCAGCATTCGCACGCCGCATTGCGGCAAGCCAATTCAATGAACGAGGGTCGCGTGCCCCCTTCGCTTGATGGGCTTTACACACCAAACTCCCACGCAGCAGCCAGTGCAAACGATCGTCGTTCTGGCTCTGTGTACAGTCGACCGACCAGTCTTGCTTTGACACATGCCACGGTTGCTGGCAACCCACCACCCACACAACAGCAGCAACAACAGCAGCAACAGCAACAACAACAGCAACAGCTGCAGCAACAACAACAACAACAGCAACAGCAGGCTCTGCAACCACCTCGCTCTGAAGGCCCTTCTGGCTCCATGCCCAACGACGACACGCTCAGCGTTGCGTCTGGCACTTCCGTCACTACGGCTGCCTCGGGACCCATTTCATCACCTTCGTCGCACAGATCGGGTCTGCGGGGCATGCTGGATGCCGTACAGCGAGGGGTGGACGCGTTTGAGGGAGCACACACGCACATCAAGCATGCCATCCGCAAACGAGATGGACCTGCCGGTTCATCGGCTCAGTTTGCGCCTGCATCTGGTGTCGCTGGCAACGCGACACCTCCAACGTTTGGAGCCGCGGCTGCAGCGGCGGACGGGGCCGGCGGGCCTGGAGAAGCACCGCATGCGACCACTGCTCATGCTGCTGCGGGGGGCACCATTACCAGTCCCCCTGCGCCGTCAGCTTCCGGAGCCACTGGCTTTTCCATCCACGACGTGCGAACGCCGCGACCAGTGGTGGCGATGGCTGCCAAGAACATGCTCTTCCATCTGCTCAACCATCTGAACAATTTTCCCTCTGCCGCCGGCGTCGCCTGCTTGACCAGCCGCGTCACAGAGTATGACGAGGTGACGAGTTCTAACGAGCTGACCTCGGAATTGTTCGATGCCCCAGGCGTCCAGTTCTTTGTGCTCAACAGCTCGACGCTCATCTCGCTGATTGAGCTTCCGAGCAAGGTGCTGGGCGAGCCCCCTCGCGCGCGAGTCCTGCTTCGTGACATGACTGGCAAGTATGCTTGGGATGCTACGTTGCTCTATCAAACGCAAATGCAACGATCTCGACAAGGCACCCTCTACCCTGGCCTTGCTGCCGAGTTTGATCTCGAGCACCAGGTTGTCGAGGACTCGTCGCGGCGCGCGATTGTCTTCCCCGACACTGGGTATGTCCGCCGGCTCAAGACTGTCCCGCGCTGGTCGAGCGGCGAGAGCGTTGTCGCGCGCTTTTTGCCATCTGCCTTGTCTCTAAACGAGTCATCCGCGCGTGCCAGCGTGGTGTCGGAGACGTCGTTCGACTCGAGCGAGCCCTCGCCGACTGGGCGGTCTGGCACTGCTGGCCAGTCAAATGGCGTTCCGAACGGCAACGCGCCGCCCGCCTCGGCGCAAGGCTCTGGGTTTATTGGCATTGGGCCAAGCCCCGAATTTGTCGCGTGGTCGGAGCGCGCAACCATGCGCCGTCCCTCCACCGTTCTGCAAGCCAGTCCCGCCGCCCTTCAAACCACCACCAAGAGCACCTTTGGCGTTGACATGCTCGACGAAGCGCTCAAGTATCTCGGCGAAACCAGCTCCGAGTGCCTGCACTTTGCCCACGTTCCGCTGAATGTGCCCTATCCCACTCCTGAAAGCATGCAAGCGCAGGAGGATGCCTTCCTCGCTGCCCTGCATCTCCAGCATTCCTCGGAAGAAGAGTATTTGGCCCAACGCGCCTCCAATCCGCGGTGTGTATTCATGGTCACAAGTGTTTCTGGTTTTTTTTTTTTTTGGTTGGCAACTCATCGTGTTTGTTTGTTTGTTTGTTTGTTTGTGTGTGCTCTCGTCCTATTTTCTCATTGCAGGCCCAACATGACTCCTCAACCGGTGCAACCCAAAATACCCGCGGAACCCATTTCTCCGTTCCACCACTGTCGCTTGCTGCTCTCGCATCTCGGCTTGCTCACATTCGAAAATCGCCGACACTTCCATCTTTTGCGCAAGAATGATGCCCTTCTCCGGCTTTTGAAGGCGCTTGATACCTCGGGCAGGTATGAAGCGAGCAAGCGTGCATTAGCGCCTCATGTTGCTTTGTTGCCGTCCTCGTTCAGTGTTTTGGATCGTTGCCCTGACAAATGTTTGCTTGACGCAGTCGAGACTACCACAAGATTGGCATCTTGTATGTGGCGCCCGGCCAGGAAGATGAACACTCAATTTATGCCAATGTGAAAGGCAGCAAACTCTATGAGGACTTTTTGGCTGGCCTGGGCTGGGAGGTAACTTTGATGCATTTTTTGCGAACGCTTGTACAACGTAGTGAATCACGTCGCGTGTTGCTCACTCTACTCCCTCTGCGCTAGGTCAACTTGGCGACGCATCGCGGCTTCTTTGGCGGCTTGGATCCAAACCTGTCCACGGGGCGCTCAACGCCATTCTACGGCACGTCGACGATGGAAGTCATTTTCCACGTCGCGACGCGAATGATCCCCGTGAATGGCGACACCGACATGAAGATTATCAAAAAGCGGCACATTGCCAACGATCGCGTGCGAATTATTTGGTGCGAGCACTACCGTGATTTCCGGCCCGAGATTCTCCGTACCAAATTCGACGAGGCGACCATCGTCATCTACCCTCTGCCCAATGGCTTGTACCGTATTTCCATTCTTCGCAAGCCCGAGGTAACTAGCCATGGGACTGGCATGCCGTTGTTTTTGGTTTCGTTTTGTTGTTGGGCTCGCTCCTGTCGCATGGTCAGACTTTTTTTTTTTGGCTGACTCTTGCTGTGCTGGCGTTGACCAGATTCCGCTGTTTGGACCGCTGTTCGATGGCGCGGTTGTCGACAAGAAAGTTCTCGCTCCCCTTGTGCGCGAAACGGCCATCAATGCCAACCGTGTCATTGTGTCGCAAGTTGATGGCTTTATGCGCTTGTGAGTTGTCGCGGTTGATCGGCGGATTCCGATGGTTGGAGTTCTGCATTCACCCTTCTCACATTTTTTTTTTTTTTTTTTTTTTTTGTGCTTGTCGTTGTTTTTTGTTTGTTTGTTTGTTTGTTTGTTTGTTTGTTCGATTGTTTCCCCTCCACACACAGCTACGCGCAACGTGCCATGTACCTCGAGCAAGTTGTGACGGGCCACACGCTAGAGTCGACCTACGAACAGTTCCTTGCCTCGCTTCTGGCAACACAGCCCAAGGCGCTTCGTCCTGTCCAGCCAGCTCCGATCGGACAGCGCCAGCTTGGGTCACACTCCGACCAGCCGCGCCGACCACGAGCATCGACGCTGACCAAGCAAGATGCGATTACACCTGCGCAATACATCAATCAGGATCGTCGCGCTTCTGTCCAGCACACACTGCTTCCCTCTGGGGAGCTCGTGCCAGTGCAGACGCTGGCGCGCCCACCCGTGCCTGCGCTCTCTGCTTCTGCCACCTCTCTTCTCAGCTCCACTCGGTGCTAAAGCCAGCGTGGATTTGTTGGGTGGCGTTTCTCCACCACTTAATTATTTTATTCATCATTCCCCTCATCTTTTCCTTTGATGATTTTGTAGTTTGTTTGTTTGTTTTTCTCTCTGGTTGTCTTTTTTTTTTCGTTTCATTACAATTTTTTCGCTTCTGCATTGGACCAAAGATGTTGATCAGCTCAAAGGAGGGGTTGGGAGAAAAAAAAAACCATTCACTTTCACGAACACAAAGATCCAAAAAACACAATGCACCCAACGATACACACAATAAACAAACAAACAAACAGATGGAACACTCAACACCACAGAGCGACCCTACATCACAGAGGCTCCTTGCTCTGCGTAATAAACTCGATAATTTTGGCGCTGTCCTTGGCGCCGTTGGTCTCGACACCGGACGAAACGTCGACGCCCCAGGGAAGCGCGACAGCAACACATTCCATGACGTTACTTGGAGACAGGCCGCCCGCAACGAGCACTGGGATGGCATGCACTGCGGCGACATCCTTGGCCACCTTCCAGTCGAAAGTCACGCCGCTGCCTCCCTGCTTGAGAAGTGCGGCGACGGGCCGCATGAAGGAGCCTGCCGCAGTCAGCGAATTGGGCACTCCCGCAGTCACGACAACTCCCGTGCCTGCCTCGGGCTCGCTCGCATTTTTCGCGGCCTCATACAGCTCTGAGGGCGTCAGTGAACGAGAGCGGGTCATGGGCGCCTCAGGCATCGTGCGGACGAACGTGTCCAGGAGGCCAAACGCAAAGCGACCTGGCACCAGCTGATCAACGACCGATTGAGTGGTATCGTGCGGAGCCACGTGGATGGCACGAATGACTGGGAAGTTGATGCGGAGCGAGAGACCGGCCGGCTCGGTGGTTCCATGCAGCTGCACCAAATCGACGCCCAGGTCAGCCGCGACGCTATTGATGCGTTCGGACGTGTCGTCAGCAAACACAGCGACAAACAGCGGACGACGCTGCAGCAAAACCCGCTCGAGAATATCGGCGGTGTGGCGGAACCACTCGGACTTGCCCCACTCGCGTGAAACGTCACCACCGGCCAGAGCGCGCAGCTCTTGGAGGGCGCTGTCGGTCTCGGCCTTGCTATTTTGGCTGGCGTCTGCTCGAACGGCCTGGATGATTTGCTTGGCAAGCTCGGGAGGAACGTAGCGCTTGGATTCCGGCACGCAAATCATGCCAATCAGGTCGGCGCCATTTCGCGCAGCGCACAACGCATGCTCGACGGTGCTGACGCCGCAGACTTTGACCAAAGGCTCGCGCGTTCCAGACGAGCCGAGCAACCACGAAATGTAGCGCGCAGGGTCCTTGGCGCGCATCAGCGCCTCACCAACCAGCACGCCTCGGGCACCGCTGGAGGCAAATCGCACAACGTCGGTTCGAGTGGCAATGCCAGACAAGGCGACCAAGATAACGCCTTGGTTGGGTGGGATGAGAGCAGCCAGTGCGCTGGTTCTGCCCATGTCCAGCGTAAAGTCGGTCAGATTCCGGTTGTTGACGCCAATCACCTTTGCGCCAGCAGCCACAGCACGCCTCGTCTCGTCCGCGTCTGCCACTTCGACCAAGGGCTCCATTCCAAGACCACGCGAGGCTTCCAGCAGGGACTCGAGCAGCTCTTGGCTGAGGCACTTGACAATCAGCAAGACCGTGTCGGCGCCGTTCGCACGCGCCTCGAGAAGCTGGTACGTGTCGAAAATGAAGTCTTTCCGGAGAACAAACGGACGCCGGTCGTTCTGAGGAAAGGCAGCTTGCAGCGCCGTGCGCACGGCCAGCATGTCCTCCAACGAGCCTTTAAACCACTTGGGCTCGGTCAAGACGGAGATGCCGAGAGCGCCGGCGTGCGCATACCGCAATCCTTGCTCGGCAGCATTCATGCCGGGTGCAATGTCGCCCTTTGAAGGCGAGGCTCGCTTGATTTCAGCAATCAGCGAGAACTGAGTCGAGGCACTTGACAACGCAGTGTGGATGTTGCACGGGGCGAACGCCGAGGCACTGATGAGAGCTTGCAGCTGCTCCTCCGAGACGGCCGCCCTTGCGTCGCGCACATCAAGTGCGCGCTGCGCAGTGATGGTATCGAGAATGGTCGTCATCAAGCGGGGCTGACTATGGGGATGAAGGATCAAGCAGGGGGAGAAAACGGAACAGTAGAGAAAAAAAAAGCAACGAGGGAAGGCGGGAGGGGGGAGGAGGAAACACAGAAGGTGAGCAAAGGGAAGAGAAACGAATAAAAAGAATTGGGGGGGGGGGAGGAAAAAAAAAAAAAAAAAGAAGAACACGAAGGTTGGATCAGGAATTGACCAATTTGAAGAACAGCAAAAAAATCAAACGACTTGAATCACGGGAAGAAACGAAATATCAGGAGAAGGGAAGGGCACGGGGAAAAAAAAATGAATGTCAAACGAAAAAGAAGAACGGAAACGAAAATAAGGAAAACACAACCCGACGGCAAACTTCAAGTACGGCGAGCAGCCACGGATTCAGTAATGAACTGCTGCAGGACTTGAAGCGCACGGCCTGAAGCGATGGCTTGCTTGGCCTGGGCGACGCCAGCTTTGAAATCAGCAGCCGCGCCTGCAGCAACGAGCAGCGCGGACGCGTTCATGGTCACGAAATCGAGAATTGCGCCGTCAATCTTCCCCTCGAGGAGCTGGAACAACGTGGCTGCGTTCGCTTGAGGATGAGAACCCACGACCTCCTCAAGGGCGTGAAGAGGCAGGCCAAAGTCGGCGGGAGAAATGGTCAACTCCTCAATTCGTGAGCCACGCAGTCTCCAAACGGTCGTAGGTACCGCCGGGCTGATCTGTGTTTGCAAAAGAAAAAAAAAAGCCGAAATAAAAAAATATACATGAGTGTCACACATAACACAACACAGAGTAATCATAAACACAAACACGTCAAGCCGTTTTTCAAGCTCACCTCATCAAGACCGTCCTGACCATGAACCACGAGGGCAGACTGAACACCACGGAGGGCAAGTGCATCGGCCATCAGACGTCCGACCTCGGGGGAAAACACGCCAACCACCAGGGCTCGTGGACGGGCAGGACTCGACATTGGGCCCAGAATGTTGAAAATGGTCTTTGTGCCAATCTCCTTGCGCACGGGCGCCACGTGACGCATGGCAGGATGGAAGCGCTGCGAGAACAAGAAGCAAAAGCCAGTCGACTGCAAAATGGAAGCCACGGCCGCAGGATCGAGCTCGAGGTTTGCACCGCAGGCTTCGATGAGATCGGCTGCGCCACAAAGCGACGACGCAGAACGGTTGCCGTGTTTGGCCACGCGCACACCACAGGCAGAGGCGACAATGCCGGCTGCGGTGGACACATTGAACGTGTCAAGTCCGTCGCCACCAGTGCCAACAATGTCAACCACGTCGAGAGGCGAATCCGGGAAGCAGTTGAGCGACAATGCGGGGGCATCAATTCGGAGTGCATGGCGCGACATGACTTCGGCGCACGCAGCGACAACAGTCGGGGTGTGGCCGCGGAAGCGCAGCGCCAGCAAGAACGAAGCAACTTGAGCCGGGGTGGCCGATCCGGTGAGCATGGCTTGAATACCAGCACGCACAATGTCAAGGTTGTCCACAGGGCCCGAGCCGTCCGCCAGTTTCTTGACGCACTCGCGCATGGGAATGGCCGGAATCTCTGCCGGGGAAGTTGTAGTTGGAATGGGCGCTGCGGAAGGTGCGGCGGCGGCAGCGGTGGACTGTTGCTGCTGCTGTTGCTGCTGTTGCTGCTTTTGCTCCTGCTCGCTCCAGGTGCCGGCAGTCCACGACAAAAAGTTGCGCATCATCAGCATGCCTTCCTCAGACTTGATGGATTCCGGATGGAACTGCACGCCCTCGCAGACGTACTCGCGATGCCGGACGCCCATGATGACGCCAGAGTCGGTGCGAGAAGACACAATCAGCGATTCTGGCACCAGCGAGCGGTCGCCGGCGAGCGAATGATAGCGAATCACTTGAATCTCGGGAGTCACGTTGAGGTAGAGACCCTTTCCGTCGTGATGGAGCGTGGAAGTCTTGCCGTGGCGGATTTCACCAGCATGAATAACCTTGCCACCAAACACCTCGAACATGGCCTGGTGACCAAGACAGACGCCCAAAATCGGGATTTTGCCAGCAAAGTGCAGAAGCGCGGCACAGGAAATGCCAGAGTCTGTTGACGGATGGCCTGGTCCGGGCGAAATGACCAGGTGCGTCGGGTTAAAATCAATGCAGCCTTGCAGCGAGATGGCATCGTTCCGGATGACGGAGACGTTTGCACCAAGCTCGCACAGGTACTGGTAAATGTTCCAAGTGAAGCTGTCGTAGTTGTCAATCAACAGCGTTTTGTTGGAGGCGGTAGTTGCAAGACGCGGGCCGGCATCCTGGATGGCGAACGACGCGGATCCAAAAGCACCTGGCGCGCCGCCGCTCGTTGACGATGAAAGAGATTGTGACATGATGGTAGTCAAAAACAGGGGGGAAAAAACGTTAGGAAAATGCGGAAACCAAAGCTAGACACACACGGGACTTGATTTGTCACTGGACACAGGGGTCGATTACTGCTGCTGCTGCTGCTGCTGCTGCTGGTCAAAGTAAAAACGCTCGGCTTGTGCAATGGCAGCAATACTCGAGTTCAGTTTGCTGATCGTCTCTTCGTACTCGGAGGTCGGGTCAGAGTCAAAGACAATGCCAGCGCCAGCTTGGAGGTATGCGACACCCTTGTGCATGACAATGGTACGAATGGCGATGCAGGTATCAAGTTGACCGCCATAGGTAAAGTATCCGACAGATCCCGCATACACGCCACGGCGTTCCTGCTCCTGAGCCTGGATGAGCTGCACCGCACGGACTTTGGGAGCGCCAGACACTGTGCCAGCGGGGAAGATGGAGCGGAAGGCATCCAGTGGCGTAATCTCGGAACGGAGAGTTCCCGTCACTGTCGACACAATGTGCATGACATGCGAGTAGCGCTCAATGTGCATCAGCGAAGGGACCTTGACGCTGCGAGGCTGGCAAACGCGGTTCATGTCGTTGCGGCCCAAGTCGACCAGCATGATGTGCTCTGCGCGCTCCTTCTCGTCGGCAAGCAGCTCGGCTGCGAGAAGATCGTCTTCTGCGGGAGTCTTTCCGCGACGGCGGGTGCCAGCGATCGGGTGTGTCTCCACCAGGTTGTTCTCGTCGACTTTGACAAGCATCTCGGGCGAGGCGCCGACCAGAGACACTTCTCCGAGTTGGATGAAGAACATGTACGGGGAAGGATTGATGCTGCGGAGGTGACGATACAGGTTGAACGGATGCAGCGACGTTGGTCGCGAAAGACGCTGGGAAGGCACAGCTTGGATAATGTCGCCCTTGTTGATGTGCGTCTTTAGATCACGCACAATACGCTCGTAGCCTTGCTGGCCTTGGTTGGACTGGGCAACATTGCCAAGAACGATCGGGCCTTGGACTGGCACGGGAGTGTCCACCCGGCACAGCTGTGCGAGCGTCTGACGGACAGTTTGAGTGGCCGAGTTGTAGGCGGAACGAAGGTCTTCGGGGTGGTTGCTCGTGGGCACACGAACGTGACCCACAACGCGAAGTTGATGCCGCAGGTGATCAAAGACAACAATCGTGTCGCAGTACATGAAGATGGCTTCGGGCAAGAAGGGCAGATTGTCCTGAAGGGGCTGCGCAGTGTGCGGCTCAAAGGAATGCACGCAGTCAAAGCTAATGTAGCCAATGGCGCCGCCTGTGAACATGGGCAGCCCAGGAATGGGCACAAACTTGTACTTGGCAAGCTCCTGCTCGACGGGCTTGAGCGGATCGCCAGTGAATTCGTGGCCCGCGCCAACTTTGGCAACGCGGTACGGGTTGACGCCGAGAAACGAGTAGCGTGCGAGCTTTTCGCCGCCGGCAACGGACTCGAGCAAAAAGGCATACTCTTGGTCGAGGCACAGCTTCAGGTAGGCAGCGACAGGGGTGATGAGATCGAGGAAGGCTTCCGCGTACACGGGGATCATGTTTCCGCGAGAGGACAGCTCTTGCACCTCCTCAAACGAAGGGCGGAAGACGGGAGAGTGGGACATGGCGGAGAGATAAACAGAGATGACAGAAAGGAAAATACGGAAAGGGAGAAGAGAGAGAGAGAAAAGAGAGAGAAATGAAAATCAAACAAAAAACTCTTGAAATATCGGAACCAAAATCAAGAAGTGACGATTCGCTGAGGAGATGATCGGAACTTCAGCGGGAGACGAAAGCGACGTACGAGAAGGCAGTAAGGCGCTTTGGTTGTGTATTCAACGACCGTCGTTTTTGTTTTTAGGCTTGAATGGCCGGGGAAGGTCGATGCCAAGACATGGCCAGATGCGCCCACAGAGGCATGAGCGGAAGGGCGTTGGGGCGCTTGGAAGGCGTCAAGGGGCTCACATGAGTGGCGGGCTGAACAGTTGCCCGCTTCATCAGGCGAGTGGAAGAGCGCACAATGTAAGTGACGACGGAACGGGTCATGGCCGCAGCAGAGCACTGGCGGATTGAGCGGACACGACGCAGACGGTCGCGAAGGAGCGCTTGCTGGGGCGTGAGTGTGGCAGGAGCAACACGCGCAAACGACGGGGACGAGGCCACTGGAGTGCCCACTGGCCGCGAGGCAGGAGCGGTGCGAGCCTTGGTGGTCGAGACAGTCGAGTAGAACGCAGGGCGAGTGCCAGCAGCGACAAAGGTCACCGAGCGAGCAGCGGATCCGCGTCGTGCCAGCAGAGGCGTCAGGGACGGGGCGTACACCTTGGGCAGGGCAATGCGAGCCTGGGCAGGCGGAGCAACAAAGGCGAGGGCAGCCTTAAAGTTCAGCTCGTGCTTTGGAATCCGAGGCAGGATGGAGCTGTCGAGAATCTTGGCCTTTGCAAGCATCGTTTCAGCAGCAGCAGTGGTGGTGGTGGTGGTCGAGGTCGAGGTCGAGGTCGAGGAGGGCACAGCGACCTGAACGGCGACTGTGACTGGCAGCGGCGGGAAGTGGGTCGCGGACAATTGGAACCCAGCGGCAGAGTCGCGTGTCATGCGCATCGATGACGACGTGGCAGGGCGAACGCGAGTGGCGCCCCTGCGATGGCGCTTGGTGGAGCGAGTGGTGGCAGCAGCAGCGGAGGAGGAGAAGGCTGTCGTCGTGGCGGTTTGCTGGTTCTCAACGCTCTGTGCAAACAACGAGGGGGAGAAGGGGGTTTGAGCGAGAAAGGAGCAGAATGGAGGAGAGATGTGAGCAAATAGATCAAAAAGTGGAAGAACGGAGGACGACAGAACAAGAAGGCGAGGGGGAAGGTGAAGAAGGGGAAGAAGAAAGGAGAAATAAAAAAATAAAAAATAAAAATAAAAAAAATAAAAAAATAAAAAGGCGATGACAGCATCGCGCCATGATCACGCATTTGTTGTGTCATCCGCACGCACACACGCATCGAACAGCAACAGCACTCCAATCTCACGCATCAAGAAGAGATACTAGAACGACATTAGAGAGAGGAAGAGAGAGAGAGAGGAAGAGAGAGAGATCAGAGCGCAGGGATCGTTTCGCGTTACCTTGTGAGCGGAGAACTCGAGCACGGTGCACCGGTGGGCGGTCAAGTCACCCATGTTGAGTCGGTGGAAAAGGGGGAGAGAGAGGGGAAAGATGGCCGTTGGCCGGGGTTGTTTTGTGGGGGAAGTGAAGATGGGATGTGACGAGTGAGAGTGAGAGTGAGCGAAAGTGTAAGTACCAAAGAAAGAGGAGTGATAGAGTGGCTGAACTGAAATGAAAATGGACAGGAAGTGCATCAAAGCATGCGAGTGAGGTGCAAGTCGGATTCGTCTCAGACGAGGGACATTGCCGTAGCATTCGTGGGGGAAGCGGGGGAAGGGAGGGTCAGGAGGTGATCGGAATTGCAGAGATTCAATGAAGTGGGCGTTTCGCTGGAATCTTTCTTTTGGGAGAATTTCAAGCAAACTCCACGGATGTCTGAGTCAGTCGCACGCTGTTCTCTGCATTGAGCCACCAAACTAGCTTAAAAAACAAAATAAAACTCCATCGCAATGGAGAAATGGAGAAATTGAGAAAATCAATCTTTTTTTTTTTTTTCTTTTTTTTTCTTTTTCTTTTTTTCAAAATAATAGCAATGCTTTGGGCGCCAAGCACGCGCTCCTTCAGCAGCAGCAGCAGTCGTGCGACGCAGACGGGGACGACTCTGCAGCGGCTGCCGCAATCCCTGGCACTGGCAGCGTGCATTGCGCTGGTTGGCGCGGCGCTCGTCGTCCTGGTGCCCGCCGCCGCCGCCGCTGCCGCTGATGTTGATGCTCACGGCAATGTTTATAACAACAAGCACGAGTCGCTCCCCGACGCCAGCCACCACTTGGTCCAGGGCAACATGTCCTCGCTCATCGTCAAGATCAAGTTCATCCAGGCCTCGGTCGTCGACGCCAACAGCACGTCCTCGCTCCTGGTCGACGGCGCCGTCGTGAGTTGCATTGCCCGCGCCCACCTTTCCTTTGTCTTCTAGTGTGCCATCGTCCTGCTGTTTGTGGCTCTTGTATGAACTCATTGTGATAATGCTCTCTTTTTTGTTTGTTTGTTCTAGGCTGTCTCGGGCATTGGTTTTGGCGAATCGTCCGACTATGTGGAAATTTCATGTGAGTGGCAAATCCATTGGCTTTTGCTTGAGTGCCCGAATGAGCTGCAATCCGCCCTTGCAACATTTGATAACCCATCGGGCCTTGTTGATGTGTACCGTTTCTCAATCGCTGACGTTGACTCTGCTTTGTGCGGGGGGTTGCTTTTTGTGCTTTTCTCATATTCAGCCGGTCAACACACAATGGAGCTCAGTGCTGGTCCGTATGTCGTCGTTGACTTTGATCCGACCTTCACGTACGCAGTCATTGAGGCGCAAGACACTCAGGGAAACATTACCATCCAAGTGGTTGCTCTCCCTGCCATTCCGTACGAATCGTGGCTGGTTTTTTTTTTTTTTTTTTGGTACTTGTGCTATTCTCCAGTTTCGCATTCGCTCATCTCCACTGATGCTCTTGAAACCACCAGAGACTCGTCGGTGCGCACGCTGGACACTGCGCTGGTGCGAGTCATCAACACGGCCATCTTCCCCGTCACGGTGACCTTGTCGTTCGTTTCGGATAACTGCCACCGCTGCCTCGACCAAGTGATTGCCAGCTTCAACCAAAGCGACGTTTCTAGCTTTAATGCCGATGCCAAGCATGGCATCACCTTCTCCGTGACCGACGCAGTTGGCCTTGAGCAAGTTGCTGGAGTGAGCTACAACTTTGGCGATCGTGGTGTCTACACCATGCTCATCACGACATCATCGATGCAATCCAAGGAAACGATCGTCTTCATTTTCGAAGATGTCGAGCCGTACAATGTAGATTTGCGTAAGTTGCGAGCACAAGAGCCGAGTTAGATTTGGCTTTTGTTTTGTAATTCGAGCTGCTTTTTTGTTTTTTTTGTTGTTTTTTTTATGTGGCACTTCCAATGCACTGACCCTTTTTTTTCCTTTTTTGATCTGAATTTCGTGCCTTATTCATACTCTCTTCACTTTGTAGCTATCGCCGCCATGTTTGGCATCCTGATCGGAGCGTCCGTCATTTACGTCGTCCTCAAGCAAACCAGCATCTACTTGCAAAAGTCGCGTGCCCAGCGTGCCACCGACCGTCTGCAGAAGGGCCGCCTGATCAACCAAGACTACACTGCAGGGTATGGCAGCACGGCGTCCTCGAACGGGTACATTGCCATCCCGAACAGCGCCGCTGCCGAGAATGGCGCTGACAGCATTGCCTCGCCGTCGACGGTGGGCTCGCGCGTGATTCAGTCGACCATTTGCGCGTCGTGCGGCCGTGAGCTGCTCGAGGCAGATCGATTCTGCGGCCTCTGCGGCACGCGTCGCGACAAGGCCAGCGCTCCTCCTGCCGAAGAGCGCGTGCGTGTTCGTTCGCTGGACACCTTCCGCGGCATTGCTCTCAGCATCATGTTGTTTGTCAACTATGGCGGTGGCGGCTACTGGTTTTTCGACCACTCCACCTGGAATGGCCTGACCGTCGCCGATCTCGTCTTCCCCTGGTTTATCTTTATGATGGGCGTCTCGATGTCGCTGTCGTTTGAAAAGCTCCGTCGCCGTGGCGCCCCACGCGGTGCGCTGTTTCTCAAGGTCATCCGTCGCTCGATGACGCTGTTTGCGCTCGGCCTGTTCCTCGTCTGCCGCCAGATCATCTTTGCAACCTGGCGCATGCCCGGTGTCCTGCAGCGCTTTGCCGTCTCGTACCTGTTTGTCGCTGCCATCGTCATGTTTGTTCCCATCTTTGCCACGCTGCCCGGCCCGTTCCGTGACCTCACCTCACACTGGCTGCAATGGGTTGTGATTGGCATTTTCATCACCATTCACACATGCATCACGTTCCTGTACGACGTCCCCGGGTGTGGTACCGGCTACATTGGGCCTGGTGGCATTGGCGATTTCGGCCAGTACATGAACTGCACGGGTGGCGCAGCCGGCTACATTGACAGCCAAGTTTTCGGTCGCCACATCTACCAGGCGCCCACAGCACAGGCGTACTATCTGACTGGAGCATACGATCCCGAGGGCCTCCTTGGCTGCCTCACGTCCGTTGTCATTACATTCCTCGGCTACCAGGCTGGTCGCATTCTCGTCACCTTCAGCACGCACTCGGCCCGCCTTCGTCGCTGGGCCGCATGGGGCGTCGGGCTCGGCTTGCTCGGCCTCATCCTCTGCAAGGGCACCCAAAACGACGGCTGGATTCCGATCAACAAGAATCTGTGGTCGCTGTCCTTTGTTCTCATCATGGCCGGTCTTGGCTACCTCATGCTGGCCAGCTGTTACATTATTGTTGATGTTCGCAAGCTGTGGGATGGCGCGCCGTTCATTTATCCCGGTGAGTATTGATGGGTTGGAGGCTTTTTTTCAAGTTTTTCTTGTTCTGTTCGTTTCTGGTGATTTCAGCGTTTCAACGCCATGCTCACCTTATCATTGGTTTCTCTGCAACAACAACAACAACAACCAACAGGCATGAACTCCATCTTTGTGTACATGGGCTCTGAGCTTTTCTTTTACTACTTCCCGTTCACCTATGCGAACGAGGTCGAGAACACCCACGGAGCGCTGCTCTTCATGCATCTCACAGCCACTGCGCTGTGGATTCTCATTGCATATTTGATGTATCGCAAGAAGGTCTTCATCTCGGTCTAGTGACTGGCGGTGTTTGCCTCCATATTATCTTTTGTTTGTTTGTTGTTGTTGCTGCTGTTTGCTTGTTTGATTTGATTGCTTTTGTTCAGTTCAATGAAATGCGCGCAAGTGCTTTCTTCCTTGGAGCATTGTGTTCGGTTCTCTTACTGTTCGTCAATCTCAGAAATGTTGAGGAGCGAAAGGGCGTTGACAAATCGGAAATCTCCTTCTTGTCGTCATCCGAGCCTCAAAATCTCCAAGAAGATGCATCGAGCTCACTTCTTCAAATTGCTTCAATGTGTCTGAGCGTCTGAGAATCGCAACCAAAGCAGTCTTTCTTTCTTTTTTTTTTTCTTTTTTTTTTCTTTTTTCTTTTTTCTTTTTGTATCCGTTTGTTTGTTTGATTTTGCTTCACAAAGCATCAACAAAATGGACGTCTCGTTGCCATTGTCTGCAGGCGCCCCGACCCAGCCGGCGACGCTCAGCTCGGGGTTTTCCTACAGCAGCGCCAATAGTGGCGGCGGCAGCGGCAGCACCAGCGGCCTTGGCGGTGGGGTTGGCGGGATTGGTCGGGCGTCAGCGGCTGTGGCGGCAATGCCCCTGTCCTCGTCGACGCACAGTGCGGCCGACTGCGTTGCGCTGGCCCGCGACCTTGCGAATGACTTTCTACGTCCGCCAGCTGCTGGTGCTGCGGCGGGCACGGCGGTGGACTGGTCGCCGTCGTCGTCCAACGCCCAGCTGCTCCAGTCGCTGGCCGGATCGCCGTACTACATGCAGACCACCTACGCTGGCTCGGGCGCCCCGGCTGCAGCTGCAACGCACGCCAACGTCCATCCCAATGGCTCCCTGTCGCTCTCTGCCTTCCTGCGGTTCTGGGACGCTGCCTCGCTCACGTCGTCGTCCTCGTCTTCCTCTTTGAATTCGGGCTCTGGGTCGTCGTCGTCGTCCGATGGCCAGGCCGCTCTGGGTTCGCTGTCTGTGGGATTTGTAACGAGGTACGTTCTAACAGTCGCGATTCCGACTTTTTGTTCCAAGCGCGCTGGCCGTGGATTTTGGGACTTTGATCTCAATCCCTAATCCCGTTCTCATTCTCATTGCAATTCTTCACTCACTCACTTCACTGTCACGACTCTGATTGCGTGTTGGAATAGCTATCTTGTATGCTTGGTGGCAAAGCTACTTTCGCTGGACATGCCGGCCGACATTCGTCTGTCACTTCCCGAGGTATGTGTGATCTTGCTGTGCTCCAAGTTGCCTGTTGCATCGATTGGCTCATGTTTCCTGTTTCTCTCTCCCTCTGTCAGATGGTGGACATGATTCTCTCGCAAAAGCCGCTGCCCGACGAACAAGGCGCAGATGCACCAAAGGCTGCCTTTCAAACCACAATGATGCAGGATAGCCACTCGACCAAAGCCATCGACGAGTTTCGCCTGTCGCTCATCAACACAATCTACTTTATTGCCATGTTCTGCAACTACGACACCAAGTCAAATCCCCTTCGTGCGTCCTTTCAGCGCTGGACATCCCGCCGTGGGCATGCCAAGGCAAGGAATTATTGTTGAGGAAGCGTGTGCTTCGAAAGCGTTGTTTTTTGGTTGACTTTTGAAAACACCCATCATGCACCGCCACTCCTCGCCCCCCCCCCCTGATGCAGGCATCCGGCAAAACCGAATTCGAGTCGCAAGTGTTCAAGCTGCTGATGGCCTCTGGTCTGTGGGAGTCCGAGGAAGCTCTGGGCGAACTGATCAACATCTGCTCGAACGTCGTGCCCACGACACAGGCTCCTGTAGCTGCACTCTCTGCAAGTGCCACCTCGCTGTCGTCAGGCTCGTCTGCACACGGTCAAAACACCACCAGCGGGCGCCGGACGCCTTCGGTTTTCACGAATTTCGCCTTCACGGGCGCCGTCCAGCACCACCCGGCACTGAGCGATCCGAAGCAGCTTGGTCTCAGTGTCATGCATGGCTACCTCAAACGCCGACTGATGCAAGGCCAAATGACGTCGTTCTGCCTGCGCCATCTGCTGTGGCGCCTTGAACGGACATATGCAGAGCCTGAACGCGCCGAAGTGCATCTCCTTCCGCTCCTGACTCTTTTCCGCGAACTGATTTCAGTGGTAAGTTGTTTGACTTTTTCGTTTTTTTGTTATCGAGGCAAGCAACAACGTGGTTGGCTCGTCGTAAACGCATTGCTCAAACCGTTTGTGACATTTTCATTCTTTTTTTTGTTTGTTTGTTTTTTTTCTCTGCATCCGCATAGTCCCCGTATGTCGAGCCCGAAATTTTAACCTCGGCCTACAGCGTCATTCATCCTTTCTACATGTGGCCCAAGCCCTTCTCGGACTACGCCAAACGCTGCCTCGATTTTGTGCAGCGCGAAATTCGCTCCCCTGGCCATCAAGTGCGACAGCAACTGCAACGTGACAATCAAGAATTTCTATTTGAAGGCGAAGTAGATGCTTTCGATGCGTACGGTTTGAACGAGATTTTTTTGTTTGTTTGTTTGTTTTGGGTTTTGGGGTTGTTTCTCTCACCCGTGGCTTTTTGTTTTTTAACCTGCGACCTTTTTGCTTTGTTTTTGTTTTGCTTTTCTTCCTCGCAATCAGTCATGCACAATGCCATGTCTTGGTCGATATGCAGTGCGCTCGCGCAGCCAACTTTGTGGAAATGCTCAACTGGCGACCATCCTACTCGTCCAGTGACTTGAAACGCATGCTCGTGCTGCGCACGTACCAGTCGTTTTTCGGGACTACGTGCGACCTTGCGTCTCTGCGAGGTGCTCTCGACTGCATTGAAACGGATGCACTGGACTCTGCGTTTGTCCAGACCATGCAAGCGATGGACGATGCCCTTCATTTGGAAGAAGACGAGGCCAATTTGCACACGACGGATCTCCTGAACGACATTCAAAGCTCCATCCTGTCGCAGGCAGCGGATGTGGGCTTTGCCCCTGTCGTCCCACCGAGCCCGACGCAGCAGGCGGGTCCCACAGATACCTCGAGTCTGTTGCTCATGAGCCCTCCACCAATGCGCTTCGCGTGCTATCCCTTCACCTCCGAGACAGTGTGCGTCGGCGCGCAAGACCCGTGCTTCCCGCTGTCGAACATGCCCCTTGCGTCGTCGTTCCAGGCGCTCTTTGCCATTGTCGACCGCGTTTCCAAAGATTCGCTTTTGAATACGACGTTGGACGATCAGAAAAGGCGAATCGCCCGCGTTGCGATTGCTGGAACCGACGCCTCGATTTCCAACGTCACGCGGGCCTATGTCGCCTTGCGGCACGCCAAGCCCGATTTGATGGCCAAGCTCGCCGTGCAGTTTTTCATTGTGCCGCTCGGAGACACTCGCGAGACTGACACCCACTTTGCCCGTGCGCTCGCGCATGCTGACGGCTGGTATGAGCGCTACGTTTACGTGCTCACACACGCCGCTCTAAGAGTCTTTCCCACGCTGCGCCCCTCGGCGCACGGCATGTACTACTGTGGAAACGGCTACTATGGCGTCGCGGACAATGTGCCGATCAGCACCGCTCCGTCGTCGTGGGCGAATCTGAACACCATGTTCGCTGCCAACCCGAACGCGACGATCGGCTTGCCGAGCCTGCTCCAATTGGACTCTGCGTCGCCGTCGTGGCTTCTCCGTGACGCCCTCGAGACCTATGTTCGCGAGGGGCAAGCAGCCCTCGACGTGCACCTGTTCGTGGCCGACGTTTGGATGCTTCAAACCTCCGAAGGCAAGGACAAGGTGGTCAATCGCTCCATTCCGTTCTTTCAACGCGTCGAGTTGGGCTCGTCTGTATTTATGCGTGAATCCATGCAGTCCATCAGCACTGCATCGACCTCGTCCACCTCTTTTGCTTCAGGCTCCAGCTCGACCAGCTCTGCGGCAGAGCTCCGCTCGAGCTTGGCTCTGGGAGCCTTGTCTGACAGCTTGCCACCTCTGGGCAGCAACGTCGGCACCGGCACCCTCTCGCGCCAGCCTTCCCGCTCGGTCAAGTTTGCGCCGCCAGAAGTGTCGTGCAAGATTTCTGAAATCTCGCTCGAAGGTGTCGTTGCTCAGGCGCGGGCTCTTCCCACGCGCGCGTACTGGTCGATTGTCGTCTCGAACGTACCCCGTGCAGGCGATCGCTGCAGCACTCCCAATCCGCGAACCGGTGCACTTGAAGTGATGCTCGTGGATGCTGACGTTGGCAAGAAGCTCTTCAAGAAGGGCACGACTTCAACGAGGTAAAGGCGGGAGGATAAAGGGGAAATCGTGATTGTTGCTGATGCTGCTGATGCTGTTGCTCTGTTCGCCTGCGTTCTTGCTTGTACGAGTGACTAACCTTTTTCTGTTGACATTTTTTTCTCTCTCTCTCTTCTTTTTTTTTTTCTATGCTTGCAGCTCTATCAAACTTGAAGGTTTGGCGCTTCATGCCGCAATGCTCGAGTTGGAGGCCAAGCAAAGCCGCGCATTCACGCTGCAAATTGACGACCAGCTCTTGCAGAACGTTACCCGTGTGCGGATTTCGCAATGCAACGAGCCCACCTGGGTCGATCCGAGTGCACCAGCTCCCGCTGACTCGGCCTTTGGCGATGGCAACCCCTCCGTGCCATCCGAGTCTGACATTGTCCTGCCTGTCATGACCTTTGCGACGTTCGAAGTTTGAACCGCTCGTCGAAATGAGCACTGTTGCAACAGAAATTCTTGTCAATGAATCGATTGTTTTGATTTTAAAAAATTACAGCAAGGCACACACACACACACACGCACACACACTCAAAACGGGGGGGGGGAATCGGGCACACTTACAGCAACCAGACAACCAGCAAATCAGACAACACAACGTTCGCAATCGCAATCTCGGCACACAGCTCGACATAAACGGTTGGATCGCTCAAAAAGCTCAGCAGCTCGTCGACAAAGTCTTGAGTCAAGGCAATGTACACGGCCATTCCGATCAGCGGGAACATGTAAGCAACCAGATAGCTAAAGTAGCGGACCATGAGTTGGTTGGTCTTGAATCCGATGAAGGTGAAGACTGGAACCGTCCAAAACACGAGCAGCAGACTGAGGAGCACTTGATCGCGGAAGAGCTGGTAGAGGAACATGAATGGAAGGAGCGTCATGAGCGGAGACACGAGCGCTGAAACGAATAGCAAGCCGCGGAGAGTGCGAATGGAGCGATGCGCGAACGTTTGCGCATTGTGAACGGATGTCACATCTGGCACCGCTGCAGTGAAGCGCGTACTTTCCGCTCGGATGGACAGCTGCTCGCTTGGCTTGAAGCCGAGAAGCGGAGCTTTGATCGAAACGTCGCTGCCAAGCATGTTTTCCTCCGGTCGAATGTACGATGCGCGCTTGGTCTCCACGGGCAAGGGCTCGCCTGGAAGGTCACCATTGTTGGCAGACGCCGAACCAGGCAAGGGCTCATACCCGTCTTGAATGCAGCCTGGAGAGAAGGCTTCGCCGAGCACAATCTCGCGGTACTCTGCGGTTCGTCGCGCCTCGTCGACCACGTACCTCGCGTATTCACGCTCCAAATGCGCCCAGAACGACTTGTGCTCCCACTTGATGAGTCTCAAAAGCAGCAGGGCCGACGCGCGGACGAGGGAAGGGGATACGAGCAGCAGGAGGGCAAGCATGGTCGCGATCGCAATGCCTCCGCAAACCAGGCCGACGGCATCGCCTGCAAGATTGTGGACCATCGCGTCAAACTGGGGGCCACAATCGGGGCAGAAACTGTCGATCTTGGTCGCATTCAAGTAGTCTGGCAGCACGGGCGCCACGGAAGCAATGTACAAGATGGGCAGCGAGGCAAACCCCAAACGGCGGCTCCATGTCAGGCCGTAAAAGTCGCGCCAGCGAAGATCGCAGACCATGGAAGCAACCAAGATGACCCAGCCAAGCAGCAACAGTGCAAGAGAAGCCCATTTGCTCTCCTCGAGCAGCTCGAAGGCATGATCGAAAATATCGCCACCAGCAGAGTTGTTTGGCCAAACAATACCCATCGAGCTGAGCTCGTCAATAAACTCTTGCTTGAACGAGCTGACCAGGCAGTCGTGGAGATCAGAGAACGCCTTGACAGCAAAGAACAGCACACCCGTCACGAGAAAAACGCGACGACCGGTAATGCGGAGGCCACAGCGGAGCGGCTCGAGCTGCTCTTGAAATTCGCTAATCAGGTGCCATGCTTTGCGACCAAAGTAGACTGTGGCAACAGTAGCCTTGCGGAAGAGGCTGGGTTTGCTGGGCGAGGCGGCAGGCGAGTCGCCGTTGTTGTTGCTGCGGCCAAACACACTGGACATTTTTGCCACAAGACGAGCCGTTCCGACGACAATGTAACCGACGATGCGAGCCAGGAGGGCAATCAGATCGCGCAGCTTGGCCGCTGGCCACGCGATGCCTCGATAGAGCAAAATGCTCAAGCTCTTGGAAATCCTCCACAGCAATCGACTCAGATAGCCAACCTTTTGTATCTCGCCGGCCATGGCCTCTTGCTCGCGCAGCCACACGAGGCGTGCATAAAACACAAGAGTCGAGTAGATGGCGGCACAGCCGGTGAACAAAAAGATCAATGGCAGCTCAGTGTCCAACGAGTTGTTGGAAACGTTCGCTTGCCCCTCCAGAATGACGCCCATACACGAGGCCATGACAATGAGATAAAACACGACCATGCGGAAAATGTAAATGCCAGACACGGGTTGGGACAATCTCAGGGCATCGCGAACGGCGGCGTCAAGTCGGTAGGTCAGGAAGGCAGAGCAGAGCCACAGCGCAAACCAAGCGGCGGCCCACATGCCACTGGCACCGACAGTCTGATAGACGACAACCATGGTGATGCTATTGGAAACTGGGAAGATGAAATGGACCAGCTTGGCCTGGATGCGCATACGAGCGACAACCTTGGCCAAGGCGCGCGTTCGGCCACCTGCACCAGCACCCACGCCACTAGCGACAGCCGTGGCGTCGCTGGGACTCATACTATTCTGGCCATCGCTGCTGTCGGCTTGGCTGCCAGCGGACGACCAAACGGCCGACGCTTCCAGATCGTTTGGCTCCCCCATGTACACGACGGAGACGGCCAGAGTATCGTACTCGTTGTCCCCGAGGTCTGCATCGTCCTCATCCACCAGGTTGCCCATTTTTCCAGGGTCGTCGTCAATCAGCACGTAACTCGCCCGTCCGAGACTTTTGCGATTCGCATGCTTGAGCGACATGTGCGTCAAACCACCGTGCGACTGGGCCCACCAGACGATCGTGGCCAGCGCGAAAAAGAAGGCTGGAGCAATTGCAGTTTCCAGGAACAGGACGTGATCGGCCACAAACGACATGGCGATCGAGGTGAAGCCGTACCCGACGAACGTGTCAAACCCATCGCGCAGGTTGGCGTTGGATTGGATGAATGTGCTGTTGTTGGCAGTGAGGGTCAGGGCGGTCATAAACTCGAAAGCAAAGCCCGGAATGACAACCAGCAGCGCGCCCCAAACAATCGTGGCCAACGCCGTCGCAAAGAAGGCACGGGTCCACTCTGCCGTAGACCATCGCTTGGTTGAGAAGCGGAGGATGCACAGCAGGCTAAAAAGTGCCGCAGTCAGCAGACACAAAACGGTCTGGGCGCGCGGCCAATCCTCCGACAGCTGCCGAAGTGGCTGCATGTTGAAATCGCTCGCATCGACGCCAAGCGATTGCACAGTGGCGGACGTGCCAAGTGCCGCGAGTGGATTGTTCACAAAGCACATCAGACCGGTGCCGAGGAAGACAGCCCCAGTCAAGAAGGCAAGTACTGCGTTTTCGCGATCCGTCCCGATCAAGTTGGTCGGCTTGCCAACGGTATCGACAATCCATTCATACGTGGCAACAACAAGGTTTCGGCAGGACTGAAGCGCGAAGAGGAATGCGGCACGAACGGCGCGGCCAGCAGTTTGCATGGCAGAGCGCACCACCGGGCCAGCCTCTTGAATCCAGAAGCGAATCCTATAGCGGTACTTGTACACGACAGCAGCCACAATCACCAAGGCCGTGAGGACAAGCAAGACCACCGCGTAGACAGGCACCAGCGGACCTGGTGGGGGCAATGGGACGGCACACGACTGCATCGCAGCTGGGGCGAGCACGAGCTGCTGGGCCATGCCATACCACGACTGCGAGACGGCGGTCGAGACGCACTGGTTTGCCAACACATTCGAGAGGGCAAGGTTGCAGCCAATCGGGTCGCACCCGGGACCACAGAAGGCGCTGACGGTGAATGTGCGCGTTTGGCCATACCCAGAGCTTGTCAGCTGAAAGTAGTCGCCGTTGACGTCGTCTTTTGGCATCAGGCATTGCGTTGTGCTATTGTTGACGACATTGCCAATGTTCCAGGTCTGGAGCACCATTGTGGCTGCTGCTGGGATGACGGTCAAGTCTTGCGCGCAAGTCGTCGTCATGTTGTACGCAATGGCAAAGGCTGCGCTTGTTGGTGGGTTCAAGGCGGGCCCGAAGCATGGCGAGGACGGCAATGACAGCACGATGGATGTCGAGTCGTCCATGGCAATGCAGTGTTTCCAGTCAGAGGAAGTGCCAGAGAGCGACAGCGCACAGCTGTGGCATGAGGCGTCCGGACTGTTCAGACACAAGTGCTGAATCTGCGTGCCGGAAGCGTCCAGCTGAAGCGAGTAGAACATTGATGTGGTCGTGTTTCCGTCATCGGCCATGTAGAGCAACGCGCAAGCGCCGTTCGCTGTCTCGGGCAAGACCCACACATCAAGTTCATCCCCAAGATTGCTCATCGTGCACTCGGCATTCGATCCATCGCCGGCCAGAGACGAAAATACAGACATGTACAGGCCACGCGTGGCAGCAGACACGGAGGGCGGAAGAAGAGCGTCCAATGCGCCCGGCTCCGGCTTCTTGGCGCCAAGCGTGGCGTCGACATCGGACTCGGTTTCAAGCGCGTCACTGGCGAGCATCCCGGAGCCGCAGGAAAAGTGACAGGTGGGCCAATGGCTGACAAACTCGTTGCAATCGCACCAAGTCGTCATGTCTAGGTAGCCGTGATTGCCCTGCTGGTTGTACGCATGCACCTCTGCATTGGTGAAAAAGACATTGTACGGGGGCGGGATGACAAACGGGGTGTCCTTCAGCAGGGCGTTGAGATTGTCCAGCTGGGTTTTGATCAACCCCGCGACCAGCTCTGTGATGGAGGACTGCGGGAAGGGGAAGGCAGGCGCCGTCATCTGGACGACCAACTGTGAAGTGTCAAAGTCGAGCAGCTTGCCAGCGATACCCGGTGCGTTGGGATTGCTGGTACTAAAGTAGACGGTTGCGTTTCCGAGCAAGTTTTCAAAGTCTGCGGCGAGAATGGCGGACGTAATGTTGGTCGATCGGTCGCGGCAGGTCATGTTGATAAAGCCGCTTGCCACTTCAAAGGAGATAATATCCGTGGCTGGAATGGCGGTGAGAGGCTCGGAAAAGTCGTAATCGAGCGTGGTGTTTGCATCCTTGATTTGCGCAGAACCGTGAAACGACAAGACGCCCGCTTCGGTGGTGGCCCACCAAATCGCCTGAATGAGCGTGCTGGACAATCGCACACCTTCGAGCAAGTAGCTCCGGTCTGAGGTGGCGTTGGGGTTGAGCGTGGTCGTCCAGTCAAAAGGCGGCGCCAGCGTGGCATCGACGGGGTCGGTGACTTGAAACCACTGAATGTCGGCAGCACTCACAGCGGCAACACCGACGCTCATGGTCGCCTTGGCCTTGATCATGCCGTTGCCGGTGGACGACGGGGTCAGGTCGAGCGCATTGAACTGGTACGAGACGACAATGTCGGCGTACGGGTTGAACAATTGTGGAACTGCGTACGGTTGCTCCAGATTTTGAATGTACTTGTTCACCTCGTTGGTGATCATGTTTTCGAGCTCGTCGACAAGGTAGGTTCGGATAAACCCAGGCAGCGCGTCCAGCTTGCTGCAGCCAGTCACTTGGAACCCGTCCACGGTATAGACGACACTCGGCGTGATGGTGATGCCGCCCGATGCGCTGACGGCGAACGTCAAGTCGATCGTAAAGTCGACGGTGGCCGACGACTGGACCATGTTGTTGCACCAGGTGTGGTGGATGAAGAGGCAAACCCAGGCAGCGTCCACCTTGACATCAATCGTCGCGTAGATGGATCCTGTGATTTGGATGGTCGTGGTGCTCAGAATGACCACCTTGAGCGACTGGACTTGCGCGTTCTTGACGGCGGTGCTGCCGTAGATCGTGTACTCGTACACACACTTTTTGGACGCGTGCGAGTCCGGCACCGTCATGGCTTGGAAATCAGCAATGGCGAGATTGATGAATGGCGTGAAACGCTCTGGTGCGTCCTGCAGCGCAAAGTCCGTGATGATGGCAGTGATGCCTGGGAACGCGGTTGTTTGGGCATCAGCGGCATCGAAGCGCGGTGACACATGACGACCCAAGATCAAGAGCACGAGCAATGGCAGCAGCAGCAGCCGAGGCAGAAGCAGCCGAGGCAGTCGCAGCAATGACATTGTGCTTGTTCCAAGTGAAGTGGGTGGAAGAGGCTGGGGGGGGAGGGCAAGCTGGTGCAGCAGACCGAAGGCGGGCAGATTCAAACCGAGCTGGTCGGCAGACAATTGGGTGAGACCGCCGCGAACGCTCTTCAGCCCGCTCCAGCGAGTCCGATGCGAGAAGAGTGAGTGCTCTTGTGTGTGTGTGTGTGTGTGCTGAGAGAGTGTGTGAGTGTGTGTGCAACGCAGCAGAGGTCGGCGTTGTCGGCAAAGAGACACAACGACAGAGAAAAAAAAAAAAAAAAAAAAAAAAAAAAAAAAAAAAAAAAACACCGGTTGGTTTGAGTTTGTCGCGACCGCCCTTTTTGCCTCTTTGTTTGCTTGCTCGGGTTTGATGCGAGTCGGGAAGGCAATACCGAGGATGGAGAGAGAAGGGATGGAAAGCGCCACGGAGTTGACTGCGATCGAATGAAGGTTTGGTCTGAGGTGTTGTGGCTGCGACGACAGCGCCAAAGCGAAGCGCAGTGAAAGAAGATGAAAAGCAAAATGAAGCGATCCAAACAAAACAAAAAAGAACTGCGAACAAGAAAAAATTCTGAGAATGTGCGAGTTTTGACGAATACAGTACATGTACAGTTAAAGTCCTCTCAGCAGTTTCGAAAGGCAATACCAGTCCACCTCGACCTTTCATTCCAAAAAGATGAAAAGTACACTGCTGTAGTTCATCGAATTCGTGGGCACGAACGAGCATTCTGTCCTTGCTCCTAAACAATCCAATGTTTAGTCGTGTCTCCCGCTCCGTTTTGTTCACCCACTATGAGCATGACTGTCGAGTACGATTTTGCAAAGTGCCGAGTCGAAAAATAGGTTGATCTGAGAGTGATGTCGCTTTTGGGCGAGGGACAGTTCATTCAACGGTTTCTTCCACAATGCTGTCGTGGGAATTTTTCCCCAGTTCACTGAGGCCACTGTGCACCACCGCCCGCCGCCCTGACCCCATCAGGTTTGTACATGACCTGACAGCACCCCGTGGCTGCATTGGCCGAGGACGGGGGACACCTGCATCGTCGTGTACGGATACCCCCTTTTTGTGTGTCGCACCTGGTGACGAGTCCCTCAAAACGGCACTGCAGCCCCTTTCTACTGTACACCATTGGAATGAGCCGATTTTTTAGATATAGAATCATGTGCGAGACAGGCAGGGAGCGAAGCGCTGGAGGCCGCACCAGGTTTCGGTTCGTCGCGGCCCAACCGACCGCTCGATCTCGGCCTAGACCGCACCCAC